AGAATAGGTCAGTAGGAGTAGAGTAGGAAAACATCAGGTCGGCTAATCTAGAACTACTGTTTACAGATTGAACTGTGTTGATTGATTGTGCACATAAAATATCTTCTATCAGTGAATGCTAAACTTGCTCTCGATTGATCATTCTGTAATCGATACAGCAGAAAACAATTGTGTATTTTGCATGACCTTTGACTTTAGTAATTCACATTTTATGAAGCGATCATTCCAAAAGCATAGTAATCCGTCTTTACTCGTAAGTGATTTTACAGTTCCTAACGCCAAAATTGCCAGCCACAATATTTTATAGATCGGTAGTTTTTCTGGTGGAAGAACATTATGTGCAGAGCGCAAGTTTTTAACTTACAATAGCTTATATTGACTCGATTTAGGTTCCATTTGTATATTTAGTTCTCACGGTACAGCCAGATACATAAATGGTACAGTTTGACGGGGATGTGGGATTTGTACGTTGTTTTTCATAACTGAAGCAGTGTCAACGGCGCTGGCCTCGGCCGGGCCTTGAATATCTCGCCAAGTATGCCAATAACATTTGCTGTGTCAAGTTGCGGAAGATCAACTTGGACAATATAAAAACAAACGGGTTTGTTTGTAATTTAAATGTTTTCTCGAAATGTTTATTTTTATCAGAGGTTTGTAATCTTTCATTAAAAACTTCGGTCACATAGGTCTCATATTGGTGATATACGTGTAACCCCAGTCAGAATTGTTGAAAACTAACTGGACCAAGCTGTCAATGAAACTTGAGTTTTATGAATGGCCTTGACGTTTTTTTAGTGTGGCCTTGCCTTGGCCGAAGAAACAGCTGATCTTAGGGACAAAAACTACTTAATGCATAACTTCGTTCTAGAGTCATATTTGGGTTAAAATGTGCCCTATTGCGAGATCATCTGTTAGAACATGGTAATGTTGTTTTTAAGTAAACCTGGCTTCATCTAGCTCTTAAAATAGATGAAATGTTACTAGAATATGCCTACTCTTTATCATTATCATTAGAGATCAGCTGACATTTTTGGGGCACTCAAGCATTATCAAAATGAAACTTGTATATTTCACACAACAACGCTAGACCTATTCGGATTTTATAATAGAATATTAAGTCTTTCTGCACTTTTCTTAAGTCAAAGCTTCTAGCATAGATAAAACATACTTAGTAGCCTATATTTCTCTATGGAACAGCTGAAGCCAATTTATTGTTAGTTCTGTTCGGTGCACTGTAGAGGTTGTGTTTTCTTTACAATTTGTTTCTTGTTATTTCATGTTTGTTATAAATCCTCGTTTAGCCAACCTAAACCGTTTTACTTCTTAACAACAACTCGTCGCCTACCTAACCAAACAGTAAAGCACAAATCATGAAATTAACCCAAAAATAATAGTAACCCAAAAATAATAGAGACTACATTTTGTTGACACTAGCGATTAGTGTCGCCGGACATGAACTAGACACGAAAAGCGAGCTTTAAAATGTACAACGGGATGAGAAGTCTACTTGTGTTGGTTAGTCTATTCCATAGTTTGCTACTTTGAAACTGGTCGTAACTGTCTTGATCCGTGGGCTTGTAATGGATGGTCCTGACTGTAGAAACAGCTGATCACTGACAGCTGTTACAGCTGATCACTGTACAGTTGCTGGCATGTTACGTTTGTTTTCTTTTCTCTGATGTTGACCAACGATCTATTCCAATTTAGAAAATATCGTACTTTGATTTACCAATCGAACATCAACATGATAAAACAACCTATTTATTTATTTCTCAGTTTGTATACAATCACGAGAAATAAGCATTTAAAACGCACGGTCAGTAACATACTAACATCGACTTCAGCTGATAAAAACACTAAATTCACGTGGAAGTATCACAGATTTTAGAACAGACAACATTGATCACAAACGAACGACGTCACTGACCCGAATATACAGGTAAACAGTAACATCTCGTTTGTAAGTTCTCTGACAGTTCCTTACAATAGTACAAACCTTTTCTTTCGAAGCAGTGACGTCATTTGTTTATGTTTATGAGTTAACGCGTTCTGTTCTAACATCTGTGAGAAGCATATTATGCTGAAACAGCTGATATGTAGAACAGGTGATGTGAGGCGGGAACCCTTGGGCAGAAGGCAGATGGTCACTCGGTCTAGCCACGAGCTACGAACTCTCTATTTGCCCCACTTCCTGCACAACTTTCACATCGCGTTGTCTATGTCTTTGTCTTCTAGTTCCATTATGGTATTCTACAAGTGCTCTTGTTGTATGTGCCAACAACACTTTATATTTAGCATGTTTGGCAAAAATAAACGTTGACGTCTCACTTCTATCCGAACTTTAAAATCGCCACTACACCTTTATTGGGGGAGCGAGCTGGTCTAGTGGTCAGAGCGTGGGACTTCAGTCCCTGAGGTCCCGGGTTCAAATCCTGCCAATAGATTTTATTTAAGTGATAATGCCGCAACCCTAGGTCTAGTCTGAAGTAATGTTAAAACAATCCCACAATCCCAGGCTCGTGGCTAGCGTCTTAGGGCAAAAAAACTTAGGCTATCACTGCTGGATGAATAGCTGTGGCGGGTTGGTGACAATATCAAACAGAGAATATTGTAATTCAAGATGGCGTCGGTGTTCAACAGAACAGGATACGTGTCAGCAATCCCTAGCTAGTGTCGTGTTCTGCTGAGTGTCTGTACTGCTAACTGTCTGTATCGTGTTCATTTCTGACTACCTGTTTGCTCCATGTATAGCCAGTCGCAATTTTACGCCAACTAACCGGTATGGGTCATAAACATGTATGACAAAACATTATTTTACCTTGTTTAAATGGAAACGTCTAAACCATGTTAATGCTATTGGTATAGGACCACAGCCACCTAGAACTCGTGCCAGCAACGTATGTTTATGCTGATGATCCATCCTAACCTGACTTGCTGTTTGATATTCCCCAAGTCATTTATGATATCAAACGAAATATTGAAATGTTACAGCAAGTTTGATTACGTTGGGTTAGTTAAAAAGAACAGTTTTAGATGTGGTCGGTATAATACGAAAGTGCCTAGTTAGGTCTCACCTTAAAATATCCTACATTTAAAGTTAAAATGCAGGGTGTCCACATTCTGGAAAGTCAGGGATAGTCATGGAAAAAAATTATGGTCATTGAAAGTCATGGAAATAGGCAAAAAGTCATGGAAAGTCATGGAAATCCCCAATGATGGAGGGATTTCAGGGGACCTTTCAATGCTATAGTCGGCCGTAACCGCGACTATTGTAGCATTTTTCCGAATTTTTCACAAATGTACGACAATTTCAATTTATACTGTTGTCTTAGTTTATGGGTTTTGAGTTTGTATTAGTTCATTGTTGTACCTATTGTACTCCATTGTTATCTGTTAATACATATTTCAATATTTTCTGCGAAATAACTTGTCTAGGCAGTATTATTTATGTGTGTACGGTATTATAATTTTTGAGTTAAGTTCGTGAGTCATGGAAATCAATGGTTAATGGTCATGAATAGTCATGGAAAGTCAGGGAAATTGATGACAAAATTTCTGTGGACACCCTGAAATGGCATCCTACTGGTTTCATCATTTTATCAGTCAACTCCCGTCGTTCCCATGGTAACCCTGGTATAGGTCGCAAAGGACAGTAATTTAGTATTACTACATCAGTTGTACAGTGATATAGTGTGTAGTATGTGGGTTGGAAAGATGGGAAACACGTGTCAAGGCCATACTATTCTTATTCTTCCTACAGTCCTGTCCACGCAACAGCTCAACGCTACTTTCTATTCTAGTCTAGGCTACACCTATTCTCTAGTCTCCAGTCAAGCTGTGGAACTTTCTAATTCGATTTTCACTTTCAGTTTTTAAATTTCGCTCGTGCTATTCGCCAGCTGTACTTCGCCTTTGGTAACATTTAGTGTTGGAACTTATTCAGTACCTACTGGATTACTTAACAAAACTATGTACTAATAATTAATGTACGTTCTCTTAAAAAGTTAAGTACAAATAATTTATGTGACTTGGTAGTTTAAACTAGTGTATCAGCCCCCAATTTTTAGCGGTAAACCCCGTGTTCATCGTTTCTCGGTTTTTCTAGCATTGTCTCGGCGACATCTCTCGTGAACAACGCAATACAGTAGGCCTATTTATATTCTGTTTAATACAAAATAAACTTTACTTTGCCATTCAGATCATTGTTTTGACAACGTAGTCTACTTAGTGGTGTAAATTTTGAATATTTACGATCATTATACATTTTACTACTCATTTTTTACAATGTTGCTTGTACAGTTCCAGTTAGCTGGACCAGTTCATAGAACAATGTCGTATTTTTAATCCTCTACACATAGAACCATGTTAAGAAATTGTAGCTCACAATCTTTTAGCTCTATATGCATTTGTTACTACAGTGCAATCAGCCTAAATTATGATCTACTTGACGTCTTTTAAGACGTCTTTCATAACTTTCATTTTTTTTGTCACTCATAAACAAAAAGATACTGTATAACTTTACACTTGTCTTTGCTTGTACCAAATATCAGCTGATACATCAGGTTTTTATGCGGGATTTTTTAAACAGCTGTTCTTACTTCAAATAGAAACAATCTGTTGTCAAATAGAAGAACTAGCAGCTGATATTGCACTTGGATAAATCGGTATACACTTTAAGATTATGTAGAGGTCGTACGGAACGAGGTGAAGCTTGGAGGGGAATAGTGGTGTGGTGGGGGAACCGTTCCCGCCGAAAATCTCAGGCTTCACCTCGTTCCGCACGACCTCTAAACATCGAAACTTTAGCTTATATCGGTCATTAATTGATTATTAATTGGTTCTACAGGTTGTTCGGGTTCATTTTATCTGTCTTTCAGTAGTGATTGGGTTCGCCTGCAAATACAGCCACGGCCCACGTTTTATATAGGCCTAATGTAAATAGCCTATTGTATATTTCCAGTATCAAATACAGAAAAATTAATGTTATTGTTCATTTTCAGATGGGTTTGTGAGGACTTTCCACAGTTGAAATTGCCTTTGGAAAACAACATACTTAACGACTATGATACTAAAAGGTGAGTTTTTTTGTAATACTAGTTTTACTATCGTCGGCTCATTGTTAACAGGAAGTAGTTTTGAGGTTAGACCGCGTCACGTGGTGCAAGGTCATCACATGACCGGAAGCGACCTTGAGACACGTTTAGACAAGTCTTATCAGTGTGTTATACCATTGCCTATTAACTATTGAAGGTAGGAACGAGAAAACAGTTTACAGTAATTTCCTGATAAAATTGGTAACAATTTTTCATTGGCTTGAACTAGGAATAAAAGAATCTGTGTTTACAATTATTATTTAATTATTTTACAATTTTTCTAAGAGACCATCATTGTTGTTTTGTCAAGAATGTTCAATCTTCTAAATTAGGAGAATTTTTAGTTGGATTTGTTCAAATTGACAGGTTAACCTTGACCATTGGGTTTACTAGTTTTATTATTAGATTGGCGTCACAATTGTGTTTTTTTTTTCAAAATCATGGTGTAAAAAGTACCAAAGCAGTTTTGTGTATTGATCCTGATCCCTGAAAAGAATGTTGCACCTCAACCAGTTGGGCTATCTTAGTGCAGTTGTTGTCAATTAAAAAATGAAAAATCTCAATTAATTTGAGACACTACAAACACAAAGTCATGTGATTTTAAACAAATGACTTTTCGTATGCACAAACTTCGTAGTGCCTATTGAAGGGCAATTTACTTCTTGAGATTTGATGTCCCACATTTATGATAATAGTATGAAAACCCAAAGAGATAATATTTTCCAATACATTATTAGAAAACTACTGTATAAGTGGCCTATCCAACGCCTCCACGAGTAGTAAAATAATTCCCCCCCCCCTAGTTTATTTGGAAATCCAAATGGGAATTTAGCTTAGTCTGCAGGTTTGCTGTGGCGTGGGTATTTTGAAAATGTTGACGCAAAAACAAATAAAGTTACAGAATGCGGAATTGTTTCATATTTGTAATCTAGACTTACTCCACAAACATTCTTCTATACGTAATGAGGCTGTATACACCTAAAACATCCGTAAAACAGCTGCTAGTGATAAACGTGTTATCTATTGTTGCGTACAATGGGCATTTAAATTTTAAAGCCCACCAACGCCTGGCAGGAGGCTGGCGTTCGTCACGTTGGTTTATTTATATCCGAGTAGCTCCCCCACATCTCTGCCACTTATAAATAAACGCGTCTAAAATCAGAACAGCGGGTTTCGACCTCTAGTGAGGTTTGTTGTAAATAGTCACACAGTTTGACTGTAAGCGGATGAAATATTTGGAACTGCTCGAAACCTAGTGATCCAGTTTATTTATTGTGTGTCATACAGTCTTTCTTAGTGGAATTTATTGTTTTAAGAACGGCAGAATATGCATTTAGGCAAGGAATTTGGACTAAGAGAGCGATTAAGTCCATCTGAAATTCAAACGGAGGTCCCCTAAATTCCTTACTGAAGACTAAATGCTAAATCATCACTGGAAACAAAATTATTTGTAAGGTTTTTGTTTTAGTTAAGCTAAATGGCATTGTGTATCCTTTTGACATAATCAATACATGTAGGGTAAATATGTCTATACTATACTTGGTTCAATCAATGAGTTATTGAGTGTGGCAATTTGCCTATCATTAAATTTTACTAATCCTTTAAATCATATTGGGTCAAAATACTATTGGAATTACGATGACAATATTTTGTTTGCATTCTAACTAAGCCTTGGATTTAACCAAGTTTTTAAAACATGTTAATTAGTTTATGATGCATTTTATGTGCTTTTGTGATAACCTATATAAGAGAAGGCTTTATCTATACTTAAACTTATTCTATTCCAATAAGACATCCCGTTAAAAACTGGAGAGAATTGTTTAAGTGAATGTATTTTTGTGGCTTATTTCTGTGGACTGATTCCTAGGTTTTATTGTGTATATCGAGTTGTACATATAACCACAACAAAAAAGGTTATATCTGTTTAAACAGAGCACACAGTGTATAAATGAATATCATGTAAAAACACTGTGTATACAATTTTTAATAGGTCCATATATTTTGATCGTTGCCTTATAAAAATGATAAAAATAAAGGGTTAATAAAATGATTGTTTTTTGCAGTTACGACAGCATGAGAAATTTATGTGACCGCTTCAACAGGGCGATCGACAGCATGGTCCAGCTGGTAAGTTAATAGCATTACTAATTTGTAAGAACAAATTTACAGATTCGTAAATTATATTAGAAATGCTGGGCTATATAACTACTCATTAAATGCTGGGCTAGAAATATTGAAAGTATTTACAATAATTTCTCATGTTCTTGAATCAGCTACACGTGTATGTTATCGTCACTCCAGCTGTTTTATCATAAACAGCTCATGCTGTTTTTATAGCTGTTGCTCACCGCGTTTTAAGTGTTCTCTAATCATATTTGATTGGTGGGGAGGAGCGTAATTCGACAAAACGATTCATCAATGGTGTCATGGTGGTGTCAGTGACGCTCCAAGTATATCCACAGTCAATGGCATTTCTTTCTCCTCTGATTTCGTGTTTGAAAAAAGTGTTGGGGTTGTATTCAGTTTTTAGTTGTGTTTAATCGTACGCCGGTATAATGCACCGGTTGAACCAGTGCGTGTTCGGAACTAAGGTCTTTCGTGTTTTAAGGAACAGGGTGTTCCTAAAAGGTGGTAATTTTCAAACAAATTACCTCAGTTTTTTTTAATCGACATTAAATCAAATAACTTTGGTTACGTGGATTGGTAAACTTTGAAGACAAGTTGAGAGAGGGTGCGGGAAAAGTCCTTACAGTTCGGATCACGGATATTATAAACAACGGAACCGTCAAAAACATCCAAACCAGGTCAAGGTTATAAGTGTAGGATCCTGGTCCACCGGGATTGCGCCACTAGGGCCAGGTAGACACCGGCAAAGCGCCACTACCAAATCTACCCCTCAAAAGCACCCTCATTGCGCCAATGCGGCATATCTTCAAGTTCAGAAAATGCTTCAAGTTCAACTTTAGTTTCTCCCTTCATTTTCGGGTTAGGTTAGGTTAGGCTACATTCCATATCACCATCCTACCCTATCACCACCTTTGGTAGCATTGGCGCAATCCCGGTGCGTGCCAGGCTGACCCCGGTCTACCGTGGATTCGGGACAGTGACGTAATTTGTTTATTTTTATTGTTTTATGGTCCATATAATTTCTGTCCTAATGTCCGTGGTTTGGATGAATCGTCAGATACACGTCTATTGTTATGTACAGGTGATTCAGTACAGGCAATAGCTATTCTAAGCTAATCGCTGCGTTTTATAATGCAACTATTACGCTATGACGTCACCCGAGATGTGTTTAATGTGTAACCCTTCGTTTACATAGTTAACTTCCCTTATTTCTGTGGAAGGAATTCCTATTGTAGGATATTTGTAGATTCCTAACCCATATTTTCAAACATATTCCCCGTTTTTGGGATACAAATTCTCCTTGTAGCGAGTAGTGATTGTAGTATTGTAGAGTAGTGGAATTGGAAGTGGAGTTGGAGAGTTGGAGTAGTGTGACTGTGAGGAGTGAGAAGTTGGCAATGGCGGCGGTGCATTGACCTCCGAGGTGCGCGGGGGCGGGGACCACTACAACTACAACTCCGTTATTCTGCTGGTCGCTGGTCTTCTGCTGCTCTTCTCCAACCCCATCCCATCACAGCTCAGACAGACAATATACATTTGTCACTGTCACTGTTTAGTACTCAAGTATTACATTACTAGCAGTATATACTCAATTCTGCTGGGAAGTTGGGCGAAGGTCTGATGAAACAGCGATAGTTCTTACTTTTGATTATCTACTTCCATTGAGTATACACGTTCCTACCTACGTCATACAACCATTCTCCTATACCCAGACAATTTGTGTGCAGATGAAAATGTTTATGCTTGGGTTTGCTGATGCAAATTATGCAGGTTTAGGTTTATTTTGGTCAACGCAGATGTATATTGCATATTTGGGCAGGCCTTTTGTGTTGTTGATATTCCGCTTAGGTAAATTATTGTTTTTTGGTATATCTTGGTTTGATTATGTGCTGTTGTTAAGTATCTAGGTTTGGGTAGACGTGTTGGTGTAGATTCTGCAGGTTAAGGTTATATGTATGACCTGGTTAGATTGTGATTATGCAAATCATGTTTGGGTATATTATATTGGATAGATTACGTGTAGATGTACATCATAGGTTTGGGTTGTTTTGTCTAGCTTGTGCAGCTATGGTTGAAAAGGGGCGATTTTGAGTATTTTTTCCACTAAAACCATTACTAAAATGCTTAAACCTCTAGGCTGTCATTGCAATCAAGCCCTTTTCGCAAAAATGAAACCCCCTGTATTTGTCTAACACACTCACACCAGCCTCAACCTTGTAAGCTTGTAACAGTTAGATAACGAGCCATTCAACATTCAGTCATCGAGGTCAATGCCAGTCACTTTTATTCTCGCAGTCGCCAGTTAGGCTATATTGGTCCAGGAAGTAATCCTATGTTGTGTTCTACTCACGCAATGCTCAAGCAGTTATAGACGTGACGATATTTGAGGTTGAGTGCAATGATATAGGGAAATCGGTGGTAACGAAAATAATAAATAATTATCGTCCTGTTTGTTTTATATTGATTTTTAATTATTTTATTTCAAGAAGTTTATCGTGAGGTCTTGTCCGCAAGGTTGTGCTTTAGATAAGATACAATTTTAGGTCAAGGATTGTTTTTGCGTCGAGGAACAACCATACTTCATTTCAAGAGTCATAACAATTTTCTTTTTAGCCTATTAGTTATTGACTTTAGATATTGCACTTTGGTTTTAGACTCTTCATACATGTAAAATCTGACGTTTGTTTTGGCGTTTTTATATCAGAACAAGTTAGCAGTATTAATTGCACATTAGTTATCGTGGTCAGAGAAAATGCCAAGATTGTTGGCAACATAAGAAATGAAGAGTGGACATAGAAACATAAGGGCAGGAACATTCCTTATGCATTTAGCAGTTCAGAGAGTTATCTGTGCGAGAGCGGGTCTATCTCATTATTGATAAGAAAAGTCGTTAATTAGCCAATTTACTAATGGGTATTTTGACACATCGACCTTGGATCTGTTAAATCCCTCTAAGATGTATCTCGATGGCAGTCCAATTGATTAAATTTATTCCAGAATTGTACAGTTAAATAAAAAAGTGTACACGAATTGGTTTTGATGATTTTTTGATGATATTAAGCAGATTTGTCGGATTCGTGACGTAGCCAAGGACACACAATCAAACTGTCGAAAAATATATTGACTTTTCTCAGGATTTAGGCCTAAGTGGTGACTTTTTTGTCCTTAAAAGTCTCTAATACCACTTCCTATGCGCAGCAATGGAAAATGCATTATTCCGAAAGGGGTGTTCCGCATAGGCACTGCTGTGAAAGAATTTTCACTATCAAAAAGCGTTGCTTCAAATGCATAGCTCCGAAAATGTTTCGGAGCTGTGCTGTCGATCGGAGCAAAGCCAGGATATTAAATTGTGACAACGAACGCGAAAACAAGTACAAGAACAAGGTAATTGATAATTCGTTCAGTTGACAGATTTCCTGTGACAGAGACAGGTTTATGAAGGCCAAGCTCAGTGGTGTTTGGTGTAGTGGTGTAGGGGTGGTATCGATTATCACTCCCCCTCCCCCCAGTGGGGGTTGGTCTGGGGCGACACACGCACTGTACATGCTCAATACGCGTATAGCGCCCACCCACTGGCTAAGTGGGTCATACACTCAGGCCTATTGTAATTGAGTGTAATTCTCGCTCAAAAGCTGTAACAGTGCTATCTGTGTGTTACATAATGCAATATGTGATTACGTTATTCCAATAAGTGGGTCATATTCAGTATCAGTGTAGAGATGACAAATTGCCTAGATCGCCAGGCTTTAAATTGAGCGTTATCTAGCTCAAAAGCTATAAAAAAAAAACATTTCTGTGTGTTTATGATTACGGACTCCATTGTGATCACCCGATAATGTTTTGCATTTTATGATCAAAATGTCTCCGAATCGCCAGCTTTCTGAAACTTGCTTTCATTGTACCTAACTCGGACGGGTAGCGTTGTCCTGTAATCCAGCTACTAGGAGGTTACGAATTGTGGATACAGTATTTATAGGCATGCACTGTGGATGCGATACTCCCTGGTGTGGATTAACGTTGGGATTAAAGTCCCCACGAGTGAGTATTACGACTATCCGCAGTACCTGAAAATTAGACCAATTCGTATGTACCAAGGCAAAAATGTGGTTCGGTCGGATTCTGTAGGTCCCTTAGTTGACATTAGCTGTATGGGCTAATTAACAGCTGTGTCAAAGGAATAAGTCGGTCTTGTCAGTTATCCTGGAAGATGAAGGTTGATAGCTGAAAGAAAACAATTCAAAGAATTCCTATTTTGTTTACTAACACAGTTCAGAATTTGTACTTCACTAGGGAACTTTGTTGATCCATAAATAAACCCCAAAAGGTTGTGTGTGTTGTTATTTAATTTGTAACTAAACGTGTTGTGCGAGCTGGTTGTAGGGACAACTTTGACGCTATTCCCATCAGTTTGTGTTGAATGGACACTGGGCAGTGATTGCCCCGTATATCACTGGGACTGGACACTGCTATTGTATACAGACAATGGGGTTTATGTGCCTCAGTCATGGTGTAAACGATCAGTTCCACCCTTGGCCTTGCTGCGGCGACTTGAGGAACTGCACAGCTACATGGGCAAAACTCCCACATGCCTGTCGCGTCGACAAACACTTATCATGTTCCGATTTCTAATCTAACCCAATCAATGGCTATAACTTAGTCGTATGTTTAAATACATGAACCATCACGACATTGTTTCCAAACAAACATTGTTCCTTTTTGTCACCAATAAATAACCAATAAACTGACGATTCGTGGAAATGACAAGACATAGTGAAACAGTGAAAGCGGCGATCTCCATGGTTAAACCGACCTTCAATGAAAGCAGTGAAGCCAAGCTACTTCAACGAATTCGTTGTGAAACAAGCTATAACTACATTGGTAGTTTTACACAATTGCGTTTAATATTATAACTCAGTCTTGTACACGAATACTTGGACAGAACCGGTATGGATCATAAACAAAAACAAATTACGTTGCTGGCCCGTATCCTATACTAATAGCTTTACATGTTTTGGCAGTTCCATTTAAGCAAATTTAGATCTTTACTTTAGGGCCAGTAACATAATTTGTTTTTGTGTTGATCCATGCTGGTTCTGTTCCAAGTATTTGTGGAATTGGGCTATTTATGAACTCTTTATTCGCAGAAACATGTTGATTAAACATTCCCCCATGTAAATTAATGCACCTCCTCTCGGTCTCAGAACTGCTGTTTAAGATTTATGGCCTGTTAGCGATCAGCTGTTTTTGTGTTTCTCTTTGGAGTGTCTAACAATGAGTTCCTCCATATTGTAGATTTTCCATCCTTAAGGATCAGCTGAAGCCAATTTTATCGTTGGTTCTGTACGGTGTACTGTAGAGGCCGTGGTTTGTTTACAATTTGTTTCTTGTTATTTCATTCATTTAACACATCATTCAACCAAATAAAATAATCTAATCTTAAACAATACCTCTAGTTGTATAACCAAAAAGTAAAGCACAAATCATGAAATTGACTCTAATAAACCAAATTTCCTTAACACTAGCGATCAGTGTCCGGACATGAACTGGCTCAGAAAACTAGCTTCAAAATTGATAGTGGTATGAGAAGCCCATCTTGTGTTAGTTAGTCTATGGTTCCTCCACAGACTAGCTCCAATCCAGTCTATTACCTGTCCTATTATGACCATAGAGTAAACCACAAATTGCCAAATTGTTTACTCTCTCACTGATGTGGACATAAACAGAAGTATGTGCAGTTTAGTTACATCACCTTATTGGTAAAGTACAATTTGGCATTTGGGCTTAGAAAGTTTTTATCACTGTTCCATTGGATAGTCCTCAACGTCGCAAATAAGGAATCAAAACTTAATTGGTAATTTTTCCAGCGGTACATAGGACTCCCAAGTTCAAAACTTCAACATACATACAAAGTTGAAGGTTTTGTTATAGTTCAATGATTTTGCGCATGATTAGAGTCGACCTTTTTTCACAGGATTAACATTCTATAAAAAATTTCACAACATTTTTCTTAATATTCTGGGTAGCCGAGTGTATTGCTTGCCTTCAATTCTGAATGTCGCTGGTTCGATCCCAAACAAGATAGATTCTGTACCCTAGTCATTTCCTTGCAAACAATAGTTCGAAGGATGATAATAAGAACAGGGGCTGGACCATCCCCTTATAAAAGACTAAAAACAACAATAGCTTTAATAAACACAAATACAAAACATATTCAAACACGCCGTAATGGTAGTTTTCAATGTGGTTGTGCATTACATTTGACTGGAAGGTTATTTAAATCGCACCAGAGATAGGTCCGAACGCAAAGTTTTGGTCTATCCCCTTCAACAAGGGGTGTTCAGAGTCTCAGTATTGATTTTGTCTACCGCAGTGAGGGGGTTGCATGTTGGGGGTGGTGACAAGTCAACGCTCTCTCGCTCTCTGTTGCTACTTGCTACCGTCTTGCTCTCGTTATTTTTGTATCTGTTCCACTTTCCATTTGCATTCACCCGGCCTAAAGTGTTTCTTAGAAAAGGCTAAGAAATGTTTAACCTTTGTTTTTTAGATGTTAATGCTTTTAAGATTTGTCGGAAATTTATCTTAAAAGAAGTGTGTATGTGTATGGGAAAAGTTGTGAACATTTTCGAAATTATAACACCAAAATAATTTTCACTAGAACACTCCATTTACAACCAAACCTACATTAGCTCAACAGCTGATTACAACCATCTGCCCAAGACAAGGTGTCCCTCTTGAAGGGAGCGTATTTGCAGCTGCCTCAAAATAAGAATGAATTCAATTTGGGAATCTAGCTCTACTGAGTAGAGAACCCGATAAAACGTATTACAGGAAACAGATAAACCGTGGGAAATATGTTTGGTATCGATTCCGCGGAAGTGTAACAACCGCATAAACTGACGACCGGAAATTCCGAGGCCGGATATAAAGGGGTTCTACTACAGCACACTACACAACTCAGTAAACCCCTTGGTAATCTCGCGTATCTCTGACTTTTATTCAAGTATTCGACACAACGTAGCATGCCATCGACGCTCGTCAAATTTCGGCACAGCCAAGGTCGCCGGCGCGGGTCGTTAACATTGGGAATGCAGTGTGTTGAGAGTGGCGGGCGGAGCACTAGGCAGTAGGCAGGGTCTTTGTAAAGAACAGGTTTGGTCCTTGCAAGGCCGAGCTCGGGTCTTGGACCTCTACCCCATCAGCGTCCCAACCGTCAGTGATGTTTAACTTTTAAAAATCTCTATCTGACCTCGGCTAGTCCGTTAGTCTAGGTTTTGGTCATCAAATTGATTAGTGTGGCTTCATAAATAACTTTGAGAAGGATTTTGTATTGCAATACTACGTTTAAAATATGACTTGAAAACTCTGAAATCCCATTATCGTCCCACACCAATCTTTTATTTGGTGTTGTTTTAAAATGTCCAACTTTGGAACACTATGTCAATGTCACACCATGTTATCTTTCAACCGCCAACAGTTTCCATTGTTTCCAAGGTCAACTAGTGATTTCAACATCGTGCGTCAGTCTAGGTCGTCTAGGTTCGTTAAATTTCTAGATTGGAATAGGTTTACAGGTGGTTTTAATAAGGAATAACAACCTTGAAACTCAATAATATTCCCATACCATGCTACCATTGACTATATACAACCATAGTTTATGGAATATAGGTCAATGATGCTACTTTCCAACCGCTAATTTATCACCGAGTAATTTTCAAAAATTACTTTGTTGAGGCGAGACTGTATGTCAATGATGTAGAATTATTTTTGAGTGCCTCTTGAAGCATTTGGGAACTGATACAGAAAGAGTTGCAAAGTTTAATGGCATTGCAAGGAAGATGTTTTTGTAAGAAGGTGTTGTTGAGAGTGGTCACAAAGTTGTTATGAGGTGGTTATGAAGTGAAAATAGATTAGACTTGAGAAAAGGAGAGCTTGTGGATTATTGTTTATAATCAACAAGCCAATGTCCTAGGACCCAAGCCAGTCCCAAGTATTGATTTGTTGTTTTATTTGTTTGTGTTATGTAATCGGGAAAGTCCTTCTATTTTAGCTTGTACTGTAGGCTATATCATCAGTCGATTGTTTTGATTGTTAGTTAGTAAACAGTCTTATATAACTGTTTAGCAAACCCAACTAAGTTGTCCAGAGTTCAACTAGATTATGTTATCAGTGAAGCTATAGGAAAGTCCAAATGACCAAACCTTGACCAATTAATTTACAGCTCCTTTGTGTAGAATCTGTCCTAATGTGTTTTCTAATATAGATCTTATTCTGTACTACTTTACTAGTCATATCTTGGAAATTAACTATCTAAATACATACAATCAGGATTTTACATGAGAAATTGCTTTGATTCATGTGAAGTTTTTCATCTCACAACAGTGAAGCCTAAATTTGTCTATTTTCTTTTTCGGATCGTCTGATTGTCTATCCATTTCAATTTATAATTTGCTAATAATTCCATACTTCCAAGTGCATTTAAATGAGAAAATTCATACGTCTAATTGTAAATATTTAATAATAAGTCAACTAAATCCTATAGTTGAGGTATACTATATACTGTAGTGGCTCCTGACTGTGCTCACATTTCAGGTAAAATCTAAAAATATTCTTTCTAAATGATCAATATTCCCACTGGGATTTAAGTAAATGTTCCAAAAACCCACATTTGTGGCACTTATTGTATTTGCTTGAAAATATTAGCACATGGAAAAGTTTAGCTGTGAAAACTGAATGTTTGGAAATGTGACGTTTGTTGGGTTTACAATAGCTTGCGATTGGAAGAGCCTGGAATTGTAGTATTTGAATATGCGAGGATCGCTCAAAATTACTCTTTCAAATCGAAAGTACATTGAATGAAAGGATGATTCATGGTTGGTCCTAGTGTTTGGCCTAGTGTAAAGAGATTGCACATGAACCTGACACCCCCAGGGTAGGGGACAGTGACAGAGGGGGGGGGGGGTTTAAAGGGTGACTCCCCTACCCCTGATTGACATGCAGAGTTAGGTCTATTGATTGGCTCCAGCCTACCAGTTTAGCTGACCTTTGAATACAACACTTGCACTTTGTACCTGTCATGTTGTCTTCCTGTTTTAATGTGTTCACGTTGCATACTTGACTATGGATGTATATTGTAATGGTGGCTGAATAATGCTGTGCTTACGAGAAGTAATCAGAGCTATAAAACTATACAAGCACAGAAAACATACTACTATCAGAATGCCAACCGTATGGTAAAAAGCTCTTAAGTACTTTGAGAGAGCTTTGCCTGTCAGTTCATAGGCAGCGCCACCAGCGTTGCAATTTTTACCATGCGATTGGCATTCTGGGTTATAGTAGTATGTTTTCTGTGATACAAGGCGACTTATGCCTCACTGATATTTGGTTTAGTTATGTCCATTGCATCTCCATCTCAATTGGCGGTAGTAAGAATAAGAATATTTATTTTCCTTTGACATTACATGCCTTTGGAATCGTCAGTTAAGCTACTCATTAAGAAAGATCACAAAGCTCTACAAAAACCAGCAAATTCTACACAATCAGCTGTTGTCAACAACAATACCAGTTTAGGATCAGCTGTTTATCGTACAATCAATGAAACCTATTCAAGGCTATCTTATGGACAGCTTTAAACTCTCTGACCCTTTTATTGGGCCAACCTTTTATATTTGTTGTTCTTTTGATCGGCTTTCAACATTGTTTTGTCTTTACTTAATCTATTTACTCTTTTTGTGTCAAAGGTGTCTTTCTTTCATTCGTTTTAGTTTCCCTTCATATTTTTTACACAATTATCTCCCTCCTTAGAACATTTTCCGTCCATGTTCTGCATCCTGCTTCAGCAAATACTTAGTGAGCATCAAAACGATCCAAATCCGTTGAAACATGTGTTTGAGTCATAACTGCTTATGGATTATACAAGTATATATTGTGTTTATGTAACTTTCTCTCTCTGTTACAGTCGAAGGGTACCTCGCTGCCTCAACGGGTCAACAAGAAGCCGTCCCGAGGTCTGTTGAGACATATTCTACAACAAGTGTACAACCAGGCTGTGAGGGAACCGGACAGACTCAACCAGTACGAACCCTTCTCACCGGAGGTCAGTGCCTTCATTATAGTCTGTATGATGAGACCTGTCTCCTGTCCCGATTTACTTTTCATTTTGATGTCCCTAGAGGCCAAAACCACCATCTGTTCAAATTCATATTTATGTGTCCATTAGTACGATAACTCGGGCAAAAATGATCCCGATTTCAATAAAATTTAGTACAAACGTGTAAACCTACGTTTACTCTAACAAGTTTCGCAAACCAGCCTGATCGAACCATGGGACTGGGTTTTATGGGGTAAAAATTGGTTTTTCTCTTTTTTGACCCTCAAAACATAATATTTTCCAATTTCTCTGTAGATCATTTTGAAGAGCTTGGAAAACAAATAATTTAGTATATTGAAGTGTTTTTGTATAGCTATTGGTTTTGGAGAAAATTGTAAATAAAAAATTCCCATGTTATTCTTATGGAGAATAAGTAAACTGTTGTAGCTTGTTTATGGATATGTTTTGATCTAACTTGCATTTCTTTTTACTATTTTATACTAAGCTATTAATGTTAAAAAACACTTTATTACCCTCCCTGTAGACAGCAAACCTAGGTACTCGTTATAGGCCTACCTAATGTTATTAAAACGGATTTAATTGAAAATCAAATCAGGCAAATTGTAATTTGCTTAGTCTGAAAGTTTCCTGCGGCCGGGCTATTTTTCTGCCAAACTGTCCATGACAGTCGTTTGTCCTGTATTTGTATTAAGTGGATATTTGGAGGGATTGTGTACCTGAATTCGACTCTTACTCCAACTGCTGTTATTTGAATTCAAGTTGGTTTCTAGCCTCTAACAATAAAATCATCAAATAATTGTTAAACACTTCCTATTTTGTGTTGTGCAGGTATACGGTGAAACGTCTTTCGAACTAGTGTGCCAAATGATAGACGAGATTCAGATCACCAGTGAAGATGTGTTCATTGACCTTGGCTCAGGCGTGGGGCAAGTCGTACTTCAAATGGCTGCTGCGACTCCGTGCAAAGTCTGCTTCGGAGTCGAGAAGGCTGAGATTCCGTCCATGTATGCAGATGTGAGTTGGTCATTTGTTCTTATTTGATTGGGTTTTAGAATACCTAAGAACTGTGTAAAGCAATGGAACAAGCTGGCCGACAACTTGTTTTTTAAATAATTTTAGAAAGTCTAGGCTTGAATTAGGTACCGCACTAGAAGTTTTCCCAATTTTCAAAAGTCTACTGTGCCAATTACATCTTATTTAAAACTGAATCACTCTGTAATACAACGGCTGACAAAGGGGTTTTTATGTTACTGTAAAAACTATTCTTTGAATCAGCAAGACAACTCATCATTCATGGGTTGAATTGATAAGAACTTGAATTTACTGAAATTAACACGTTCGCTGTGGCCCATCAAATGGTAGGCGCAGCCCCAGTTCGGCGCAGCGTTGAGCGAACCTGATTGCTGGACGATTGGCTTTCAAATTTTGGTCTGACGAATAGCAAATAATGTGCGGTGATGTCCTAAAGTACTCTCATCTACGTAGTATAGGTCTGCCTTCGATCAACGCTAGGCTCGCACTGATCATCAAATTTTAAGATTTTTTCACTGCAGTGTGGGTCAGTAATGACCCGGCCGCGTGAGGGCTGCGATCACCGTGGGTCAGTACTGACACCCACCTGCAGCAAACGTGTTTTAATCAACTGAAATAGGATTTGGAGGTTGGTCAGACGAAGTAACTTGAATATGACTTAATTTGTTGAAACAAAATATTTCACCCGTTTTACAATTTCCTTTTCTGTTTATACTAATTTTACATCTATTATTTCTGTAATATTCTATATTCAACTGCCCGTTTGTTTCAGGATATGAATGGCAATTTCAAGAAGTGGATGAAGTGGTACGGGAAACACTACGGTGAATACCATCTAATCAAAGGAGACTTTTTGACTGAAGAACACCGTGAGAAAATAGTTGGCGCTACAATTGTTTTTGTAAATAATTTCGCTTTTGGCCCAACAGTTGATCATATGTTAAAAGAAAGATTTGCAGATTTAAAAGACGGGGCCAGAATAGTCTCTTCTAAATCGTTTTGCCCTCTAAATTTCCGTATTACTGACAGAAATCTTTCTGGTGAGTAAATCCCAATAAATTTGGTCTGTAGATTAAAACACACCCTAATTAAGTTATTAAAAATCACTGTTCACGCTAACTATTTGGTGTTGTAGTCGGGAGGGGGATAAAAAATAACTTTCTCTTCATCGTATGGGGCAAGACTACGATAACATTTGTGTGAAAGTCGAAGCAACAAAATTGACTTTGCCCAAAATGGTGGTCTAAATATGATAAAACAGCTGATTGGAGACCAGACTGGCTGATAAATTTTACTACTCTAATCACCACAGCAATTTTGTGGCTTAAAAACCATATAGCCTAATTTAAAACTCCATTTAAGTCACTGGATAGTACTATGGTGATAAGCAGTTTAAGTTTTGTTAAGAAAAAAAGAAACATTTTTTATCTTGTCAAGTTTGTTTAGAAAAATCACATATTACGTTTCTGGTAAAAATATAAATTCAATCATACCATCCACTGTGTTTAGATTATTTTGTTACAATTGATTAACGACCTTTCTCTCTTACAGATATTGGAACGATAATGCACGTTTCTGAAATGGTTCCGCTAAAAGGCTCTGTATCATGGACAGGCAAACCTGTGTCTTACTATCTACATGTTATTGATAGGACAAAGGTATGTTGATTGAGGTTATGGTACTTAATGAGTAAGCATTTCCAAATTTTAGTATGGGTTCATGCATAACCTCTTAAAAATTGTGTTATTCCTAGGTCTGGATATCAACTAGGCCTATTCATTGTCTTCTATACCTCAGCCCCTCTTTTACCACCATTTGCCATTTCATTTCTCTCTTTACATTTCTCTTAAACTCATAGATCCTAACTTTTGGTAATTTAGTTTTTCTCTCAGTTTTATTCGCTCTACAATTTCAACTCCTAAATCACCAACAAATATATTTTTCAAAAATGTATATATTCTTGAATTACTTTCATATGTTATTGGTCTAAATCATTGTTATGTTTAAAATATGAACCACTTTTTAAAACTAATTTATTTGGCCTCATTTTTTACTTCTGATTTTGAGTTATCTTAATGCGTTCATGTTCAGAAATGTATTCCAAAGTCCATAATCATAAAAGTCAAAATTGTCTTATTAGACCTACAAGAAATGATAAACTCCTATGGACATCCTAAGAATTGGCACCATAACAACTAATTTGTTTGAGTACGGTTTCTTATATATTATTGTTTTATACACACACATACAATTTATGGATTTAATCTAGGATTTGTAATGTGTCAAAGATGTGAGCAATTATCGGTGCGATATATTGTTTATCAAACATTAAAATCATGCATTAAATTTGTGGAGACAGATTAAAACTTCTGCAAAATAATAAGTCCCAAGATCTTGTAGTATACCATGTTAATGTTCTTCCTTTGTTATTTCAGCTGGAGAGATATTTCCAGAAGTATAAAAATATTAAGACGAGGGTAAGTACTGAGGGTAGATTGGAGTAGGTTGTGGAATACAAGTGTATCAATTAATTTATCTTTCTAGGTTTATAAATAATGATATGGACTTGGCACTGAGTTTAGCCTACTTAGTTGTTTCGTTTATAGCGTCAAAATGTGGATAGACATAAATTTGGGTTTTACAGTAGTTAAGGCCATGGACATTTGTTATCGTCTAAAGTCAGTAGGCCAATCCTAATTTATTTCTGTGTAATCAATGTAAAAATGTGATCCTATTTTTTGTTACCTTGATGCTACTTTAAATTGTCCAACTGTTCAGTCAAACTAGCAGAATTGTCAAATTTTAAATATAACGCTCTTTATTATTTAATCAATAGAATTGACTATTTAAAATACTACAAGAAGAGTGACGATGCATCTGTGTCTGAAATTTTATAATTCCAATAATCATCATTATAATTAACTTGGTCTTGGTATAATATTTTACAAAGGGTTTGGTAAATTTGAATTGGAAAAAATTATACTCGCTTAATATAATTGATGCTTTCTGATATGGAATACTTCTAGAAAGTTATGGGTCTGCTCTCAGTATTTTATAAAAAGTTATATTGAAGTCTAACAAAGAAAATTACCTGTATGTTAAATTTTCAACTTGTAATTTTTCCTAAATTAATAACCTAATGTAATTATCTATAATAAAACGTAAGGTTTGCTCCTTATTTTACATAAAATACAGATTGTTAAATTTTTTATGCTACACTGTGTTTACATAACAAGAAAGCTATTAAAGAAACTAATGTTATAAATAAGAACAAAGCAATTGATACCAAAAAGTGAATTGAAAGTATTTCAGTTTATAAAATAAAATGTAAAATTTGTTTTAATACAGAATGGAGTGACACATGTCAACGGACTTGCTATTGAGAACGGAGATGCTGTGAATGGTCGTGCGTGCCGCTACCGCAACCGTCGCGAGACCAAGAGTGCTGACCAGTCAAGCGAAACGGAGAGTGAGACGACGGACAGCTCGGAACTGCCGAGGGTGACGACGCGGCGTGCGTGGAGCGACTACTGCACCAACAAGGGGCGGAGCTCCCAGAGCGAGGAGGAGTCTACTGGTGAGTGAATAGTGACAGCTGATTATACCATCACATGTTGTGGATAATTGGTTGGCTCTAGCCTGGAACTGTTTTATATCAATCAATCAATTAAGATGGGGACGCCACTATGTGCATATTTTAACCCATATATGAGTGAAGGATGAGTGGCGCGATCTTGTAGTCTTGTTTAGTGACTAGGGCCGACATGTACCTTAATTCAGGCCTAGTGTTAGTCAATCAAGTACTAGTGGGTCGCGGCATTATCACGTGGTTAAAGGCTTTGATATGAACACATGACCTCATAGAGACTGAAGCTCCATGTCTAGTGTTAGACCAGCTAGCTCCTTGGTCAGAGATAGAAAGTTCAGGTCAATGTCGATAGGTACATTTTTTGAGTGATAAATTACCATTTTCATTTTGAAGAGGGCGTATTGACCTAGGGTGTCTACTATCACGGAAAAGTCACTGATTTTACTAGAGGTTAAGGGAAGTCAATGAAGAGTAATGGATTTTCATTTCAAGTCCCAAAAGACACAGAAATAATTAGGCCATATAAAATAGTATTCACCATCCTGTCTTTTTTGTTCTTTTACCGATGACACGACAGCTGACAACAGTGTGTCTCGTAGTAATAAGGGAATATTTCACTATACATTACTGTGATATAGATTGGTGTTACCACATTTCCTGCTGTAGCCAAAATAAAGGCATTTTAATTTATTGATTTATTTTTGGCTCAGGTTAATTTAAACACATAACATATCCCTAATCCTATACATAGCAAGTGTTGAGGTCCAGAAAATTTTAAAAACACAGGCTGCTTTTTATATGGGAGATACGCTGTAGATAACTTACCCTGGATTATGTCCACTGACAAAAACATTATTAACCGTTCACTGAGTATTAAAATTTTTCTCACAGGCAAAGGTCGATCACCAAGGAAGAAGCAGTTGCGGCGTAAGCTGCCTCGTGCTGGTAAGCCCCCGCCTGCGTCCATCGCGCCAGCCCCAGGGCCCCGCCCTCCAGCACGGAGGACCAAGAAGTGCCAACCCAAGCGGGGAAAACCCAAGAAACCCATCAAGATCACCGGCGCCTTAGACCTGCTGCATAGTGAAACACTGCTGAGTACGACACCACAAGGTCAGTTCAGCTTCACAATTGCTTAACAAAGTCAACTCGGATCTCTTTATATGCCAGTAAATATTCACACAAATATATACGTCAGAAATTACAGGGTATTCTTAATTTATGGTATAGCATACAAAGCTACAAGTCAAAATCAGTGGTAGTCCAGGCTGCAGTCATAAATTCATTAACATGGTAAAAACTATTTTTCTTGATAAAATGCTTAATCTTATTCAGTGTCAAGCCAACCAGGTACTGGGAATCGTATGTGAATTTTGATGACCGAAAAAATCTGTGAATTTTGTAAGGGACCGGTAAATTGGAATTTTTTGAATAATCACTGAAAAAACCGATTTTTGTTGTTTTGGGTAGTGAAAATTGTGACTGCAGGATACTATTACGAATTGGGGATGTTGCCACGATCATAAGAAATTATCACAGAATTTCCCACATTCGTAAGAAATTACCACGGCCGTTGTATTTCTGCAAAGAACTTTCAATTGAGTTTAGTGCTTTTTGTGCCTCATTATGTTCTATGTAGTTTGAACCAAATGCATGCATGAGGACATCTTCAGCTTGTAGTTTTCCCCTTTAATATTTTTCATAACACCTGTTCTGCTAAACCCTCTGGTCTCACAAGACCAACTGCATCAAAAGATCTAGAGGACTTATTTAAGTGAAAAGCTAAGTTACTGCCGTGGCTATCTGCACACAGAAGATTTTTATTAATTGACTTTTTATTGTTGTTTTTGATTTAGCAGGAGCATGTCTTTTACTTTTACCTTTGTCCTGATGGCTTCTTGGGTTATACAGACAATTTAGTTTGTCTTTTTGTGGCCCGGCAGCATCTTCATATTAGTTGTCTGCTTCTGAGAGTGATTGTAAGGGAGACAAACGATTCTTGGAGGTAAAAACTGCTTCAGCTGTTCCCACAGCTTCTCTGTCCGGGTTGCGAGTATTTTGATGTCTCCGTTGAGGGTTACTGAATACTGGTTGCCACTAGTTGGCTACATGCGGATCTGCTGATAGTGTTGTTTGTTTGTAATAGGATTTCAAACAAGTTAAAATGTCTGTTTTTTATTTTTTTGGCTGCCAATCTGAGCTTTTTTTTATTTATAATCTGCAACATAGATTCTAATGACCTCATTGACTCAAATTTTTTTTAGTCTTATCTTCATATATCATACGTTTTCTGCAGGATTTGGGTAGCATGACATCTGGGTTTTAGTTTTACATTATTCCTCTAACTAAGAGATTTGTAGAGATTTTTTCAATTTTCTTCTGCAAAAGTTAATATTTTTCATAAGGTAATCTTCCTTGAAAATAACTGTTAAATCAAGATTCTCTTCCATCTCCTTTAGGCTATTTTGTCTTGTAATTCTAAAACGTAAAGGGAGCTTTTGTTCTTAGACTCGAAGAGTTCTTCCGGCAATTCTTCATTTTCTGTTGTAATAGACTTATTATCAGCAACAACCTTTTCCCTAATAGTAATAGTCGTACCAAAACTTAAATCTTAAATTCCTCAGTGTTTATAGTTTCACAGGTTTCTGTGCAATTTGAACGATGACATAATTTTTCTTCTGCTGATGACATATTTTTTACTTCACTGTACAAGCTTACACACTTTAAACGGGACAATTTTTCACAATTTCCAGGACAAAAGATGGTTCCTGAGTTTGCAACTCTTACTACATTTTCCACATGGATATTTGTCTGTAACATGTTTGTGAGTGTTAAGCGTCGCGTAATCGACGCACAACACACCCGCCGTGGTGTTATGCGTCGCTTTTGCGACCCACAAACATCGTTTACGGCGAAGGCTCTGGGACTGACTGAATCAGATTGAACTGGATCGAGATTGGTATCGTTGTTTTCGGCATATTCTGAGCTTTCTCCTGATGTCTGTTTCTAGACGCTATTCATTTTAGTTCCGAAAATATTGTAGCAGACAGCTGACGTGCGTATTTATAAACAACTTGGTTAACCTCGCACCGATGACTGATGTGTTTTATTACGTTTATCATTGTTTTAGTGTTAAAAATCAAAAGTAGTGATATACGTGGTGCATTATAAGAAGATTTAAGTGATTTTGAAGGGCTGGTTGATGATCCTGAAGAAGTAGGTAGTGATATTGATGTAAATTATCAGCCAGATTCCTAGCTATGTTAGGCTATGCATTCTTAGCTAAACACTATGTACCGAAATCTGTTTCTTGCCCATAACTTATTTATTTGCAAACCTACTTCCTTATATCATTATATTTTTGGAATCCTCATAAAATTCTGAACAAAGTGGCTATTTAAAAATATTTCTAGACCTATAAATTATAACAATTTATTGAGCGCAAACATAATTTTTTTTCATTTATTTTATAATTTTTGAAAAATGTTAACCCCACAAAAATTGTTGAACATTTTTTTTTATGTTTTATATGTTACATTGAAGCCCATAATTTTCCAAACAAAATTATATATAAAACAGTATACTTTACATTGTTTTTAAGTTTCTAAGATACATTTTAATAAAACCCTGCGATTGCGCAATAAATGGGCGAACATTAAGACCAAAACTATGGACACTTGGAGGGTTAATCATTTTAAAAATTGCATCAACAATTTCAAAGGAAGCATAAATAATTTGTTGTTGTTCTCCTTCTCTTTTTAACCTAAAACATTTATTTTTGCATATATGTTATTTGTTTTAAGTAGGCCTATAAAATTTGAGAAAATAAAATAAGGAAATTCAGTTAGAATAAGGATCAATTATAGTTTAATGTTATTCTTGACCATAGACAACAGCTGATTGTGTAGAGATAGGTCCAGGCGTAGGGTTTGTTTACCTTTGCTAATCAACAAGTGATAACACGTCTGCTAATTTCATCAATGAACCTGTTTGTTGGTTGAAGTACGAGTCTGTGCATTCCAATTAGAACAGGAAAGTTTCTTCTAAGTTCAAAACTTGGATCTTCCTTCCTGTCTTAGTTTTAATATTTATTTAGTTATAGTTAGTTTGTTAACTACTTATAACTGTGTATAGGTTGTCAACCTAATTTCTGAACTGTACCTCGACTAAAATTAGTTTGTGAAGTGTAGTCAAATTTGAAAACTTGTAGAATGAAAAAACATGTGCTTTTAAGATGGGCGACTGGTGAGTTTTAAATATTATGTTTTTAAGTGTACAAACTAATAACATACTAAAACTTTTGTTGCAGCGAATAAAACTTACTTTAATTGTTTTTATGTGCACTTGGCTGAAAATCACTTTGCAAAAAATCCACTTTCTAAATAAGACTTACTAGAGACAGTTTAATGAATGTTCTTGAACCAATACAACGAGGTACAAATATGAAAATGTAAATAAGTGGGGAAATCAACCTTTAAAATAATAAAGTAATTTTTATAAAAACAAGCCAAGTGTCTGTTAAGGAATTTTTTGAAAATTTAATATAACTTAGTTTAGCTTAAAATATTAAAAATCCAGAGGCTAATTTTCTTCTCCATCTACTCTCCGAAGAGTCATATACTAGGACAAAATATCAGTATTTGTGACTTTTATTTACATGTTTATTAGCTCCTGGACTCTTTATTTTTGCCTGAACTTATTCAGTAATAAAAATAATATCTAACATAATAATTACCCTATTCGGTTATAATTTTTTAAAAATTAACGAGATTTAGGTTTTTGTATGTTTAGTAGGTCATTGGTATAAAGAAATCAGATAATAACTAGCCTACCTACAGAACTGTTGGCTATGATAGTAAAGCTTTGGAAAGATTCAATTTCGGTACATGAAAAAACACAAACCTTACACGAATACAAAAAATTTGTCCAATAAATAATAATTTTATTTGTTTTGATATTGTGTGAAGTTTATGTTCTTTGTGCTCTTTCCCATTTAGGTATGCATGCTATCCTAAAAACAACCCTTAAATCTAGGCTTATAGCAAAAGGCTTATTTTTATGAACACAAAATAATTTGGTAGAGGAAAGAATTAGTCAGTTTTATTTCTATTTTCCTTTTGTCAGTATTTGCTATCAATAACTACAGAAGAGAAGATGGAATAATGTATTTTTGTCGCGATAGATATAGTTTTGTTAGGTACCATAAAAAAACAAATCGAAGTCTCTAGCCAGAACCAATCATTAAAAATGTACAAAAATCAATGACCTCAAGAGTCAAGTTACTATCCATCAAAAACCTTGCTTTTACCTTTAACAAAACTTGAAACCCGATTAGAAGGTAATAAAACTCGTTGCAATCCAATAAGTTGGTCAAGGATCAATAAACACCTGAGCAAAGCGTCCCGAAGCCTACACATTTGTGAATATTCTGGGGATTGAACCTGTCACCCTAGAACTGGAAGGGTATAACTGTAAATATCAGTTTTAGTTATGAATGTATCCTCTATTTGTGATTATTTTGCAGCAGAGGGCATGAAGTTGCCACCGGCGCCGGGTTGTGTAGATCAACAGCTGACTTCCCTGACGACCATCACCACGGGTCAGCTGGTGCATGAGGAGCTGGAGATACCGCCTGCTCCGGCCGAGACACCGTACGCTCTACAGGTAGTGTACACTTTATGGTACAGCTGAAATGGCCTAAAATGACGACACTATTTTTTTTCTTCAAGGAAAGGCTCTATGCCAGGATTTCGATAGGTAGAGAGATTAAAAGCATAACAGCCATTCATCTTGGAAAAACATCTGGTAGGTCGTATAACACACTGAAAATACACCATGTTTCATCTCCATAGTTGATTTAATGCATCATGTAATGCCAAAGCTTAGAACTGCTATAGTTTTTTTTTACACAAGCTCGAGTTTAATAGAAGATTAGCGAGAGTAAAAATAATATTTTTTTGCAATATTTTTTTCTACATTGCACCGTTATTTTGACTAAGTTTCTTAACATTTCACATTTTGTACAAGTTTAGTTAGCTCCTGAAATGTCTCCAACATGTATCCCACCGTTCTGATCCCAAAAGTTGTTTATTTTTGAATGGTTTTTTCTGACCGGTCGACCTGTTACAGGTGCTACTGGATCTGTATCGCTCTCAGTTCATGGAGATGATCGACATGCTGAAGAAGCCAAGCTTTGCCGACCACATCCAGTCTATGATACAGAAAGAGAAGGTAAACTAGTGTTCTGATGTATCGTGTTACGAGTGACATAGTTTACCAACTGTCAGGTGAACTGAGAAACCAAAATGGTGAAAGTTGGAAATTATTTTTTTGTGAGGATATGAGGCTTAGAATTAGTTAGTGTCCACTCTGGTACAAGGATATCCTTACAAGAAAATCCTTGAAACCTCGGTCCTTTTTTTGTGTAATCTTTAACCTAAAAGGTTGGAAAAGGCCAATATACAGGTTGATCTTTAATTCAACGAGTTGGAACTAGTCTAAACACGGTTTTGTTTGCAATTAATTATCAGATGGTTTTAAGATCTGATCTGTAATAATTACGCTCTCAAAGTTTACAGAACATTTTAGTATTTTTTAAGCGATGGCTTGAAGGAATTGTCAAACTATTTAGTTCGTCAGCATCTAGCTAACGATTAATGCATCTGATTTACTAGGTAAATTGAATCACCCTAAAATATAGATTCAAATATTTTGGTTAATCATTGGCTCCGTAGCTTGATGAACTGTGATACAATGCAGGTGTCTTGGGTTCACGTCTCTCTGCTTACATCAAATCTATCATTAAATTTCATTCTTGTATTGTTCTGTCTAGCCAGGGTTTTATTTGATACATTCTATGCTTTTAAGACCCACATGGGCTTAAACAGGCCATAAGAGATTTCACCAATTTTGCCATTCTACCTCCAAACCTGTATTTTCTTGTGGGAGTTTAAAATAGTTTTGGTTTTGAATGTTTGAGATATTATCAAGGGGAATGTTGCTGAAAGTCAACAGTCCCGGAAGATCAAATAATTTATACCTGTGCCGCTAGGTCAAAAACTACAATGTTTGCAGTGTCTGTAGATCAAAAGTCCCAGTAAGTCAAATAGTACAGTCCGAGCTAAAAACGTGGTCTATGTTAAAGCAATTGACTTATTGGGAATTTGACCTAATGCAACAGCAGTTTTAATATAACGAAATACGGTCAAATACAAGTTCAGTTTCGCTGAGTCAACAGTGCCGGAAGATCAAAAGCAATAAAAGTGAACGTCGATTCAGTGTAAAGTAGACCTCCTGCAACGCTTACTACACCAACAAAACTCGCTTTTAGTTACTTCGTGTTTTGTCATAATTAGAATAGAGCTAAAATTATCATATTTGGTACATAGCTTATCTATTAATGCTTCTTGCCAACTGTTTGGTCAACACTGTAAATAGGTATAGCCTTTCGTCAAAATGTGTGGCATAAAATACACGCAAGGACGATCTGAAAATTTCTGGTTATTATGTACGTTTGTAAAAGGAGATCCATTTAATTTTAGAACTATTTTATGAGTTATAGTGTAGTCTACACATAAACTGTGTAAATGTATTACGCCTCGGAAGGGTTGAAACCTGTCCATATTATTAATATTATTAAAACATAAATGAGGTTTTTTCACATTCTGAATCAACCAGTCTACGGATTTTCATTATTTTTGTGTTGAAAGAAAGATAATTTTGAGAACTAGTGAATGTCAAAGCCATAATTATAATTAAGGGTCCAAGTTTTTTTTAGAAATAAAGTTTTAATATTTTAAAAGTCTAGCAGCCGACGCTAACCTTCTAAGCCAGCTTTTAGTACAATATAATTTGCTTAACATAACAGCTGTAAACATTCAGCATTTGTGACACAAATTCAGCATTTGAAAACAAATTTAAAGACATATTTAGAGTTGACTTATTTATACTATGTCACTATGTGTAATGCTGACCATTGATACATTCAATTCTTAGGTATGAGGATGGCAGATTATTTAAATTTGCATAGAAAAATAGTAGGATGTTCAAATTATTTTTTAAAGGAATCTTTGTAATCATCGATTTGTTTTAGTCCCATATAATTTGTTTTAACTAACAGCTGGTTGAATGTAATATTGTTCTATATAACTATTAGGTTTTTGGCGAATTTCCCATATAGGGAATAAGCTATTACCGTAGTACTTATGGTAACACCTGGACCCGGGACCGATTTAATTTTTCGTTTTGAGGTCCCTAGAGGCCAAAAACACCATCCGTTCAAATTCATATTTACAGGGTGATCAACTCAAGGAGGCCACCATTCGAAGTCGGAAACGGTAAGAATTAGAGAAAACATTAAATGGAGGACATTCCTTTATTTTTTGTGGCAGTTAAAAATATGATTTTAGTTTTTTTATCATGTTTTCGGATAGAATATGCAATTTAAAAACTTTTTTAGCCTTGACACTTTTTCGATAAACCCACTCGTTTAGGAGTACAGCCTATGGAAAAATGACTTCCGGTGTACATTTTACATCATGTAGCTCCTAAACGAGTAAGTTTAGAGCAAAACTGCAAAAATTAAATTAGTCTTAGAATTGCATCTTCATTCCTTAAAGACTATAAAATAAAAAGTTTTCCACTTTTCAAGTTTGCCGCCATTTTTTTAAACAATATAATTTATATTTTTAATTAATTTTATGGTCTCTTTGGAATGTGGATGCAATTGTAAGACTTTTTTACTCCTTGTATTTTTGCTATAAACTTACTTGTTTAGGAGCTACATGATTTAATATGTACACCGGAAGTCATTTTTCCATAGGCTGTAACTCCTAAACGAGTGGGTTTATCGAAAAAATGTCAAGGCTAAAAAAGTTTTAAAATTGCCTATTATGTCCGAAAACATGATTAAATATAGGGTGTTCGATAAGAAATTTCAAATTTGGCCACCATTTTGGAAAATGGCGGCTGAATATCAAACGACTAAAATCATATTTTAAACTGCCACAAAAAATAAAGGAATGTCTTCCATTATAAGTTTTCTCTAATTTTTACCGTTTCCGATATCCCAATGGTGGCCTCCTTGAGTTGATCACCCTGTATAGCCTATATTTATTTATTTATATATTTTTCCCGGGGGGAACCCCAAGACCCCCCTCCTTTTTGGGGGGTAATCCATACCCCCCAGGCCCCCGGTGACCCCCCCCCCCTCCCAAAATATATGTCTAGGAGCGCCCTTGTCTTCTTTACCTATAAAACACATGGGATACAGCCTTTTCTTCACTGATCACGTAATGCGTGATTTTCTATAAAGTCCTGGAAAAATAAAAGGTAAAATAGATTGAATAAAGGTGTACTGTATGTGGTTTACACAAAAATATTCATCAAACTGTGTGATATTTTGTTATTGCAATGAACAATTTGGGAGTATCGTATTGTTTAAGTCGATGGAAAATCTCTGTTGATCCTGTTTTACAAGCAAACCAAAAAGATACATTAGTCACCACTCTATGCGACATATTCTAACCAGAAAATTTTAATCGTATGATTCTATAAGCATTGATAGGATTGCAAAGTACTTCACAAACATTATTTCAAGGGTAATAACAGTCACAATTTCCGCCGACTTTAAAAGAGTCAACTAAACTACTATACTAATGGACACACAACTAAATGAAACAACTAATGGAACAACTCACGATGTACATATAACAGTTCGATATAAGCATTGAGTATACACGTCAGTACATACGTGTATACCCAATGATATAACCAACGGTTCTTGCAATTTATTGCTTATTGTTTTTTAGAGTTGTTTTCGGAATTTCTCTGTTTTCGGACGTACTCACACTCGTATAAGGTTGTCCACGTTTGTCATTGATAATGTAGCCATGTTACATGGTTACACCCGTTGTCAAGAATATGTTTACAAGTTTTCCGTCTGTTTTTGAATAGCGATACAATTTTTCACATACTTAAGAACCACCTGATTTCGTGCATTACATGTTCGTCTCAATTTTAATTGCTTTAGTAGGCATTATTTTGGTTGATAAGGACTTCAATCGGTCCTTTCAATGATAGCTCATGAAATATAGTACTTTGTCCATTAATTTTATTGTTTGGTAAAATGGATTAAATTATCCAGCAAACCCAAATTGAAATAGTAAATATAGTATTTGAAACAAATCAGTAACATGTTAATAATGTAACCTACATTATTTCCTTGAATTGCATAACAGCAATTAACTGGGCTGATCCTAATATAAATAAATCAATATGTTCTTCATAGGCATAACATGGGTTCATAACATGAGCCGCTGGGGCTGAGCCCAAGGGATTTAAAAATGTAAGGTTGGTTTGCAAATGTACGTGACACACTCTTTCTAATGAGACATGAATGGTCAAAATCGCCTAAGAAATTCGGAGGAGTTCAACGGAAAAATTTCGTGTTGGCGTTATACAGTATGGTTGAAAAGTCCTGGATTGGCTATATTTTTTTAACAATTTAGATAAAGTAGTGAGACTTGGTATATCAATAATAGCCATAAATATCTACTGTCTTAAGCTATTATCACTTTTTAATCCCTCAAGGGGGATGGACCACAAAGACTAAGACAAAATTCTTATAGTATAATTTTAATACTATTTTACCTGTTTTTGAAATGGCGACCATACAAATGTATGCATTTTAAGCCAAGTATGAATGGAGTTGAGTGTGTGATGAGTGGAGCGATCTTGTTGTCCTGTTAGTGACTAAGGCCGACTTAATCCTTAGACATAGCTGTTAATTAATAGTCCATACAGTCAATTAATAGCAGCAGAGGTCAAGTTTGGTAGGTATCAAATTTAAGGTTTTATTTATAAAAATATATTGCCGCAAACCCAAACTCAAACGATGATGATGATAATAATGTTAATGATATAGCTAAAACGTATCGTTTGAAATTTAACAGCTGAAAATAAGTTAAATAGAAAAGGTTTTGGTTAAATCCATCAAATTGTTATTGGACACTAGTAAGCACTAGTGCACTTTATTATATTGATTTACTTTGGATTTTAAAAATGTGAACGTTTTATTTTATTAAAGATTTATGGTGATACGTAAATATTGTAGTGTAGTAAAGTATATTATATTGTAGTTAAGTGTTAAATTTTGAAATTTTAGGGTGAATCGAGATGAATCTTTTTTTATAACATGGGTCTCTCCTACCTACATACCAAGTTGGATACATACCAAGTTTCATAAACATCGGTTGGAAAAGTGTAAAGATAAATATTTGTATGTAAAAAATACAAAATGGCGGATATCTGGTTAATGAAACGATTTTGGAAAAAAATGTTATCCTTCATTTTCTGTTTATTTTGACCCAAGGAATTACTAGGTAAAGTATCTCCCCGCTTATTTTTAACACCCTGTTTATGATGTATTCTTATAAGTAAAAAATGTAAGCTGGTAATACAGAAAGATGTTTTATAAATAATATGAATGTACTGGTGATCTGTATATTCATATTTTTCTTGTTCTTAGAACTGTAAATTAAAAGTCCACTCAGCAGTCGCATCGTACGATGTAGTTCTTTCCACGCGTTGCGAAATGTTAAATTTGCCGTCCTCTTTAACCCAAGTTATCTATTGAACCACTGATTGTAAAAAATTCAAAAAAATATATTTTACGCATCACACCTTTGGCTACAACTTTGCCACAGACAAAACCTCTCTAACCCAAAAACAAAAAAAAATCTCGCATGCTAACTTTTTCATGTTAGAAATCACGATTTAAAACTATTCCACCATACATATCAATTTTTATTAATTAGATCGGTAAATAGTTTAAAGTTCCAACAAAATAGTCATCGAGTAGGACTAACCAAGAAGCTCTGTGCCAATTTTCAAAATTTTAGCACAACTTTAAGTACACCGAAACACGAAATTATTGAAGTCATGCGTCGAGAGGACTATCGTTGTTTTTAACAGATTATACTTTTGACCTTCCGGCACTGTTGACTCAGCGAAACTGAACTTATATTTTATCTTATTTCGTTATATTAAAACTGCTGTTGCATTAGGTCAAATTCCCAATAAGTCAATTGCTTTAACATAGACCACGTTTTTAGCTCGGACTGTACTATTTGACTTACTGGGACTTTTGATCTACAGACACTGCAAACATTGTAGTTTTTGACCTAGCGGCACAGGTATAAATTATTTGACCTTCCGGGACTGTTGACTTTCTGCAACGCGTCCTTATCAAGCACCTTGGAAAATATATTTTTAAATTATTACCACTCTCCTGTAAGGTTGAGTATTGTGTTCGTGATAACACAAAGAGTAATTTCAACATCAATTTAGATACATGAAACTATCTTTGAACGTTTCTTTTTGAACTGTTGATCAAAATGGTGTACTAGTTGTGCGGTCATTTGAAATAATTTTATCATTGCATTTTTGTATTTAAATGCTCGGCACTTTAACCCACACTCAGTTCACTTTACAGTTAGTTTGCACTTTAAATGCACAGTATTTAATGGACAGAATTTAAAGTACAGTAATGTGTTTTTAGTGTAAGTAGGCTATTGTTTAGAATCTCTTGATAATAATCTGTCTGTATTTTGTTTGAGAAATTTTCCTCTTACCGTAATCGGTATAACTTCTAAAGACCTGTATCCGTTTGTAGTTGTTTTAAGTATTTTTTGCAAATTATTGCTTTAGTTTAGAACTACAAAGTTAATATTTCAAATCAGTTTTTAACTTTTAAGTTTTATATTTTTGTTACATGTCAAATTTAAATCATTCTCAATTATATTCATTTAACTACTAACAACCAAATCAAAATCCACAGTTACTTAAACTACTTAAATTTATTTCATTTTTGAACTTGAATTTAAATCAGTGCAAGACACAGGTGAAATAAATGTTAAAAGTGTTTAAATCCTAGTAATTGTATGTTTGTTCTTTTCTATGTATGGAGTCCAACTCCAATCGATTTCCAAGGGCGAGAAAATCTTAGAAATTTGCGATTAGTTCAACAAAGATCGTCGAACTTCAGATGGCGATGTCTTTTCAACTAGCTTAAAAATTTGACCTAGTCGATCGTTAAAGCACTAGAACGTAGCCTTCAAATTTTTAGAGTCGTTGGCTTTAAAAGTCATTGAAAAAAATATTCACTCAAGTTAACTTACCACAAAGAATTTATATTTTATATAATGAATGGAACATTTTTATAATGACATGTAGTCGATAGAGCTCTCAAGTTAGTCACAGAGTAAAATTACCTGATAGATGACTTTTGGTAGTATATGAATTATTTATTGCCAAAAACACGTTCATTTTTAGCCACTTTTCTACTACTTAACCACCTTCTAATCCATCAAAAAGTTAAATATATAGTAGTTAGTAAATTTTTAGGACACATAATAATTTTTGTCTTCTGTCAAGAGATTTTTGAAGTGGGAGAGTAGTTTTGTGAAGTTTGTTTGTGAATTTTATTTTTTGATATAAGCTACTCGAGTTGTTACACAGTGTAGTAATGGAACGGTTAAGTTGTGAGGTGAATAAATATCTTTAATGGTACATAAATATTTCATCTTATAAAGTATTTCCCAGCGAACATGGTAAAAAATTGATTAATGTTAGAAAAGTGCTAAGAGTGACTGTGTTTTCGGCAATCAGCAATTTATATATTATTGAGTGACTTGTCATGTAATCAGTTATTCTGGCGTCACTTAACTTTGATCGTGTGGTTTCAGTTAAGTACCTTGTCATCTGGTATGTTTTATAATAAAGTTAAAGGGTAAGTGGCAGGTAAGTCGGGGTAAAGTGCTGAAACGGCCGGTCCTGGGGAAAATATGGTTTTAGCACTTTACCTCATGTAGTGTTGTGTTTTATTTGTTTTGTGAGAGAAGTATGTATTATTTAGTTATGGGTAAGAATTTTGGCTATGGATAAAATAAGGAAAACAATTTTAAGCATACATATTCAAGTAGAACTATTCAATTATTTAACCTTTTGGCTTTTACCTACCTGGGTGGATCAGCATGTAGTGCTAACTTGTATCAGAACCAGGGAATTCAATTACACCTGAATTAAATCCCAGGGTGTTACTGTGGTAAAAATCAAATACCAGAATTTTGGGGTTGCCAAACATGATTCTGTATAGAACCAAAGAAACTTTTATTTCCCATAATGCCGCAGTACAATTTATAAATCTGTGTGGAAAAGAGCCCACTTTTAGTTGTACGAGTTGAACAAATACCTCATTTAAATCCTAAAAGTTATAAGATAAGAAAACACAAGTTTCATTGGAAGCACATCCATAATAGGATAACTTTGCAGTAATATATTGAACAAATTCAACCACGAGGTTAACTTATTTAAGGGTTTACAATGTCTGAAAAGCAATATCAACTTTAGAAATTGCACTAATGGTGTAATATGTATTTATTCGAATAACATCATGACTGTTATCCATGATTATGGAGGCATCGTGAATTTTTGATCGTACAGTACAATGTTTTGCTTTTTGTGTTATTTAATATTGCAAGAATAAAAGCTAGGCTCGGCTTGATTTTCTGCGTTGGTATTCTATCACTCGAGCTTCTAGGCTAAAGGCTCATCTTGTAAATCAAGCTGTTCGCATATCACAACCGAATATTTTATGCATTAAAACACCCAAAAATTGTTCCCAAAGTTTTTACTACAAATTTTAAATAACAATTAATATTCTAATTATGAACTTATATATTGCCATAACTGTAATTGTGCCAAACTGAAAAGACCAATTGTTGTAAACTATAGTGTCTTTTACATCCAATTTATCTCATGAAACTAAAAGATAAAATATTGACAGTAAAGAGAGGGTAAAAAAAAATAAACGGACTACATCAGGTCTATACAACTTCTATTTCCAAATGTAATACACACTTGAAAATCGGAATACGCAAATATTAGTGTTAAACTTGACGAAAGCTGTGTGTTTGCAGGAGCGCAACCAGCGGCTGACTTCCCGGGCTGCCCAGCTGGACAAGCAGATCAAGGTGCTGATAGACGACAGTGTGGCTCTGCTGAAGACGAGGATGGCGGAGCTGGGAATCAATGCCAGCTGTCCTACAGACCTGCTCAGCAAGGCTAAGGAGATTGTGCTGAGGCACAAGGAGCTGCAGGCTAAAGTGGCCAAACTGCAGAATCAGGTAAATATACGTCAGGGCGTGTTGCGATCAGAGGGATTACAGATATCACAATAAAGCGACAGAATTAAATTCTAAGCCAGTCGGAAGACAGGGGCTTCACTACAGAGGGTTTTAGTATAGACCTTTACTTGGGAGTTGCAGTTGACAGGGCGAGTTTTACCAATTTCAGTCAGTAATTTTACCAAGTCAAAGCATTTACAGGAGAGTCACTTTTTTAGTATGGAAGTCATGAAAAAATAACGAATTTCAAGAGGTTGTCATCGAAAAGTCACAAAGCTCATTTGGGGGTTATGAAAGTCAAGGACGATTCAATTAGTGTGTTAAGGGATCACACAGGTCTTGGAAAGTAACGCTTACTTTATTAGGTGTTTTTCTTTAGTCTAGATGTAGTGAAAGAGTAACAAATTGTATAGGGCCTTAAAAGTAGTATGTTAAAAATGATATTATCAGAATGTCAATATGGATCAATTCAACAAAGAGGTCTGATTTTGATTTCTTATCTGTCAACAACCTAAGAAGTCATATACTACAATGAAATATCAGTGTTAATTTTGTTTGTGAATTTCTCTTTAGTTTGGTAAGAGAGAGTTGGTAAGAAAATGGAATCTGAACTTGGGGTTTTTAGGTGGCGAACTTGGATGAGCAGAATAACAAGTTGCACAACGAGCGGCAACAGCAGTTGAACTTGACGGGGAGAAAGATGGGCCTGCCGACGCCTCTTACACACGAACAACTGCTGAAGGAGATATCCAACACGATGAGTCAGAACAAGAAACTCAAGTGCCAAGTGAACAAACTGGAGTGTGAAGTGTCTGCACTTGAGAAAATGCCTCAGCAGCAGAACGTGAGTAGCATGTTGAAGCTGTTGCCAGCTTTAGAATAAAAATGAAAACCTAGTTGAAATCACTGAGATGTAACATACTGTCAAATAGCCTAAGCCAGATTTTTAACCAAGTCAATCTGAAAAGATAGTCACATCATAAATAAGGGGGCCTCTTGAGAAGGAAGTACGAGAATGGAAGAATCATTCTACTACTTTCCTCTGAGTAAGCCTCATTTTAGGGCCTCTAAACTGTTTTCTTAGATAAGTTAGTTAAGTCTGTTCATTCATTCTTACTTGATTTGTAATTGGTATAGTCATGATTAAGTGACTTTGCTTCGGTTGACAATTATGTTAGTTGAGACAATTAGTCCTTACATTTCATCCATATTGGATATTACAGCTGACATGATTAAGCTTTCAACTGTGTTCTCAAATTGGTTATTCGGTTGACAGGGCATCGTAAAGCTGAGTCCTGACAAGCAGACGATGGGCAGCAAGTCCCAACGCAAGTCCCGGGATCACCGGTCTCGCTCACAGGATTGGCCTGATGTGCCGGACGTAGGCAAGATAGAGGAGAACAATCCCGAGATACTGGCACAGAAGATACTGGAGACAGGCCGGCAGATAGAGGCGGGCAAGATACGCCAGGTATGTAGCCTCAATGTACCTTTCAATGATGGTGTATGTATGTATATTGCATTTTTTTCATGCAGCTCATAAGATCATGTTATAGGGCCATTCACATTTTATGAAAAGAAAACTGTAAGTTCTATAAATCATTACGTAACTAGTAATTATCCTAATATCAATATTAAAAACCTAACATCAACCACCTTTAAAAACCCTTTATGAAAGCGGGTAGGCTATTTAAAAAAAAAGCAAATGTTAGACCAATTAGTTTTGCTAGTCTATGTCATTGTAAAAGGCTATCATAAACGTCCACCCACTTTTCTTTTGACATGAACCGTTGCGTTTTGCTTGATTGCTCAATTAATTATTTAACTTGATTTTTAGTGTGTTATCTATTAGTAAGTTAGTTTTTTCATTCAATCTACTCTCTCAAAATGTATATTGCAAACCATGATATCTGAGCATAACAGTAAAAAAAAGTAAAGAAAACTGTTCGGTCTTTTAATTTATATTATTGTATTCATAATTTACTTCAAGCCAAAATCTGTGCATAACAAACAGTTCTAAACCAATTTGTAATCATTTCACTTGCTTGAGATGTGTTTTATAGCCTCAATACTTGTGAAAAATCGTTTTTAACAACTGTAACTCTGTTGCAGGTGACGACGGAAAGTTCGCGTTGCATGCAGTCGCAGCGACCTCCGGTGACGTCGAGGGCGAACAACCCGCCCAGACAGAACCAGCCGCAGCTGATGTTCAACAACCGATCGCAGGAACCGCCGAGGGTAGCCAACTTTGAGGATCGGCTGAAGAGTATTATCACGACTGTGTTGAACGAGGACCAGCAGAACCGGAACAGCCAGATACAGAGGGAGGGGGGCAGAGGGTGGAACAGCCGAGTGGCCGGTCACAGTCATCAGCCCGACTACACTCAGGTACTGCTCGACTTTTGATCAATTATAAGTTATAACTATAGATAATAGTGGCAATCTATGTGTTAAGGCAGTATGAACTACCTTAGGCCTACATGACTATTATGTGTTTGTAATGAAAAAAACTAACTGTTACACAGTCCTGAGGTAGTCGTTTTATCTAGGAAGAAGTAGTAATGCATGATTTTCTCTAGCAAGACTCCTTGAACAAGAGAAAAATTAAGTTATTTGAACCTTCCGTGTTCTATCAACAGTCGAGAACTCTTTTCTTAAGGTCGAGGACAACTTAATCTGCACCCAAGGATGGAACTGGCGTCCATTGTTAACAAATGAGGTGGCTATTTCTTTTTACAGCACCAGATGAACTTGCACTAAGGGGGGGGGGGGGGCAAAAGCTTAACTGTGGTAAAAAGCTACAGGTACCAAATGTCACACAAATCAGTCAACGTTTACATATATAAAAAAAAAGTGCGAAATTTTAATGTGCAAAGTAGATTTGCGTCCGTATCTTGGTGTAAATTTAACAGAATTAAAAAAAAATGTTGTATCATACTGTATTATTTTTATTTTTATTTTTAAAAAAAATGCCTTAGAAAGTCACTATTAGGACCTTTACGTCCCTTAAGTGTGAGTTCAGCCAAGGGGAAGCAATGTGTGAAAAATACCCGAATTAGGACACTGTCCTAACTGTTGGGTTCATGTTACCTTGTTCACGGCTATAGGAAAATTAGTTGTGTATTAGTTCCTTCTTCAGTTTTCTTAAGATTGATTAATTCCATAAATTATGAGAACACCCTTAATAGGTCTAAAGTATCTCAAGTGTCTACATTGTGTGTATACTTGTATACGTAGTGTTGCTAACCTAACCTGCCTGTGACAAGTTGTGTGTGGCGCAGGTTTCCCCGGCCAAGTTGGCGCTGCGCAGACACTTGTCACAGGAGAAGCTGGCGGCGCAAGGCCACAACGGCGCAATACAGACTCGCACCATCGGGGACTTGGTCAGCGGTGAGATAGAGCGAACACTAGAGATATCCAATCAGGTTAGTATAGTATAAACAGTTTTTTTTTTTACTTTTTCTGAACGTCAACTGAAGCTTATTGTGCATTTGGCAATATCGTAACTAATGAAGTTCAACTGGTGCGATTATCGCTAATGGAAACCTAATTGATAGAAAAACTTAACTTGAGCTTTTAATCTAGCATCTTTTAGATTAGTACCATATCAAATTTGTTAGAATCAAAATTAAGATGAGGAGACATTCAAAATTTTGGCATCGCCGCACACTGTGAGCTCATTCAATTATTTTTTATTTGAATAAAGATTGACTATTTTTCAGTATCCAAAAGTCAACAATTCATTACACCTTGGGATTAAAGTGTGATTGATATTTCTACATTTTGATATTTGTCTTGAAAGTTGATGTTTTAGGTCTTTACAATAGACTCTCTAACTGTAGGCCTACTGCTGCTCGGGTTAGTCGCTTTGCATAGAGTGTGTACTATTGTTGATTCTTGTTATGTCATAGTAGACATTCCATCTCTATGTTAAATTTGTAGCCAGATTTCTTACCAAGATCGTCATAGTTGATGTAAGCCACCTACAGATTGCGCGGATCTAAATTACTAAATTCTGTCGAATACACAAACCTTTTTACCAAGTCAAACTTAGGGAAAGACTTATGGTGAGCTATAGCAACTGTTATGACCCATCAACCTGGTCAGCAACAAAAAATTAAGTATGAAATAAAATTTTAGACACAAGCGCATTCTGTGACTGGCTCACACAACTACGTTCTCTTTTTAATTAGCAACAGCTGGTCCAGTCCAATAGTAAATGGTCATAGGTAGTCAGTTTTTATAACATTTTTTTGTTCCCGATTTTTGTGGGAACTTAAAGGTTTTCTGTCCTAGGCCCAATACCGTGTGGTACAGTTAAGAGAGAATGTAGGCCTACTGTAATTCTTTGATGTCATTTTATAACATTTGTTTCCCGTCGCAGAGTATAATCAATGCCGCAGTAGACATGAGCACTGCTGTGACAGCGGCCTCTGTGGTGAACGTGAACGTTCCGCCTCGGCCGGAGAGGATCAGCCCTCCTGGACCCGGACCTCGGAGACAAACCAGCGTGCCTGTGAGTGACAGCAGTACTGAGTAGCAAACAACTATATGTAGCAGCAGATAGTTTAAAATAATTGAATGTGCCACTCAGTGTGTGCTACTAATGAAATTATTTTTTCCATTAGTTTCCCTCACTGTGATTGTTGGTATGTGACAAGTGTTTCTGATGTTCACTGGCAGATAGTTGTCAAATATTACAAATATAAACATACAGTTGTGAAAAATTTGGCTTGACAAAAATCAATAATTATCATCTACATACTTTGTCGTTGGCTCAATGGTAAAATTCAACCATGATAATTTTTGTTCTAAATCTGGCTCCAGCTTTAATATGGGGAAAAGGTGTCTACGTCTATAAAATTATTGTGAAATCTAGGATATAATAAAGCCTTGATATTTTTTTCGGCACATTTTGTAGTTGGCCATACTGTAAATTGTGTAACAAAGAATATAAAGGCCTAGAAATTAAGGACTTTATTGTCGGGATCGTAGAGTTTTTGCGTACAGGAATCTATACTGGCACAAGAAACACAACAACTTTATATGATTCAGAAAAGATTATTTTCGCAATGAGCCAGGATGAAGTATATCTTGTTCAGGTAAAACTACTATACGAGCCTATTCGGAAGCCCTGAATTTTTCATGGGATAACCAAACTGTATCTCTTGTGCAATATAACTGTAATCACACTCATAGTTGTAAACGTAGACATGAGTGAATTAACAACACTTGTCTGTGATAGGTGAGCTCCGGGTCAGTGCAGCGCTACACGCCAGTAGAACTGCCTAGAGCGGAGATGAAACCTTATAGCGAGTCGTTCTTCACAGACGCCAAACCTAGAGAGGAGCCTGTGGAAGGGTAAGCAGCAGTTTTAAATGACTTCTTTTAATTAAAAATTTTAATGGAGATTTTTCTATTTAACCCCTTTAAAAAAATCTGATTTTCACAAACCGATTCGAACGATTTTGATTAAAATTTAGTATATTAGTCTTTTTTAGAAACAAAATTGTATAACCCCATTGCGGTAAAAATTGGGGTTCCAAAGTTATTGCTACTTTAGTGATTTTTCCCAAATATCATACTTACTCCCACCGCTTACCCATAATTAGGGTTGTTGACTATCTAATGGTGAGAAAGTATGTGACAGATGCTGATACTTTTTATTTTCAGATAAGTCATCTGAACTACATAGCTTGAAGAGAATTCTAGCATTGACTATATTCGGTTCTGGCGCACACCGCTGGGAGCGCCATGTAGTTACGGCATACGGGCTACGTAACTACACGGCGCTCCCAGCGGTGTGCGCTGGAAGCTATGGTAACCATGGTAACCGCAGCATGGCTGAAAGTCTATATTTAATTCTTTTTGTCTATGACTATACACAGTCAATTCTGTGTATAGTCAATGATTCTAGTGAGTCAAACAGGTTTCCCTAAAAATATAACAATACGAAACATGTAGAGCAATTTCTCTGAATTCTTTTCATATTTTTAAAGTAACCAAGGTCAAATTTGAATGTTTCTATAAATTCATGTGGGTGATTTGTGATACATTTCAAAACAAATATAGTTTTCGTTAACACTACTTTCTCACTTTTCAGACTGGCAGCAACATTGCACGCGAGAATATTGAATGGACAAAACCAGGAGGTGAAGCAAGAGGAGATTAGCCCGGACGAGAGAATTTATCAGAATGGGATCAGTTCGCCACCTCCAATAGAGATTAAACTGGAGCCGGGACAAGGGCTGAAGCGTTCTTCTCCCTCTCCCCTCAGCTCTCCAGTGAAAAAAATACACCTGGAGCCTTCTATTGCACCCTCGCCTGACCCTCCCCCTGACGGTAAGAGCTCACTTCCTGCTTCCGATTAAGGGACCAATGAGGATACGCTTGGTGTCGGTAGGCTACTCGCCGCTTATAATTGCATGAGGTGTGAAGTTTCCTGCTTCTTATTCTGTTCTTGTTTAATAAATGTGTTGTCGTTTATGTTTTTTCTTTTTTTGTTTAGGTTGTTATCGATTTTAGATTGCATGATGTTTGCCGTGTTGAGATTCTGAGTGAAACGTAAAATTGAAAAAAAACCTGAAATGCTAAATTAGGAAAGTAATTGAAAAGAGGTTAAGAATTGTTTTGAAAAGTTCTTTTAGCTTACCTTCGAAAAAGTGTGGGCTAATTTTATAAATGAATAAAAGATGATAAAATATCATCCTTATAAGGATATAAGGATGATATTTTATCATCTTTTATTCATTTATAAAATTAGCCCACACTTTGGACCTCATGTGGGGGTAAATCTACTATCTGAAGTTTATCATCAACACAAAATATTAGTGTTATATTTTGTTTGCTAGACACCTTTAAATGTGTCAGTGGCGCCACAGACTTGCCCAAGGCAGTGATGTTGTGCGTTTGGATCCTGGTATCTGCAATTACTTTTTATCAGTGTAGTTCACCCTTGTACTGTACCAAATACGTTTCACATTCAGGCCTTTGTGGCCCTGGACTAGCAAATGCAAAGTAAAAGAAGCTATTTGAACTTTTTTAGAGGCCTAACATGTTAAAACGAGGCTGCCAACCTCTTTAAAACATCTATTAGCCCATTGTTTTCTCAGGTAACCTAGCTTAGCTCTATTCCTTTTCAAAATAATTCCTAAAATGTTTAAGATCAATTTTGTAACAATTTATAAACTGTATGAATTGTTATTGCGTGTCAACATCGCATGGAAGTGAAGTCTAATGATAGTTTTCTTCGAGGAAAACTGAATAATCTTTAACAAAATGTCCAAGTGCCAAAACGTCCAACGATATTATTCAGTGTTACGACATCCAAAATATAACTGTTGAGCTGTTTCACGACGTCCAATATAAAATATTTGACTGTTGCACAACGTCCAAATCTCACCATGTCCCAAAGTACAGTAAGTGCAATAAATATAGTCTTTCTACAAGCTTTGGATGTCATGGGGTTGGTCGTTGTGCAACAGTGCACTTTATACTTTGAAAAAATAGCAATTGCACCACGTCCAAAGCAGCTGCCAGTGCGCTACAGTAGACTCTCTCTTATCAGGACACCTTTTAACCGGACATGGGTTTAACCAGACTACACTCGGCGGAAATTACATCTCTTTTACCGGAAAATTGTTATCAGCACATTGGTTTAACCGGACTAGATCGGCATGAAATAGGCAGTACTGAAACGACTATTCTCGTGGGAAAGATGTTAGACCAGTGATCACTTGTCTAAATACAATGCTCTCCTAAATTTAAGTCAAATACTGTAAACAGTAAGCATTTAAACGGTCTGTTTTAACGAGTTTTTGGGGACGTCGGTTTAACTGGAAAAACTGTTATTCGGACTGGTCTCGGTCCCGAGGAGTCCCGATAAGAGGGAGTCTACTGTGCATCCAATCTCGTGTCGTCCAAAGCTTGTAGAAGGACTATGTTTATTGCAGTTACTGTACTTTTGGACGTCGTGCAACAGTCAAGTATTTTATATTGGACGTTGTGAACAGCTCAAAAATATTATTTTGGACGTCGTGCAATGCATCCGACAAAACTTTAATCTTTAAAATGCTCGAAATTGACTTGACAATAAATTACCAAGATACAAATTTTCTTCCATGCAATTGGCGTTTGCGACAAAAATTTCACTGTAGGAAAATCAAGAAATTATTTGCATACAATTTAAAATAATATATTTGCTGTTTTTACAGTTGCGTCATTAAATTTAAATCAACTGCTCTGTTTAAATCAAACTGTATTTCCAAGTGTATGGAAACTTGAATATAACAGTTTGAAGTATGTTTATACAAGGGTAAATGTCTATAATGTTTTGAAGCTATTTTTTATGAAATTTGAAAAACTCGAGCTTGAAATAGTTTTAAATCTTTTAATTTTTACCCTGTTTAAATTTGTATGGATCCCTTTTAATAGCTTTGGTTTGAGAAGGTTACTTGTTCAAAAGTTACCAAAATAATTGATTTATTTCTTGCACAAACCATTTAATAAGTTTTATGATTATATAGGAAAAGATTGCTTGCCATTCTGGTGTAAAATTTTGCTGACAATAAACTAATCATGAAACAAAAAAATATAGGTATTGTAAAACAACACCATATTTTATGGAATTTTCAAAACTACATGGTTTTTTGTTATCAGTTAGTTTAGAATCCTTTTCTATGTTCTATCAGCAAAATTTCACCCCTAAACCTCTGTTCTTAACCTATTCAATCATGAACCTTAAAACCAGGCCTAGTTCTATTTTGTGAGACTTGTTTTAAAATGTCTCATAATTTTCTTTAGGAATGTGTAAATAAAATACATTACTGATTGATTGTTGTTTACAAATGTATTATTTCATAACGAACCCCTTTTCAGGTTGTTTTGATTTTTCAGGCTATTCCTATTTTAACACACGATACAGCTACGGATTATTTTGACCTAACTCACTCAGGTAAAGACCTAGGCTAACCTTTATGAAGGAAATTTTACATAAGTTTGACAGAGTCAAAATGTTACAATATAAACATTTGACATTTCACTCAGAAAATATTTCCAGTCTTTATGTATATTTGTTGTTTTAACCTATTTGTAGGCTGTTTACTCTAATATTAGACGCTTATTCCATTTATTATATTTTAGTTACTACTTCCGCTAGTTTTAAGCCGTTCATTGATTACTTTCAATCATTAGACATATGCTTTATTTGCCCAAAGCAGTATTTTAGCCTGTGCTTTAGTCATTGATGTACACGTACCTTTAATTTCTCCGATCAATGTCTATACTTTTGCATGTTTTTAATTTCAGCCCTTCAATTCATATAGCAAGGCCAACAAATTGTTACTAAAGAAAGTATTTTCCTGTTACAATAGGTCCATGTTACAACAATAATGAAAGAGAAGCATTAAACACTGTTCATACAATTTGAACTGTACATTTTAGAATATAATACAGATGTACAAGTCTCCAAATTTCGGGAAAGTTTTGAGAAAAATTGATTTCCAATCATCGCAAAAGGATTACATTTTGATTTGTTATTGAAGGCCGGTGAGACATGTAGAAGATTGTGTTGTGACCATTATGTCAACGATACCAAAGTTTTTTTCGGATGTGTGGAGCAGGGCTGGATCAAAATTTGTAACTTCGGGTCATGCGCTTAAATTGGCTCAGACCTAAATAGGGTTGATATGTAAATCGTAATACTACAATGAGTTATAAATTTGCGTACAAGATCTCTCCCATAATCACTGTGAAATCAAGAACATCTTCCTTGGTCATGGCAAGGTTGACATCATCATCTTCAAAGACGCAGCAAAACCGTAATTATCACCCAAGATCTCGGCATTAATTTTCCTTTGCGCTTCACAGGCGCTTGAATAAAAACCAAATATCTTTCTTGCGACCTTACCTGAAAATTATTCCTAGCCTAAACCAACCCCTTGGGTCAACTGTTGACCCAGAAAATATCACCTGCGGACCACAACTAAAAAAAATTTGCCTAAAAATACTCCAAGAACCGTATTTGAACAATTTTTTAACCGATCCAGAAACTAGAAGCTATGACAGAAGGACAGATTTGTTGGCCTTGCTAGTACTCTCATGTTCTCCCTGTGGCATGGTAGTTGGTGAGTAGAGGTGCTTTGTCCCCAGGCACATTAGTTGGACCGCACACTTCATTGCGCACTATTAGTGTCCGCCACTAACACACCAAGCCACGACCCGACACTCCACTCACAGGTGAGTCGACTGGGTAACGATAAAAGTGTCTCGGGGTGTGTGAGGTAAACACCATATGTTTGCTTACACAGTAAAACATCACCAACTCGAGGGAGGTTTTCGAGTCAGCCAGAACATATGTTTATAAATTAAATACATAACAGACTAATTTTTTGCACTCTGTCAGCTGGTGACTGTTGAGTTACTGGGTGTCGAGTTTGTAAAGTTTTACTGTATATTCAAAGGATTTATGTGTTAATAGCAGGCTTACATGAATGGAAAAGAGTTCACTATGCAACAGGTTTGCCAACTGCATAAATCACTAAGGTTGGTAAAGCTCTGGAAACATGTGTGGAATATCCAGGAAGTAAACTGGACCTCGTAAACCTGCTTATATATGAAAAGGATTTATATGAGGATAGCAGGCTTACCTGAACGGAAAAAGAGTTCTAGCACAAAACTTTTAGACTATACCATTGACTTTTGGTCAATGAAGTGGACATCCCATTTATACATATCAGTTGTAGCCATAATTTAGTCAAATGAGCCACTCATACATGCCAAAATTTCATTTTCTATCTTAAATTCTGATCCTGTAATAAATAATTATGACATATAAGAGTTTCAGTACTATCAGTTTAGCTTTGGAAAAAAAAGCTGGCATATTCAAAAGAAATTTTAATTTTACACTCAGCACATTCTGTTGGTGGCGTAATACAATTACAATCTTTTTTTCTAAAACAGGTGAAAACTTTAACTTGGAAAAGTAATTACTGATTCGTTTCATAGCCAAAGACTATACACAAAATTTGGCCGGAAGACAGCTCTCTTTTAAACTCCAACCTTCTGGTTGAAAATACTGCAAATTACAGCAAAATAATATAATTTTCACGCACAGTGTAAGTTTGAGAGCTTGTGCCAGAGTAGAAATCTTTAACATTTAGGTAAGCCTGCTATTCTCACAAAAATTGTTAACACCCTGGTCCTGTGTGCTTATGTTTACCTTGCTTATGTTTGTCATCAGCTGAATATAGTTTTGAGGTTGAGGTATGTCTCAGTCCATATTTATAGAGAGTGTCTTGTACCCTCTATTTCACTGGTCTATTTATTTCAAATAATTGACTTGTAAACTTGTGTTCGTCCTCTTGTACTGGTCCTCACTAAACACAGTTTCAGTTCTTGGAATTTTGCATATACAAGATTTTAACAAATACACCATATCCGCGCCAACACAAATTAAAAATTAATTTTTTTTAAACATTGCTAAATAAATCTTTAACCAAAGCAGTCTTTAGAAAGTCCTAGTGTTACATGTTTTTACCTTAGACAAAAAGAATGAAATATAGACTGTCAGCCATGCTGCGGTTACCATGGTTACCATAAGTTCCGGCGCTTACCGCTGTAGTTTACGTAGCGTGTACGCTGTAACTACCGTGGCGATCCCAGCGGTGTGCGCCAAAACCTATGGTAACCGCAGCACAGCTGACGGTCTATATTTCATTCTTTTTGTCTATGTTTTTACTCTGTGACGTACTATTTTTAAAATAGAAAAGAGAAAAACGTTTAAAATAAGAATAAATTCAAGTGTAAAAAAAATAAAAAGGATCCTGCAAGGGACATATTCCAAGCTTAGAAGTTATATCGGTGTTCTCCTTTTCATCCTAAAAATCATTACCTCATTGTAAATGTTTAGCAGTGACTTACTGCAATCAGCTGGTTTTAAATAGTAAATAAACGTACATACCTCCTTTTATAATGTGATCTAAACTTACTTATTATAATGGGGAAAATAGAGAGACGGTTTGCTGGCTGCTAATATTGCCAGTCGCACCCACTGTATACTGTACTTACAAAGGAAAGTACCTCTATAGAAAGTAAGTATGTGATAACTGAGACTGGCAATTACCATCTACTTATCGTCCCTTATTTATTTGTCCATAAACTACTTAGCATAAAAGTTTGGAAAATTGTGTCCACTGTAGTTTTGAAAAAGTTGTTTTGTCTGTTCAGGCCTAGACAAATGGCAGCACACCATCAGCTCAGGGTTTGACCGGTTGGTCGCCTTCGCCTCCACGGAGATGGACAAACGTCGTCGCAGTACCGAGGGCGGAGGTACGCCCAGCTGCAACACCAGCCCAGACAGCGGCATAGGCCACGGCGACCCTCCCCCAGCACCTCCTGCATCTGTACTATCCAAGATGCCGCGGCTGTTCCGCCCCTCGTCCCCCGGGAGCGACAGTCCACCCGTGTTGGAGCCGGGGCCACCGCGTACACCCTCGCCTTCCTCGCCTCCGCCCCCTCTACTGCCTCTGGACGGACCGTACTCCCCCGTCCCCCCTGGCTCTCCCCCGCCACTGGCGCCGTCCGTACCCTTGCGGTACCAACGGGGCGACCACCACTTCAAGAAAAAGTTCTTCCACCACAAGAATAAGTTCCGCCCCAAAGGCAAAGGCTGGGATTGGCACCACACGGCTGAGGAGCCGTGGTGCTAACAAAAGTATCGTTTAACCGCATGGCATAATACACGCGTACCTGTGAACAGTTCGGGACTCGTTGTTTATAAGCTGTAAATTGTAAAGGCATTACGTGTACAGATAGTCGTGGTCATGGATCTCAAGGGTCTTCTCACTGCCAAGCAGCAAGTGTTCATCCCTCCAGTGCTGCCAACTGTTTACCCTGTTTAGCCAATAATTTCACACCTTTGTACTATCAAACCTCGTTTTCTAGGTTTGTAATCGGTTAAGTGTTTTAGTATACATTTGACGGCCACTAATTATGTTAATTAGTGTTCCAAACTTGTTAATTGTGTTTACTGCCCATTATGTTATGACTGCGGGTTTGTCAAACGCATTTCGTGTATTTTTCTCTTCGTATTTTTTAGATTTATGACTATTTGTTTTACTTATTTGGCTGCGTATTTTCAATATTTGTTCTATATCAGTTTTTCATTAGTGTTTTGTTATTTCTGTTTTTTATTTATTGTTAGTCGTTGTAAATTTGTTATTCTGTTGGAAGATTGAACAGAAAGTTTGTATCTAATTATTGAGACACATTTATAAGTTTATCACTTTAAGTCAACAAACCTGAAGTTGCACTGTGTCCCCTGTGTTATGCATGGTGTTAATTGTGTGTCTTGTCATTGATGGGTTGCTTAGCAACTAACAGAGGCTCGGAGTAGGCTTTAAGTCGAGTTAAATCCACGATAAATACTTGTTCACAAAATTTTGTTAATCCCGATTTGATTTTAGTAATTTTTCCTAAGGTTTTCACAGAAATATTTTACCAAAAGACTGAATTTAGAATATTTATTGTGCAATCAAAGTCTTAGTGTTTTATTCAATAAGTTAATCATTTGTCAGTGTCATAATATTATGCAATACTCCAAGTGGTTTATTTAAAAACATATCATTAAGATATACTTGTTATTTAAAATTATTTTTGGTTCCGTTTGGTTAATTTTATCTCATTTCAGTGTTAACTAACTACCAACTTATATTAGACCTGTGAAAACCTTTTAAACATTTTGATGTGATAAAAGTTGAATATTGAAGGATTATTTAATTATTTTATAGTTTCTAACAAAAACTAAATTGCACTAACTTTATATCATGACCAAATAACTGATTGAGATCTGAAATTCATTCATATTCTAATAAATTAATAAAAAATGTGTTTACAGACTATATTCTGTGTCAATATATATGTTATTGTTATATCCAAGCTCTGAATTTGATATTTATTGAAATAAATTATCTACACACTCTATCTTTATAATGTTTTATCTACAACTCTGTGGAACATGTACCATTAGTTCTAAAATTTAAGATAATTTAATATTTTAATGTATTTTTAAATTTAAAATAAATTATGTTATGACGTATTAAATTATTTCATTGATAAATAACGGGTGTTATTTTTATCTTAGCTAATTATTGGAACTATTTAAGGGTCTACGCATTCAATACCTGTAAATTCGACCACCATAACCCAATTAAGGGGGATCATGTGAAAATTAGGTTATAACTTTCATCCATATGTAGAAAAAACTTGGATTTTTATTAAAAAAGATTTGATTTTTTATTTACAAAGAAGAAATTAGTTTTATTTGTTTTAACTTATCAATATTTTATTCTAGCAGTTTTAAATGTCTAGGACTTTAGTTTTACTCCCAGTTCTTGTTCCTGCTTTATTTTATAAGAACGGTAGTCTCGGTAATCTGATTATTATAGGACCTTTGTGTCGGATAACAGCGGAGTTATCACGATAAAAAAATTTCAAAATTACTTTTAGCCTAGTAAAATAAAACTAATTGGATAGTAAATATCTCTTTCAAAAAAATTAAATAACTTGTTTAACAGAATCATATCTATTTGTGATTGGTGAGGCTTAAACCCAGATGTCTTGCGCTCTAGCTACTTGGCCGGTCGTACACTGTAAATCCCTTAAGACACTGGGCATTATCTTTTAAATGATTGAACTACAACATGCAATATCTCCTCACTTACCATAATATTTATACTACCAACATTTGTCAGTTGTAACGTATCAGATTTCCGAGATTCTACTGTAATCGTACTTGGTGTCAAAAGATACGATTGGTTCAAGGTAATCGGCAGTTTGTCACTGCCAGTATTCAACAACTCACTGCCAAGTTATTTTTTATTTTAAGGAGCATCTTAATTTTTGTACATAATTTTTGTAACTTTATGTTGAATATCGATTTAACTTGTAATCTATCATTGTTAAAACAGTTTGTTGTGTAAAAAGGGAAAACAAATTCTGATATCGCTAAAGTCCCATACTTTACAAGTACAAAATGAGTCGTGTGAAGTTTGTACTTTCAGTGTTTTGTAGATTGAATGTGAATAAGTAAGGATCATTAAATAATAAGTTACAATACTTGTTTTGATTATATTCTCCCATCGACCTAATAGGTCGGCCGGACAGATAGTGACTTGTGCGAGGATTTATCGCACATGTAAGATGAGATAGCTTTCTAAGCGGCCGACCTATAGTACATTAAAATAAGGAAGAAGGAATAGATACTCAACTAACTTACCTAAGAAAATAACAATAAACTTGATATTTCATACGGTACCTACAATGGGATTCGTCAGAAGAAAGAAGTTGGTTGAATGGCAGTATATTGTTTATGTTTTACAAAATAGTTACAAAACTGGCACTATTTGAACCAACCAGTTCAGTCTTGCCAACAAATCACTTTCTAATCACTAAATCATAAGTATAAGTAAGAACGCTTGTCTCTATACATGTAATCAATATTATTTTTTATAAGCCCTTTGTAGGTGCGAAATATCAAGCTAATTGTGTTGAACTTTTTGTGTGTGCTTTTAACTACCTGATTAGTTTTGTACCTATTCCTTCTTTCCTAATGTATTCCTAAGCCAAGTGATTTTTTCTAAACAAAAAAAAACTTTTGAGTATTGTAATCTAAGGTTTCTTTCACCTATTTTTATTTAACTAGGTGAAACCCGTCGAAATCGACGGTTTCTTGCAAGGCTTACGCTAATTCATCTAACTGCTATAAATTTAGTGAAATTATACATATTTTTAACATATACAGTAGATCGTACCTCTGTTCCAATGAATAACCCTCTTGCATAGTTTTGAGAAATTGGTTGTGGGGTTACTGTCAAAGCTATAATTCATTGACAGGGGGGATGTCAGTTAGTTGTCTCTTGCCTTATCAATTACATAAAGTTGTCAATATAATCTCGCTACGGAATGTTAGGTGTAGAACAGGACAGGGGATGTCAGGTGTAGATATACTTGAAGTGAAGTTGGCTTTTATTTTTGAACTGGAGCCTCGTCGTATATGGTCGTGCGGCTTCATTGGCAGCAAATAATATAAATAACATAGCAATGTGACATTTCCAAAAAGCAAAAAAATACTGTAAATTGGCTGTTCGTTACGTAAATATTGACGTTTATATGCATTTTTAATCAACGTATCTTGTGAAGGATGATGTAATCTAGTTACATCCCAGATAATCCCAATAATCTCATAAACCTGCTCTGATGATCTGTCTAGAATAATATGATAAAATATAGGCAAAAGCGGTGAACAAGGCAGACACCGACCCGTAAAATAGATACAAGATAGTGCAATAAGAAATAATTGTAAGAGTTACTGTGATAAAAGGATATTCCACTGATATCGTAATGGAACGTTGTAGTGCAAAACATGACATGATACAGAAAAAAATCAATTTTAAAATCAGAAAATAACATTACAAATACAGTACTTCTTTTGGACAATTCAGTAACTCCCAATAAATGTGTGTTGTTTAAATTACAATATTTAAAAATGAACAGCTGTTTCATTAAAAAGTATTATCCACATGGTCAAAATGTAAACAAATCTGTGGAGGTATCTTTAAAGGCTTCTGGGGCAGAGCCCTAAGGGAATTTACTTCGTTTTTCTTTTGATAAATCATCTACAGACCAAGACCTTTCTTTGGACACCTCTACCATGTTTCTACGCTCAGCCGTTCTCTCAAATTAGTGGAGACAAAGTTTCCAATTAAATATTTAGATTCCCCCATGTTAATCTTATGGGAGAAAATCCAACTTTGATGGAAGATCCTGCCCAAACTAATAAAGACTTCAAAAAACAAAAAAGACTTTGCAAAACTACAGATCAGGGCAATTTTTTTGACACTTTAATCATCAAAATCGGTCCAAAAATGAGGGAGGAGTTCTGTTTACAAAAATTGGCTTAGCGTATTATATATATAGATGTGCTAAAGTAGCATTTTCGTAACTTCATTGAAGGCTCTCATTACTTCATTGGAGTACTTAAATTCTCATGACTAATGTTAAATTCAATAAGCATCTGGCATAAATATCCAAATTATAAATTGTAATTTAAATTCAGTTGTGAATTTTGCTATACACTATAGTTATTTTTTCCATTTGTCATTGATTGAACAATCATTGCCTCCAACATAATTTTGGCACCCAAAGCAACACTAATGATTGTAGTATTCTTCAGTTTGAACAGATCATATATGAGACAAAAAGAAAAATTATCAATAACTAAGAGAGAAACATCTATCTAATAAAAAACTAAAATGCTTTATGAATTCCTTTTGTGAATGTATTTGTAGAATACGACAGACACACTTTTCACCAAGACGTACAAATAAGTTAAAACATCTAGTTTTCCCACACAATGATTGCCTTCAATCGAAGCGAACTTTCCGATCGTCTTTTTGTCGGCTCGGGAATCTGTCAATGGACGGATCACTGGATGTGTAACCCTGTGGAAAACATTAAAAGAATTGAGCCATGAATTATTATTATATTTTCATACACTGTTTTCGCACCTCTATTCAATAGGAAACAAGTTCATCAAACTTGAATGATATCATTAATAAGTTTGTAAAACAATTACACAAAGTTGTGGCTAGAAATGAGTAGTTGAGCATTGGTATAATGGATTGTTGTGTTAACATGTAGCCTACCAGCTGTTACACTCCTCTGTATGTGTAGTCTACCGACACTTTGGTAGTGAACAAGTTTTAAATACTAGAAAGATATTTCTCAAGGTTATTTGAGATTACTGATGTGTAAAATACAATTGAGGAAAATGTTCGCAACAAACATGAACTCAACATCACCTGCATGTGTTTCAGATTTAAAAAATATTTCTTTGAGTAACAAACAGATCACAAAAGTCTAGAGATATAGCTAATCGTTTACGTTTGACAACAATTCTGCAAAAACACAGCGTTGTTTTAAACCAGTGTTCTTGAGAACATTGTTTCCTTGGTTAAATTATCTGTAAACAATTTCAATTCAAGACTAATGAATATTAGGTGATTGTAAAAAAATAAAAAAACAGCATACAAATTATTCAAAGAAACTTAATGGTAGTCTAAAATTGAAATATAAGATGAGTTCTGAACTAGCTCTGGCCAGCTTTTTTTTTCTCGTCTTGCAATGTCAAGATGATTATGAACACGTAGAAGTCTAAATCCATGTTGGTACCCTTAAATCCTGGAATTGGTTAGACTGATTTTTTTCACTTTTGAGTTTTGTACAATTTATGTTAAGCTTATCAATATACAACCCAGAGAAAAACCTAGATCCCGAGATTTAGTTTTATTTATTTTGGGTTGAAAATCGCTTATAAAACAGGACTAGTTTAACTTGTTTCAAGTGATATAATTGTAATGCATTACCGAGTCCTTTTCATCAAGTACTTAATAGTGGCTACTTTACCTCGTGTCGCTTTTGGAAGTCATCGTGTGAAAGTTCTATGGCAAGACGATGAATATTTATATTGGAAATCTCAGGGTTACTCGAGTCTGCAGTATGGCTCTTTCTGAATACAAACATTCAAACAACTATTGAGATGTACTGTTAAATTTATACTAGAGAAACAATAATTATATGTATTGGATTTATCTATTAAAATGTGTTTAAAAGTGATATGAACTATGAATTTGCAAAGTACCTTTGGCTGCGTATACCAAACTTGCCTACCATGTGATATTATTTGGTAAACGTTTCATGTTTATATTTTTTCGGAATATTTATCATTCAGTATTTTTATAGTAGTAAAATTTTATTTTCAACCAACATGATTAATTTTTTGTTTAAAAGTTGGCAGCCCCTTTTATCTTCTATGTGCTCGTCCACATGAGCTACAGAGGCTTTTATGTGGAACGTATCCAGCAAAGCAAGGGATGAGCCGTGAGCCGGTACAATACAAGGGTGATCTTTGTTGATAAAAAGTAGTGGTAGGTATCAGAATCCGAACCCATGTCTTTGCTGCCTTGGGCCTGAAGTCAGTGTGCTACTGACTGAACCACCGACTCACCCAATAAAAGAAACTGTCTTTATGATATACTTAGCGTCAGTTGATAATTGATTTAGTTTTGATCATTTTCATTTACTGGTTCTTGGCATTTCAGTTACTGGTAATGTTAACTAACGACACCTTGGACATGATGATCGGTAGCTCCACCACTCCAAAACAATTATGACAGAAATATGCCTAGTGTATTAAATATACATAGATAAGGGTCTAAGATATGCAAATTTGTAAATTATTAATTTAAGATAGATTTAGTTGACGCCATTCAATATGCAAAACTGTACTTTATGAATAAAGCATATTTGATTTAATATACCAAGGCCAACAACCTGTCAAATAAAAATGGTTTTCAAAATAAAAAACAACTAAAAGCTCAACTACATACTTGTACAACAATATTAATAGCAACACAATCTTTTAGTCTGGTAAACGTAACTAAAAGTGTTATTAAGCATTATTTTATTCAAGGTATTTATCACAATTAAGATCGCCAACTCATAGAAAAATATAAATACAGTAGAGTCCTGTTAGTCCGAAATAGTTGGGACCCATTTCGGATTTCCAAATATTTCGGATTAAACTTTTTTTTGTAAATAAAAAAATTTTGTTTGTCTTAGGACGCTAGGCACGAGCCCGGGATTGTTTTTCACATTACTTAAGGCTAACATAGTGGCTGCATCATCATCACTTAATAAAATCCATTTGTGATTTGGCGGGATTGGAACACGGGACAAAAATGAAAAATGTTAATAACAAAAATTTATTTTTTGGTTTCGGATTAAGTGGACTTTTGGATTATCGGGACTCCACTGTAATTCTTTTTGGTTTGAACAGCTAGAAAACTAAATGTTTGTTTCCTATCTTTATATTGTTTGGTTAAAATTGTTAGACTATCTTTTAGTATTTGTTTCAATTTAACCAAATCCTTGAATAATTCTAATACTATGACTGTAGCTTAATGTGTATGACACATTTCCAATATTATTTCCCTTTTGGTTTGTATACCAACAATTTAAACTGTCTCTGCACAAAACAAATTTACTCTCAAATCTGCCATAGTTTGACCATTTCACGATTGCATTTTCCTTCATTTAGAACATAAATATAAGTATGTAAAACTTACGTGCACTTCTCCGTCTGATGACACAGCTCACGATTGATCTCTTCAATTGCATCGTGCAAGATAGACAGATCTCTGACATTTAATGCCTGAAAATATGATATTTAAATGTCTTTACTTCAAATTTCACAGGAAATCTACGTTTGAAACTGAAATATTTGTCTTACAATGAATAATAAACATAATCAATAAATTCCCCACTCCTTCCCACCCTGACATGCACATGCAATGTTACTATTATCCAACAATACGAGTACTGCCTGTATTGAAAACTACACGCTTAAATTTTCTTTTAGAATTGCACTTTCTCCAGGATTTGTTGTGGACATTACTAGATATTGAAAATAATCATTTGTGGATTCCAGTTGAACACATAGAATTGAAAATGTGACAGTAAATACTTTGACTTGGCATAGCAGACCTGGCATTTTAAGAAATTAAACTCCGAGTTTTGCTTGGATTAATCATAGTGTTTGATGAATAATATAAAGAACTTACTAAAATTCCATTGTTCAACGCGTTTCTCAAAACTCTTTTAACATTTGGATCGTTTTCACCTTCTATCTCCGTCATTGTGTTTAGAGATTTGAGTTGAGGAATGTCTGTTGAATAAACAGCAACAAAAATTAATTATCATTAAATAACCATAACTACTTAAATCTATTAACAAAAATGTTCAAATAATCACTTTGTGAAAGTTTGCGTTTTCTAAATTGCTTATCAAACATTTGGCTGAACTAGATTAAGCTTGAAAGTTGATAAATTATGTACAACTGTGGGAAAAAGAAAGATACTGTGATAGCAATCTTAGTATGACCAATCCAACCCAAGTAAGCTCTGTTTGATATAATAGTAAACTAAAGATAAATTGTAATAAGACGATGCCTGAAAACTAACTCATGGCTTAACTTTATTGTAAAGGTGAATTACGTTTAGTTTATGTTTGCTATACGTTAGGTTGTGAATTACCTGATTGTTTCTACTTAACACAACAAGAATAATTGTTGTTAGTTATAACTTATATCTTAGATTAAAACATTTAATTTAATTCTTTAATAACTATATCTAACACTGTTGTACAATGGCATTCTAAAAAAAATTTAGAAATGAGGGGAATCTTGTGCTACATAATTTAGTCTGCAACAATTATATATATTTTTTACTGTTCAGTTTCTTACCCTTTGTATCAGCATTGCTCAAGATATCTTTGACGTTCTCTAAAAACTTCAAAAGTTCCAAGTAGTTTCTCACTAGCTGCACCTCTTTGTTTTTCAAATCGTGGATTTTGTTATTCAGCTTTTCTATTTGTTCTTCATTTTGTTCGACCACTTCTATATACTTCTTCTCGGTTTGTTTGTACATTTGCAAATCGCTCTGGAATCATGGTAAATTTTTTTGTACATCGTTGAAAAATGAAGAGACTGCATTGATTAATTGTTTTATCTATCTTAACAGTCTTATTAATTGCATTATACATGATTATATGTTCAATATGAATTGACCTCAGTTTATGACAAGGGTATGAGTACACTCTATAAACAATGCGAATGAAGCAGAAAAGGGAAACAAGAAAAACCTACCTGATCGTTCTGCAGCTGTCGTTCCATCAGATGTATTTTCCTCTTATAAATCACTTTACTTTCGTTGATCTCTTTGTTCAGTTCGTTCTTGAAAAGATCCAACTGTTTGTTGTTCACCATTTTCAGATAATCATTTTGCGTTTTCAGCTCTTCGTTTTCTTGTTTCAGCTTGTTATAGTCGTTCTCCAGCGCCTTCTGTTTTTGCCTCTCAAAGTCCAGACACTCCACCAAGTTCTGGATGAAGTCACGATTTTTTTTCACAAACTTGTCAAAAGTCGATTCCAAGTTGCGCAAATTACGATCAAGCTTTTCTATAAGCTCGTCAGTAAGACCCACAACATCGACTGGATCGAGGATGGTTTCTGAAACTGTCGACTTGTTCGACGATTGGGATGTTGGTTCGGATTTTATAGATATCACCGAAGGTTCGAAGTCTGGTATGGCTCCTATTTTTCCCGACTCTGATTTGACTGAAGATCCAAGAGATTTTTCAGACTCTTTGCTTATATCTGATGGTGCATATTCTTTTGATGGTCCTACTTTTGTTGTACTTTCTTCGAAAGAACATTCTGAAATAATTACTTCATCCGATGGACAGAATGGAAGAGCATCAAGATCATCACCTAAACATTATAGACATTTAAAATGAGGTTACTAACCTGTCGTCAATCAGTCCTATATTGTCGTTGATGACTTTCGACATATGACGACTGAAGAGAAGATTTGAAAATGGGGGTTTAACCCCGAAAATATAGTCATCAACGACAATATAGGACTGATTGACGACAGGTTAGTAACCTCATTTTAAATCATTAAATCAATCCTGGAGGCAGATTATGTATAAATTATAGACATGTGTTAACACACTCACTGCTAATGATATGTAATACTTTTATAAATGGCTAAAAAACATAAACATTAACATGATCATGTTAATTGAGTGACAATATATCTTTAATTAAATAAATTTTATACTATAAATTGTGGATTAAAATATATTATGTAATTATATACATCATGTATTATATATCTGCTAATATACTTATGACGCACAAGTGCGTCATTAGCAGTGAACGTGTTAATAGGTCAAATATATGCACAGAAAGTTGTAAACCACAAACATGCTGGAATATGTTTATTTTCTTCTAAGGTCATTTGATCAGGACAATAGTCTAGCTGGTTTGTTAATGTTATTTTAAGGTTTATCACAGACATTTTCCACCATTGTGATGGAAAATGTCCGCAATAAACCTTTAAATAACATTAACTCACCATCACCAACAATGAACTTCTAACAAAGAATGGTTTGTTAAGTTAGGTAGGTGTAATAAAAATTAATACTCGTTTTTAATTAATGTAAAAGCTATGATTAATGCCCTTTATTTTTTACACAATTGTTTATGAATTAAGTGCTTTTAGTGTCTACTTATATTCTCTACAAACATTTTCAGGGCTATACTAAAGCATCATGATCACTTCACTTTTGACTAGGCCCCTATGTTAAAATTGGTTCAAACATTATAGCTACAAGATTTAGATATAAGTTTATAAATAATTTAAGATCAAGGTTCCTGTTATTTATTCTATGACTATGTTCAAATATGCTTTAATTAATGATAAGATACCATTTGACAATGCCAATTGCTTTTGTAGAGCTGAAAGACAATAAAGAGATTTGATTTGATTGATTAGAGTTAAGACCAACCCTTCAAATTTAGAATAATATGACCCAATCAAACAATTATGATCTGAGACACATTAGTTTACCTGAATCCAATTTATTGACCTTCTTCTCTTCTCCCTCTGGTACAATTCTTTCCGATGGTACTTTTCTTCCCGATGGTACTTTTCTTTCCGATGGTACTTTTCTTTCTGATGGAACTTTATTTTCCACTGATACACTATTTTCCACTGATACACTCTTTTCCACCGATACAATTTTTTCCACTGATACATTTTCTTCCTCCGGTGTATTTTTTTCCACCACTGGATTTTTTTCCACCACTGGATTTTTGGGCTCCTTTAAAAAAATCCAACAACTGAATTGCTGTTGTAGATGTCCTACTCACATTTTTTTAAATGACTAATACCTACAGGTGTCGGTTTATTGATCAATCAATATGAATTAATTAAATAAATATTTTTAGTAAAAAAAAAAACAAGTTAACCTAGTAGAAATTCAAGTATTTGATAGTAATTTAGTGCTCTTTGCTTTGCATTTAGTGGTATTATGCTGACCTTAATGCTGGGTTTGGACCTTTTACCCCAAAAGTGTTAGGTATTTCAGTACACACTGTAGCCTAAACATTGTCTCTTGTCTAAAATGTCACTGGTGTGAAAAATAAGAAGAAGAAAAATTGTATATGGATTTAAATTAAATAATCAATCATTGAGATGGGGACACCACCTAGGTCCTAGGTGCTATTTTAACCCAAAAATGAGTGAAGGATAAGTGTAGAATGGTGTGTGATGACCTGTGTAGCTTTGTTACTGACTAAGATCAGCTGTTTCATTAGCCAGGATCATTTATCCATTGCATAGAGAACTTTTGAAATGAAAATATTGTTCTGAATTTTCATTCTATCAGATAAATACAAATAAAACTTGCAGGATTCACTTTGTAAAACGAATTCCTGTTATTCTCTATATAAAAATGTTGTATACAATAACAATAAATTCTGATTATTTTAATATATCTTGAGAAACTCACTTGTGGCTTTTTATCTTTGATCTTTTTCTGATCTTTGTTAGAACCTGCGTCTCCATTCCCACAATGAGGGATCTGAAAACAAAGAGTTGATTGCTTTTAGCAAGAAAAATCTATAAAACAATAATATTTACAATTTGAATAAAATGACTAGTAGAAACACAAAGATTGCAATGTTTTTCAAATTAAGCTATACACTATAAACGGTTTCAGTCAATGTAAGTCGACTCATGTTCCAAACTTTTTCTAGATAGGAATTTAAATTTTATTATTTATTCACTTAGTTTATAAGTGCATACTCATATTGTAATCTAAAATACAACAAATAAGTTACAATTTTGTTTGAGATACAAGAGGTAGTTACAATTTATTATTTAATTTGCTGTTTTTACTACCAACACATTTGAAATATTTTTTTTCATTTTTAAACTGCCGGCCATTGTTCTTTTCGATGTTTCTAATTTGGACTACATTTAAATCTCATTTACTTACCCGTCCGCTAACAAGATCCTGAAAGTGTAGCCTTGTTTGTTGTTCGTCTAGCGACCAAGACCTTCCATCCGTACATGAGTTGAAGTCCTTAAGATCATGATCCAACAGCTTTTCATGGTCGTGACTACATCCTGGCCGAGACTGTTTTAAAAAAACCTCAGGAGGATAGAGGTTAAAATTTATGAATTTAGGCTTTTCTATGTAGAAACAAAATGAGTTGTGTATTGGTCTACAGCAGGAAAGGAAGTATGCCGAAGCTGCAAGGGTCGAAGACATTGTTTAGTTTTGTGAATATATCATTTGAGGTTTACTACGTGACATTGAAGAGAAAATTATACACCATATTAATTTTGAAGTTTCCTACAATTGTGTTAAAAAATAAAAGACAACAATTGTCTATTTTGGTTAGTGAGGACATATGTTGGAACATTTTCTAATTTGTTACACACAGATGATTATATCACTTTATTTTTCTATTGAATAATGTCTACAGAATCTATAGAATAATTTATAAAAAAAAAACAACCATCAAATCAACCATCCATAATCCATAAGGATATGTAATAAAAGGCAACATTTAAAATAGTTTCAGGTGAGATTATTAAAAATTTTTCTCTACACTGGAACAGAAATAAAACAATAAATATCCAATAATCCTAATATTCTGTTACTAAAATTAATTATTTTAATAATAAAATAAGGAATTGCGGCCGGCTCGACGTAAGGGTGCACGTATCGCAATGGTTTCTGTCTGTAAATATATTGTGTTTTTGTTTTGTGTTCGGTAAAACTTTATGTATTTATAACGAAACGTTCTACGTGAATTGACCTGATGATGTGACTGTCGTCATCCAACAATACCAAAGGATATTGAACACGGTAACTGTTTATTTTTTTATTTAAATCTTCAATATCCAGTAGTAGGAAAATGAACTCTGAATTATTTTAAAGCCATAATCGCCAAATGCTATGTTTAGAGTTGGTTATACAGAAAGAGTTATTGGGCGTGGACAGCCTATTACTAAATTCCAAGTAAGCCGATACTGAGGTGTTGGCACTTTTGTCTCACGGCGGCCCGTGAACTTATTTTCTTGCATACGATCCATTTAGACCAAGAAAATTTTTTTGGTGCCATTATTTGACTAATTGTTTTCAAGTTTAGTTTGAGTATTAATTACTTTTTAACTGGTGGATAAAAGCTTTGACTATTAATAAAAAAGCTAATCCCAGAAGTATGGACTGTTCCAAAAAAGATGTGCAAAGTGCAAAATAAAAATGCAGAAACTATATAAACCAAAACACAAAATTGATAACTATTTATTTTATAACGAGCAATGTCAAAAATCATGCGATTGACAACGTAGTTGGAAAGGGACACGGAGACACACACTATAATGGGGATGTGGAATACTATCCCCCCGGAAAACCACCCACTAGGTGAAACGTGACGTCACAAAATCTGCCAACTAACCATTATGGAAGCCGCGTCCGCAACTGGAATACTACCCCCCTAGACAAATCATGCTATGTAATTGTAATTTTAATTCGAGTCATTTCGTTGGATAATAGAAAATGCATGTGGGGAATATAAAACATAATTTCAAAATGTTACAGCAAGTTTGGTTGGTTAGGTTAGGTTAGTTTAGAATTGTTTTTGACAACTACCCAAACTTGAGTGTCCGTGACTGGAAAACTGCCCCCCCCCCCCGGTCTCTGACGTCAATATGACGTAGGAACCTGCTTGGGGGGTAGCCTAGTTGTCCGGGGGGCAGTCTTCCGGCGACCCACTATAATCAGAGCCTACATAACAAAATAATGATCTTGTTGGTCCTAAAGTCTCCCGTGAGCCTCGCCGGCTTTGGTGAAACTATTAGCAGAAGCGCAGTCACTGAGCGAACAGATTACAAAACAGACGTTACTTCACCAACAGACGACTACTGTCACTGACTGTCACTGTCAGTGTCAGTGTGTCGACTGTGTCAGTCAAGAGTTTGAGTTTGGTGTTTGTGTCAAAGTAACATTAGCGTGTTGATAAGTTAAAATGTTATCACGGACTCAAGTGTATAGTTGACTAGGTTTTCTATAGGATACAATGTCCTACATCATTTGAACAAATCTCAATAGTAGTATAAACACTCCTGTATTCATAATTAACTGTTATTTCATTAAGTAAAATTAGGCTAGGCCTATTTACACATACATACTAATTGAAAACTGATAGTAACTTAAGACCTCATTTAAGAATCTGGTAAATATGGTTCTGAAAATTCTCAAGACCAGAATTTTAGTTGCAGTTTTATTCTTTTTGAGCCTTTGGCTAACTTACCAATATATGGAGAGCAAGTTCTTGCAACCATATTCCCATAAGGTAAGTGATCATTTACTTATTCCAATGGGTTGTAACAAAATTATCATCCTGTTAGGTAAGTTTTGAAATTTTACGATTTATTCTGGCCTAGCTCTTGAGACCGATGTGAGGTTCTTCACCCAGGGCCTTGGTTTGCAAGTGACGCCCCATGGTAATCGAGCCCCTCTTGCTCTTCACCTACCTTGTGGAGGGATGCTTCCCTTACTTGCGCTCCCAATAAAATTAAACCCTCGTGCGCCCCCGGGCCAACCTGGCCCATTTAGGCCTACTAAAGCACCATCTGCACTTTGGTTTACGTCCTACATTTACTCACATACATTTGGTTAAGGTTAGGCTTAGTTTAGAACAGTTTCATTTTATAATCAGCTGGTTGGTAGTTAATGTATAATAGTAAATGTGGGACGTAAACCAAAGTGCAACCAAAGCGGCCCTGCCTGCACTAATGAATTCATATTTTTCTAGGTTTTATCTAACTGAAATTAATCCAATGTTTCTCAACTTCCAATCACGGCAATTTAATTTTTTAAGTTACCTATTCAGATAGGGGACAGTTCCGCAGAGAACCTACAATATTTTATAAGATTAATTATTGATATTAACTTATTGATTTTGATGCTCTTCAATACCTTATAGTCTTTTAAAAATGTTAAGTAGGTAAGCATATGATTGGGTTGAGTTTATTTATTTTGACGGCAAACATTTATTTATTTAGAGTTATGATATGTTTAAATTTTTATCAACGTTTTGTAAAAGTTAACATCAAATTGAGTACGGTGGTCTTCTTTATCATTGATCAAGATTTTGGATGGATTATGAGTTTACGATCAAACATAAAAAAAAAAAAAAACATATTTAGGCTACTTGCACACTAGAACTAAAAAAAACAAAAAAACAAATAGGGTGAGTGCACCAGTGAATGACCGTTTAAGGGTGACTTCCTACTTAAAAACAACATGGGCAAATATACTACTAAGCTACATTGTACGAAATCGTTTAAATGTATTGCCCATATTTCCCTGTACTTCCCAATGATACAACTTAATGTATATTATGTTAAAAAAAGTGTCAAAAAATACATTTTTTGGCACATAAGTCATCGCACCAGTGAATGACCGCATATTATATAACAATTTAAAAAATGTATTGAACCTCCTCCTTTCACCAAATAACCCTCGTTCTAGGTTTTCGCATGGAAACTGAACACCCTGTAGTGAAAAATAACGATATCAGGGTCGTTAAAATATAGGTTCTAGTGAAACATCACTTTTTATCTAGAAATGACCATAAGATTTAACTCGCATTCAAACTTTGGTTATAGTGCATCCACATAATTTCTAATACATTTTTTTGTTTCATGGGAATTTACTTGCTCTATTAGAAAGCATTTTCAACAATATCAATAAAGAAAATTGACCTAAATCCAGTTAATAAACGAAACGGTCATTCACTGGTTATACCCTGAATTTGTGAACCAGTAATTGACCGGCTGTTTAAATATACAATTGGTTTGGATTTTGATCTTTAAATGAGTACAGAATTGTACCTTAACATGTTAACTATGAATTAAATGTAATATATTACAGTTCCAATCAATAATTAGGGAACCGTGACAAATTACAACCAACCATGTTTGTGCGAGACGCCATAGTGGGAAGCTTAAAAACTAACTGCTTGAAACATCTAATTTTGTTTATGTTACAAAAGAACGATTGACACTTTCTTTTTGAATCAGTCACAAGGTGAATTTTTATAAGGCCCCAAAGTTACTTTTAAACACGTTTGTGACGGACTAGGAAATACAGAAAGCCTGATATGAGGTTTTTTATACGAAACGGTCATTCATTGGGGGGTGGTCATTCACTGGTGCACTCACCCTACGTAGGATGTGGCAGAATTATTACATTAATAGAGATAATATGTCAATTTAAGTTAATTTTTGATTTCAGGAAAAACCAATACAGTTAGGCGATGGAAGAAAGGTGACTGTAACAGTATTCTACGAATGTTTATGTCCAGACTCTAAGAGCTTTATTCTCAACCACTTACTGCCCTCCTTTGAGAAAGCTCATAATTTGCTCGAGCTAGAACTAATACCATATGGAAAAGCAGAGGTAAGTTACCTAGTCATGCACCCTCTGTGATCAAATGATTCTAAATATTGGTTTGTTTATATCCTTTTGCGCTTCCTTCAGAGAAAAATAACCTGCAGTTTTAAAAAATTGATGTGTTGTTTGATAAGAAAAACATTGACTTAGTAGGCCTACTTAGGATGGGAATTAGGACCGTGTCCATCTGCATTTAATTTGACTTATTTTTCCTGGAACATGTCCTGGTTGAGCAGCAACGCAGTCAATTCGGAGTTGAGTTTACGTAACATTTTAAATTTATCATAGCCTACCCTATTCCAGTTTATCCATTTTCCATTTTTAACATAATTGAACTTACTCTGCCCTCTTCGGTAGCAATCTGGTCTAGTATTAGAGCATGGGGCCTCGGAGCCCAAGGTCCTAGGTCCAAATCCTGCCAATATCCAATGGATTTTTACCTCTTTTCTTTTATCTCTATTTTAACTCTGCATCCTTAAGTTTTCATTCAGACCAAACCTCACAATTTACATTCATGATGAAATAGACCACTGTAGTTAAATAAGTTTACCCCACAGACACATTCTACGGGCGATGGATATGAGTTTGAGTGTCAGCACGGACCGGCCGAGTGTTATGGCAACAAGCTGCATTCCTGTATCATCAGCAGAGTGCCTGATGAAATGCTACAACTGCGGATGGTCTCTTGTCTTATGGAGGATCATAGCGACGTTGACTCTGGTGGGCCTGCGGTGAGTATCACTCATCTCTCATATAACTGAGAAGGCCTTATTAAGTTACTATCATTACTTAGAAGAAACTCCTACATTGTAAACACGGTGATCATGTTAATTTGAGTTAGAACGAGAGAACCCGTGCACAGATTCACATTTCAATGCGGTTCAAAACTTGTTTACAAGGCAAAACCAGTATCGCAATACCCCATTATTTTTCAAAGATGCTTGTTCAAGGCAGTCGTTAAATGAATAAAACTACTAATTTATAAAATTTTAAATGTCTATAAATATTGTTTAAAATAGTATGACCCCTAGCAGTCAGTGACTGAGAATAGCAATGGTGTAAGGATAATCGGTCTTGGAAATGTTGGATTAAAATATAGGCTATGAAAATTTTAGCAATTCATAAAATTATTTTTTCTCTTGTTAAATCAATCAGACATCCCTTGAAAATGAAATAAAATAAAATATTGTAAATTGTTTTTTTAAAATTCAAAGTATCTAACAGGTCTAAGTTAAAAATTTACTACGTTAGTTGACACAGATATAGGTGCTACAATATTTGTTATTCATTGTTTTCTTGATAGGAAGATCTAAATCCCATGGTGGGTTGGACGTTAATACACTTCTAAATCCACATTGTAAATAGTTAAAATTCCAAGTTTTAGTCTGTAATTTTACTTATTTATGAATTTGCCTAGCTTTGATTGATTTGATTACTGGGTTCAATACCTGGATACAATCTATTGACATGTTGTGGCATGTTTAGTGTGCTAAGAAGCTAGGAGTTGATTGGGCCGGGATCTCGACGTGCGCCAAGACCACAGAGGGCAGCAATCTGCTCAAGATCCACGGAGACTCGACGCACGCGCTGAGTCCTCCTATATCATTTGTACCTACTATACTGCTGAACCATGTAAGTATCAGCATTGACTTTAGTTCACTGAATTAGACATCCCATCTACATTGACAAGCTGTAGTCATTATTTTTTTAACATTATATAGTTGAATGAGTCACTAATTTTCCTCCCTAGTTTTTGTTGATAATTGGTTCGACATATGTTTCACAATAGGTAGTTGTTTCAGTTTTATTGTAAACAAATTATAGCAAAAATTAGTAATTTTTATCATTCATCAGTGCACTCTTTTGGTGAGTTGATTCCACATTAACTTTGATTCAAAAGCTGGCAAGAACCAAACACGGGAATAGAAAGTATAGTTCCAACAAAAGTCAACAGTTTTGGTTAGCTTGCAACTAAAAAGTTTTCGAGTTTAATTAGGCCTATATTTAATATGTTAAATCTTACTTTCATGTGATTAACAATTAAAATGATTGTTAAAAAATGACTATTTATCTATCTGTAAGCCCTAAGAATTTACTCAAGTATGCTAGCTGAACTCTGTCTAATTCCAAAACAATTCTTTAAGCAGCCACACAGCTTTCTTTTAAAACTTTAAGTGTATTACTGAATTGTTTTATTAAGCTTGTGAATCAAACCGCAATTGAATTGCAACACTAGGCAAAGCAACAACTGGAAATTGACATAACAATTCATTCGACATGTGTTAGATTAGAGTGATGGTTATTTGTCAACATATGTGAACAAGTGTTGATGTTAGCTCAAGGCAAATGTGTACTTTACTGTACAAACTTTACAACTTAACAATCATTGAAGACGCTCATTACACAATTGACAATTTACTTGACTATTTCTTGAATACATCTTTAAAAATGAGCTAAATAAAAGATGTAATTAGTTAACTGAAAATTTCCATTTATGAACTACAAGTAATCTTGTGTAGTTCAAAAATAAATTGTTCTGCTTTTTTATTGCCATGTAGCCTAATTTAGGCCTATATTTGAAGGATAAGTAATGAAATGGTAGGCAAAACTTATTTATATTAGTTGTTGCTGTCTGGAAGAAAAATGATATGCTGAAGATAATAAAATACATAGACTATAGTTCATGTGGGGGAGCGAGCTGGTCTAGTGGTTAGAGCGCGGGACTTTGGTTCCAGAGGTCCCGGGTTCAAATCCCGCCAAATCACCATTGGATTTTATCCATGTGATAATGCCGCAACCCCTAGGTCTAGCCTGAAGTAATGTGAAAAACAATTCTGGGTTCGTGCCTAGCGTCCTAGGACAAAAAAACGCTACCTATAGTTTATGTAAAAAAGTTCTAGTAGAAAGGGTGAATTTTACAATCATCATGATATTTTGATATGTTTTATAGTTTCTATAAACTACATAAAATAAATTTATAACTTTGAATTTGTATTTCCAGAATCGAGACGGACAGCCAGCTATTCTTAAAAATCTGTGGAAGGAAATTTGTAAATATTTTGACAAGGTAAGCAATTGTTCACACATAGTAGTTTAAACTTGTCTGTGCTAAAAATAATTGTAAATTGCATTTTAGTTCGATTTTAATTCCAGTTTCAACAAAATTAAGCTGCTTCAGTTTAGTATCAGTGATGGTTAAATATATCTATTCTCTTTACACTTGATCGAGAACCTTGGTAAGTTTATGATCTCTTTAAACACTATCGTTAAATTCCCATGAGTGATGATATTCTAGAATGTGTACTTTATCTTGTTAACTAGCGTGTAGTAATGCTGTATGAACAGCATGTCATGTTATACATCTCTAGCTAAATGGTAACCTAATTTTATCTCATAATCATGACTTAAATATTTAAATGCATGGTTTAAAAATCACTTTTATAATACTACCTATTGTATTTAAAATGGACAAAACGAATCAGGCAGTAATTTAGATTAGTGAACTGACTAAAGCTGTCCCTGTTAATTATTTTTTAAATTAAACTAAATATTATAGTCCTAGAAATTTTGGATATCATGTTAGATTGTGAATAGATTTGAATTACTGGAAAACACTTTTATGTGTTTTTGGACAGTGATTTAATATTTCCTGACTACACCCAGCATGCCATTGGAGGATTGAACACTGGACATACTGGTTTGTTATTACAAGTTGCAAGATTAAGCTTGTTCAATCACTGATTCCATCACTTCCTGCTATTATACAACAGGATATGGTGACAATTAAGTCTGGAAACCCATTTTAATTTTTAAACCACAGTGGAAAAAAATACCAAAGTTCCCACGTACTTACTGGTGACAGTAACGCACACATCTGCCTAATTGCCGACCGAATAACCCTTTTGGGGGACGGTCGACAAGGAGTCAGACAAAATTCTTAAATAGCAGCATAGGTCAAGTTTGGTATCAAATTAAAGGTCTCCGTTAGTAAAATACAATGCCACAAACCCAAACGGACAATGGAGTAAAAAATTACAGCTGTTCAAATATTCCTTGAATTTGCAATGCTTATTATCGTGAGGCGCCCACCAGAAGTCAGATGAAAATCATTAACGTAAGCATAGGTCAATATGCACATCACATTAAAGGTCTTTATTAGTAGAATACAATGCCGCAAATTTGAGCTCAAAATATCAGTTGGGTAAAAAATGTCAGCCGTTCAAAGATTTAAAATGGCAGATTAAAGAAATATTTGAACGAGTGCCATTTTTCATTACTTGAAAGTCCGTTTGAGTTCGAATTTGTGACAGTAGTTTACTAACGGAGACCTTTAATTTAAACTCTAAATATGCTGCTATTTAAGAATTTTGTCTCACTCCTTGTGGACCAAAGGGGTTATCCGGTTGGTAATTGGGCAGTTGTGTGCGTTATCACCAGTAAGAACGTGTGAACTTTGGTATTTTTTTCCATTGTGGTTTAAAAATTTGAAAAAAGGTTCCAGACTTAATTGCCACCCTGTATATCAAAAGAGGATATAGGAAGAGTACAAATCATGCAGAATAGCCTAGTTTTTGTTTAGTTTTCTGTCTAACTTTGAATGGATGCTGTGTGTGGAGCATTGATGGCGTTGACTTACTTCCTTTTTTTATTAACTAGTTTAGGTTAACTAGTTTACATAGAGCTCATATTTGTAGATCCTCGGTACCTCTTTGATTAACAGCTTGCCCTTTAATTTATTTGTAAAATCAAGAGTCACTCTGAACTGAATTCTCATCTGATTATTTAAACACCACGTTACATATTCTGCTTGACTGTTGTTTTCAAAAGTTGTAGATGATAATGGTTTGATAGTGAAGATATTTATTTAACAAACATCTTTTACAATTTACAGGACGTCCCAGAATGCCACTGAGCTAGATGCACACAGAGCACAGAGAAAAAGACTGGACAGCACCGAGTGATTGAGCCTAAAGATATTCTTCCGTAGAATTAGTTTCATATTTTTTTTACCTTGTTCGATGTCGTTTTCACGGTTTTATTGCTGTGGCTGCTCAACGTAACATTGAAAAGTGCTAGAAGTAATAGGGGATTTGAACAAATATTTAGTTGGGCTGGTTTTCGATTGATTGAAAACTGTCAAACATATCTGAACAAAAAAAAGGAACATGTGAGAACTCTACCTGAAAATATAGGCAACTTGTGCATATTTTAAGCCAAGTAACAGTGTTAAATGAGCGAGTTATGATTCTTTGTGTACCAATAGAGATGGGGACGCCACTTAGGTGAGTATTTTAACCCAAATATGAGTGAGGGATGAGTGTAGAATGAATTGAGTTGCCTTTTATAGCTTTGTTAGTGACTAAGATCAGCTGTTTCATTAGCAAGGACCATTTCATTAAGATTCAGTCAGTAGTAGGAGGTTGGATGTAATTGTAAGTATGTATCTATACAAGTATATTTGTAAATATTGGGAGGGACGTATTTATATTTGTAAGTCTATAGTTAAACGTAAGTAACACAGCTATAATTTTTGTATTTAGTTACAACAATTTTAACGGTTTTTTGTATCATTGTTATCTGTTTTACTGGATTTTAATTTTAAATATTGAAATGTATACACTTTTAAAATTTAAATGCATTTAAGATTTAAGGTGAAATATGAATTTGACAGTTAACGATGAAGACTGTTGATCTCGTAGTTGATATGTCTTTAAAATATATTTAAATCTATAAATAGATTTTTAAAGTTTGTAGAATGAAAGTAAAATTGTGTTATTTGTAATTTTTATAGAAAATGTTTTTTTTACTTAAAATGTTTTACAATACCTGCATATAGTAATCCTTTGTTGCTGATTTTGGCAACTAGTTTCGGTTCATTATTGAACCATCTTCAGGCCTACGTGTATCGTGTTTTGTATATGTCTTATTTATTGAACTCTGTTATTAACGACCTTAGAATGAAGTGATTATTTGACACCTTGAGGCCTGAAGATGGTTCAATAATGAACCGAAACTAGTTGCCAAAATCAGCAACAAAGGATTACTATATGCAGGTATTGTAAACCATTTCAAGTATAATACAGTAATCCGGAGGCTAAACAACTATTTTTTTAAATGACGCTTTTTTACTTTAACAACAGCAATTAGTAACAAATTTGGCTTGCATTTTACTTACAGTTGGTAAAACTGCAGATGTAAGAGGCTCCAAAAACGTTGTATATATGATTTCTTACTTTGAATATTACTTGAATGTATTCGTGTTAGCAAAAATTTTTGGGGATTTTTACGACGCGCAATGTGTTGGAATTTTGTTAGCACTTTGCACAGTGAAAATCTAGCGAGTTGTAAAATATTTTACCATTTTATGGGGATTTAATCAATTAATTGAGCAGAGTCATGATGAGTGTGTGGATTAACTTATTTAATAATTTATAATTCTAATTGGTTGTGCTTTAAACATTGTAATTATTTATACAATTTTATAATATTTGTAAACATATTAATTTGTTAAATATTGAAAATAAAAATTAATTGTTTTTTTACTTTGAATTTCTTATTATTTAACATTGTACCCTAACAAAGGTAATAGATCATTGAAAAAATTATATAAAATTGAACTGATGCCTTGATCGAGCCAGGTAATAGTGTATTACGTTACTAGCCCGGTAAGTGGTGTTTTATCATGCGAGCACAGCCGAGTGTGTGATTTTCCTGCGAGTACGGTAAAGCTTACCGGGCGAGTAATGTACGATACTTTACATCATACTACACAGAAAAATTAGCACATTTTAAACTCATAATTTCAGAAAATAAAATATGCCTTTGTAATTAGCTGTTTATTTTATCAGCTGACTAAGTGCAGGGCAAAAGTACATCACGTTACTTTTCCGTGTGTAGGCATGGCAAAGGGCAACTTTCCATCATATCAATACAAGTACCTGTTTCTGTGTAGTATGTTGTAATAGTATATTACGTTACTAGTCCTGAAAATAAGTGTTTACCGGACGAGTGTGGTCGTTCCCGTACAAGACGAAGTCGAGTACGGGATTACCATACGAGTCCGGTACACCCATTTTGGACAGGTTACGTACAATAGTTATACTACTAAATCTGTACAAATCCTTATATATTTCCACCAACTAAAGGACTAAAAATCACCAGTCATAACCTCTCTTAGGTCTAAGAGAGGTTATGTTTTTGTTCATAACCATTCATTGCCACCTAAATACAGTATAATCAGCTGATTGGTGTCCGGTAAAACTCATTACAGTACAGTAGTACGCAATGAAACCCCATTTGAATAAGCTGGCGGCAAACAGCTGTTTTCTGGACTAAATCCTTAAGTGGGAAGTTCGTCAAAATAATGTAGTGTGGCGTAAAATAAATATCACTAAACTCCATATGCGACATATTCCTCCTGGGATGTGATGATTAACAACACCAGTTGATTAAACACACATTGGTTCTGTTAAACATAGTATAATATTTTCTTCAATAAATTAACATAATTACAATATTAAATAAATGGAATACATTTTTGGATAGTATGTCAATTACTATCGTAAGGAACTATTGTTTATTCAATAATGAATTCTTTGAAAAGCATAAGGTATGCTGACAAAATTGTAAAAATCTCCTCTATTCACATATTATACACAAATTACAATAACAATATTTTGTGCAACATTATTGCGATGGATCACAGCTGTAGAGGGAATAAGTCTTTTATCAACTGATTACTGAGAATCCACGGTTTGTGGCATGGCTCTTCGCAAAATGCAGAACAGCGAGGAAGTGACTACGAACTTGGGGATTGACAAAGAACTGGAAGTGCGGTTCATCTTGCTCTGGTACGGGGGAAGTGGAGGGGGAAATGTGCGAAAGTTCCCCGATCAACATCCTTTGGCTCTCTCGTACGTACTCGAGAATACGGATCTGTGATAACAGCTGTGCCTGGAACATAGATTTTGTATTATAGACATTTAGTCATACTTTCAGTTTAGTATGGAACGTATTCAAATCAATAATTTAAACTTAAAGTATTGACTTTTGTTTGGGATAACGATATACTGTATCGCAGATCAAATAATCAGGAGCGCACAACACATTACTTTATTTACACTATTTTATGATGAAGATTTCAAACCAGTATAGATAAAAGAAAATATACCGGCAAAACCCTCTTGTAAGAGGAGCGATTAACTATAGGTTATATGGGGAAAAAATAATTACATTTGAGTCATAAATTTTACAGCATTCGGGGGTTATGCCATTTTGTTCAGAGTTAAAAGGACTGTATGACATACTAAGTTTCGACATAGACAAAAAGAATTAAATATAGACTGTTAGCCGTGCTGCGGTTACCATGGTTACCATAGGTTCTGGCGAACACCAGTGGGTGCCCCGTGTAGTTACGTAGCAAGTACGCCATAACTACATGGCGCTCCCAGCGGTGTGCACCAGAACCTATGGTAACCGCAACACAGCTGACAGTCTATATTTAATTCTTTTTGTCTATGGTTTCGATTAAAATTGTTAAAGGCATTTTTGTGAAAATCTTGATTACATTATTTTGGAGATTTTCATGGAATATCACGGCTAAGAGTACAGCCAAAAATAAAAAAAAAACTCCTGGAGTTAACATAGATTAGTACCAAAATCCCAATTTTACCAAAACTGGATTAATGTTTTACATACCCATAGTGGATATTTCCACACAAAACATTTGTAAGAAAAATAAAAGAATACTTTCTCCATATAGGGGTGGAAAATGGAAATTCTACAGCCTATCGGCTCACCTGTTCCTTGGCAGGCTGTACTCGCAGTGCGACCAATGTCGGGTCATCACTGTACATCACCTGGACGTCACCCAGCCGCACGGCTCGTGTAGATATGTCCAGCTCAGAGTTGACCACGTAGAGTGACTGCGTGGTGACTAGTAGCGTGACTGCCTCGTAACAGTCGCTGGTCGCCTCGGAGGTGAACAGCAGATCCTCCGAGGGAGGCAGCAGCTTCCACTGGTACTTGAGGCGAGAGTCCGACCCGCACTGACTGTGCTGGGTGAGAGGTTCGTGTCTCACCTGTGATCCAACAGTAAGCTCAGTGAGGGAATGATCCCAAGAGGAAATGGATTTCAGTGCAGGGGAACTAACCAATAACCTTCATTTTACAGTGATACACTTAATCATATTATGTATGCCCAAGGATTGTGAGCTGCAGTACAAGGGGTTCACAATACAACGTCACCAATCCAACCAAGGTACAATGTGCATTGAAAATTGCCGACAGAGGTGTTCAAATACATAGAAATTAGTTAACTAATAATAAGTTCACTTCGGTCAGTTTAAGAGCAAAATTTTTTCTCTCACATCAGTTAGGAAACGCTGCACCAGACAGAATGCCTTGCTTGCAATCAGTGTTTCCACAAAGCCAAATCAAAAATCTTGCTTACCGAGTCTAGAAAATCCTGTTATATCCCACTTTAATACGATGGAAATCATGTTTTATCCCGCATGGATATTGTAAAAAGATCTGTCCTTAATTAATATCCTGAGTGGTATTTTGGACCTATTACAAAATATAGCCTGTATGTTTTTTTTACCTGGCTGTGATACTATAGTAAGATAGAAACTATTCAAAGAAAATCCCGCGCAACACCTAAAATTCTTGTTTTTGTGATAAAAATCCTGCAAATGAAAACACTGCTTGCAATGCTAAGGTTGCTGCTTGAAGTATGGGAAAACATTCTCTTACTTGGAATTAAAAGTGAATAAAACTCTTTTGGGAAACAAAACTAATCTAAAATACTTGTTGTACTGTCAAAAGATCCGGTTTCTCCATCAGGAAACTCAATTTTGACCCTATACGTTTGTTATTATTGAGAGGTTCATTTTTAAACAGTTGTCAGTGGACAAAAAAACGGATCATAGGACAGAACAAGTGGCATTTTTACCCTTTTTAGTTTCATAATCCTGATCCAGAAGACAAACTAGTTTCTATACAAAATTATTAAAGATGTTTTTTAATGCCTTCTAATAAATGTAAGTCTAGGTATGCACTCAATCATAAGTTTTCACAGTTCATTTGACTGTACTCATTTAATCCATGGTAATGAATGGTGCCTATTGAATCAATTCATCTTTTCTAACTCAAGAGGAGTTCACTACATATTTACCCTGGGTACGTCGGTCCAGCCAACACCACTCAACAGGCCTTCCCCTGTGAGGGCGACTAGTTCGGCCACTCCGCTGAGAGGCCGAGTGATGACCCCCACCAGGCCGAGCCCCACACTGCTGACCAGGCCGTGGTCTGGCCTCTCGGACATGACGTACTGCAGCGGGTGGTGGGCAATACTGCTGATGGCTCCTACAACACAATACGTCTTAATTTTTGTTACTTTTTTAGGTTGATTATACTAATCACACTCATCAAAGATAAAGCGAAACTTGGCTAATACCAAGACACCAGAATCAGCATTGCCTTTTGGATACTGAAGAAGACATAATTTGCTTCATATTTTGAGTGGTTTTGTCTCTGGATCACAGAACACAATACAACGTCATTGAACAATGAACACCAACATAATTTGCTGGTCGTTTACCAAAAACCATAGGTAATAAAACAAACCAGTGTGAATAGTTGAAGGTGAAGATGAAGGAATAGAAGATTGTACAGTTACCGATTAGACTGATGCCGAATTCCGTCAGTCCTTGAACGACACCCTGGGATAGACTCTGTGGTCGCAGTCTGCGCAGCTGCTCCGAGCGCTCCAAGTCTCGAGTGTCGAGTGTCAAGCGATCGAGTGTCCGAGCCCAGCTGGCTGCCAGCCTGGTCACAGAGGTTATAGTGCCTGTAACATCAACAAGACTTAAAAAGTTAAAACTAAAAGTTGTAAAATTAACCAGGATTTATATAGAATAATGGCTACTCAAAGTAATGTTGTGCAACTCACTCACTGGAGGAGTGCAGTACAAGAAACAAGGCAACTACCATTTAAAATGAAAAAATTGTATAATAGGAGTTTTTCTATATATATATATACTAGCTGTACCCGCGGGCTTTGCCCCGTTTAACTTCATAAGTGAGCTCGTTCGCATGGCTCAATCACGTCCTGGTTGGAGTTCGTTTGCTACGCTCACTCACCTTTGGGTTGGAGCTCGTTCGCTGCGCTCACTTGCCTTCAGGTTAGCTCGTTTGCTACGCTAACTTGCCTCCTGGTTGAAGTTCATTCGCTACGCTCACTCACCTTTTGGTTGCAAATTAGCTGTTGTCATGAATTTAAAAAATAGTGCTGCACCCTGTTGGTAATTCTTGTAACTTTAATGCTATTGAACATCATAGAACAGAACCAACTTGTTTAATTGAAACAGCTGTTAAGATTCATTAATTCCATTTAAATATGAGTACTCATAAGGTTAACATGGGAAACTCCAGAGCCACTGGGGCGGAGCCCGACGGTCCGATTAGGATAAAAACAACTTAGTTTTCCTATTTAATGCCTAAAGAATCAGTGTACCAAATTTCATCCTCATAGGTAAATGGGAAGTAAGAGAATTAGTGATGAGTGAGTGAGTGAGTGAGTCAGTGAGGGCTTTGCCTTTTATATATATAGATATATATATATATTTTTTTTAGGAAAGCAGTTCAGCTAGTTTATCTGAGAGTATAAAAGTCCAGAGAATTATAGATAAACAAAAAAGGTCACACAACACAATTAGAATACTCCCACAACTAGAAGTCCATAGCAGGGCAAAAAGCCAGAACTATTTGTAAGCATTTTTGTGCATCCTCCCTTTAACTGTAATTTAGTCAGATGAGTCAGCTGAACTCAATCTCACTCCAAAATCTCCATCAGCAAAAAGCTTCATCAGAAACATAGCTTTGTTTCATTTAAATGTAAACATTACATGAATTCCTTTATCAACTACGATCAACACAACACACGTTTAGACAAACTGTAATAATAGAGTAAACTGACGATAAAACACGAGTATTATTGGAACGATAGCAATTATAGGAATAGGAAAGATTACTTTGGAAATTAAACTTAACAAGGTCTTACCGGCAGCAAAATGGTGCATGAGTGAAGCGGACCCGTGAGCAATGCCTGTGAAGAAGGCTCGAGGCCCAAGCAGCATACCTTGCAGCGGAAGACTGATAAAGTCTCGCAGGCCAAGGCCTAGACTGCGCGCAAGACCACCTGGCGCTCCCAGCAACTCTAGCGACCCCAACGCCCAGCCTGTCGTACAGAACCATACTAGAATATTATGGAACATTAAGAGTTTACTCTCCATCTTCAACTGCAGTTTCAGAAGTCCAAGCTTCATTAGGTAATATTGCAGTAAAGTATTTTTCTATTAACATGTCTAAATTAATTTTTAACTATACAGACTGTCCCAAAAGTCCCGGACCGGTTTAATATTTTCTAAACGACACCAGATAAATCAATAAGATTTGGTATATCAACACCACACCTAAAAATCTACTTTTTTAAGAATTTTCTGTCATATCTTGGGGATGTCCCGCAAGGAGTCAGAAGGAAATCTTAAATAGAAGCATAGGTTGACATGTACATCAAATTAAAGGTCTTTACTAGCAGAATATAATGCCGCAAATTTGTACTCAAACAGACAACCGAGCCAAGAATAACAGTGGTTCAAAGATTCATTTAATTTGCATTGCTATTATACGCTTACTCCTCAGGGGGCACAGCCCTAGGAATCGGAAGAAAATTATTAACGTAGGCATAGGTCGATATGCACATCAAATTAAAGGTCTTCACTAGTAGATTACAATGCCGTAAATTCAAGCTCAAATGAACGCCTGAGTAAAAAATGGCTGTAGTTCAAAGATTCAAAATGGCGGATTCAAGAAATCTTTGAACGGCCGCCATTTTGCGCAGGATCAACCTTTTGAAGTGTTGTTTGCGGCATTGTATTCTACTAAAAAAGACCTTTCGTTTGATTTGCATATTGACCTATGCTCCTATTTAAGATTTCCTTCTGACTCCTTGCGGGACGTCCCCATGATACGACAGAAAATTGACATTTCCATAAAAAAATAGATTTTTAGGTGTGGTGTTGATATACCAAATCTTATTGATTTATCTGGTGTCGTTTAGAAAATATTAAACCGGTCCGGGACTTTTGGGACAGTCTGTATAGTACACATGCAGAAATGTACTAAGAATCATTAAAACTACTGAAGTGCACATGCAAGATGTACTTCTCGAAGGTAGAGTGAACACCAACTCAGTCAGGTTAGTAAAATATTTTATGTCAGAACCAGCTTTGGAGGAAACTTCGACTATGAGTATTGTGCTTCAAGGTTTACTCAATTTAATGTCTAAAAATAAAAATAGATAATGACCTGTAAAGACCTGCATATGGTAATCTACAAATTGCTATCTGCAACTAGTTACAACACTTGCGCGTGTCCTCAGGCTCCAGTATCATTACTCATTAGGTTAGTTATCTTCTTTGTAAATAAAAGAAAGTTATTTTGGAAGAAGAAAAACATAATTGGATGGCTCCACTTTCGTTTTGAAACTAGATACTTACCACAATCTACAGAATAGGTATTTACACAGTTGACAAAATAGAGGTATATTTGAGGCTATACCCAAACAATTGTTAGTTAACATACCTGTACCGTAAATCGCCCCAAAGAAGTAATGCAGAGTGAGTGAATGACCCAGCCTGTAAGCCGTCGTGAACAATGACGACCGTCTGAACGCAGCCAGTTGCAGCGGAGAGTGGTCCAAAGCGATGTAGAACTTGGTGGAGGTGTGGATGCTGACTAACAAATCCAGTTCCGAAATGCTGAGGGATCTGAGACGCAATGGCCGAGCCAAGTCTCTGGACGCACTCAGCACTTCCGGTGGAACAGGAAACCCAGACTCACTAGGCAAATCTTCCTCCTCTCCCTGCGTGCTAGATGTAGCGTTCACTGTCCAAACCGAGTCTGTCTCGTACACGCTTTTAGCCTGGGATACGGCTTCAACAGCAGAAATTTCTTCGAGCGATTGGTTATCTTCGGGATCGGAAACATTGAACAAATCTTCTTCCGCTTCCTCGCTTAGATCTTTTTTCAAGTTGTCTTTTGAGAAAATCGATTCTTCGTCTCTCCTCAACTTGTGTTTAGGTTTTGGCCTTTCAGCGTTCCTTTCTACGTTTCTCGTGGTGGGTGTTGGTCTTGTTCTTCTCTGTGAGGTTGGATACGTTGTCTTCGGAGCATTTAGAGGTGTTTCAACAACGAATGATGATGGCAGAGTGTTTAGGATGCACTCTTTTAGGTGGTAAATGTATTTGTCTTCAATGTAGATTTGGAGAGGTGCTAGTTTTACACTAACGTCTTGCACGGCTAGAAAATTAAAGACATCATTTAATTACTAAAACTGCAACACAATTTTACTAAAAATAATCACTATGAGTTTGAAAAGCAAATTTAGATTTAAGAAATTAATCTAATGCTACGATCTTATCAAGAGAATTTGGTACATATCAGCTTAAATTGGTACTAGTACTTTTGATACAGGGAGTACCTTGATTTAGTATGATAGAATAACAATTAATGAGTTAATTAACCCTCTTTTTTCATGGAGATGTCCAACTATCACATACAAATAAAAATAAAGTAGTTAGTCCAAACCTGTTTGCAGACAAAACATAACACTAATTCCATCATGTCAAACAAAAATTGAAGTTTAGAGCAATGCAACCTCCACTTATTATTATCGAATTAATTATTTATAATTAATAATTATCGAGTTAATATTATCGAATAACCAATGCAAACAGCAACAAAATGATTCTCTGAAGCATAATGTATGCCTACCATTCCTGTAGCTGATACCTATAGATATACACCCACCATTCCTGACAAATTCAAAAGTTGTACCATTGACTATACACAGAATAGACTTCCCAAGTAAACATTTGAAGCAAAAAAACATGGTGCAATCTGCTGAGATGGTCTACCAACTAATGACAATATTCTGTGTCAAGTGATAAATCAATCAGCTGTTTGCTATGATACTGTATTGATTTGTATTAATATACAAAAATACCCTCCCCAATGGGTACAATGGGTTTGCCCAATACAAAAGTACCCTCTGGTGAGAAGGTCCTAAACTTAATCTCATTTAAGACTGGGACGGTGGCGTCGTCCTGTAATCCAGCTACTAGGAGGTCACGAATTCATGATAATTAGACCAATTTTTTGATACCAAGGCAAAAATGTGATTCGGATTCTACAATAAACTGTAGGTCCCTTAGTTGCCATTAGCTAGCTGTATGGGCTATTAATTAACAGCTGTGTCTAAGGAATATGTCGGCCTTAGTCACTAACAAGACTACAAGATTGCGCCACTCATCCTACACTCATATTTGGGTTAAAATATGCACATAGTAGCGTCCCCATCTTATTAAATCTTAAATAATTGATAATTGATCTATTTTCTTGGCATCAAATTTTTACATTACGTGGGAAGTCTATTCTGTGTATAGTCAATGGTCGTACTCATAAAACCCTCTTTACTTTTCCGACTGTAATTCTTACACTGACCGATGCTAGCATGACTGTTGACGTCCACGACGACAGTAAGGTCCGCCCCGCAGCCTCTTTTTCTCGCCTTGTCCACCAGACAGTGCGCGTGCTGACTCATCGAGACCTCAGTAACCTCTTTCCTGGGTTTCTGCATCAACAACACCACGGGGAAGTCGTAACCGCCCAGGGAGAACTCCTGATTGTCCAACTGGATGTCTCCCACGGTCGTATGGATCTTCATCTCTCTCACTGACAAATCCTGAACAGGAAACAATGCTTTTGATAAAAAAGGATAAAATATATGAATTTGTATTGGCTTTGTATAGCTTCAAGTACAGTTTCTTTGTTCCTTGCTTTGAATAGTCAAGTCAAGTCAATCATTTATATGATTGAATTCAAGTTAAGCTTAGTAGGTAGTTGCTTGGGGATAAAGTCCAGCAGGTACCATAGTTTATTGAAAGAAATAACTGACCAAGTACCATGTGCGCTGGGTACCACCTAGTAATCAAAAGGTTACTGGTTTCATCCTGAGAAAAGTTGGTGTATTTATGACAGTTGGCATTTGGTATTTCCCCAGCAATGGCACCAACAGTGTTTTTGGCGTAGTTGGAAGGATCCCCTTTAAAACGCCACTTCTGACTGCCTAGCCTCTTAATAACCTATATATACTCTTTCTACGATTTTTTACATATGGTCTTTGATTTTCTTACCTGGTGAGGATGAGGATGCACAGTGATGCCAACATGATCTACAGTCAGGGCTGCCACTTCATGACATTCACAACCCAGCTCACTATGTGACAGCAGGGTGGTAGTGAGGCCATGCAGGTAGCAACTTATCTCCAGCCCTTGTCCTTTACCTGTCAAATTATATTTAAATTATCTGAACTGGTAAAAAAATGCATTGGAAATTTCACTAAACAACAAATTTCCCCCACAGTAGACTGATTTATCCTGTTTGAAAAACACAATTTACAGGGAACTTTACTACAAATACCTCCTAGACAACCTCTTTAAAGAGCCAGCCATGAAAGGTTACGCGACAGGTCCGACTACACAGAAAAAGGATTTATGTTAAATTAATTCAATTACATTGTAATTTGACAGGCTGTGTTATTCTCATGGAATAAATGAGTCCAGTCATTTGTCTGTTGCTAAATTATCTAATCTGCACAAAAAAAAATGTTTTAATAATTGACAGTAAGACAAGGTTTCTTACTTGGGGAGCGAACTGGTGTAGTGGTTGTGGAGCGTGGAACTTCGGTCCCTGGGATCCCGGGTTCAATTTCCGCCAAATCACCAATGAATTTTATCTAAGTGATAATGTTGCAACGCAGGTCTAGCCTGAAGTAATGTGAAAAGCAATCCCAGGCTCATGCCTAGAGTCCCAGGACAAAAAAGTCCCTTACTCCGGTAATGCAAGATTTCAGCAAAATACAACTCATTGTTCAAACCTGTTTCATTCTCCGAGGGTGGGATGGATGGAGGTGGAGTTGTTTCATGAGTTTCCGAGTCAGAGTCTTGTAGCTCTTTTTTTGAACTGTGACTCGGGCTGCTTAGTCTTCTTTCACCTGAAATTTTTTTTTATAATCATACATCATTTTTTTTTAAATGCCTGATATGAGTGTTTACTCTGTTCTACCGTAGGACAAACATCAATACACATTTTTAAGGATCAAAATTGTACCTAGATAAATGAAAATAAAAAAAAAACGATTTTGAATTGTAAAACACTAAATATTAGTAGCAACAAAGTAAGGTAGTTTTACTATCAATTTTCTATTGCCTCAATCATCTGATTACTTATTTCACTCATTTGTAAGTGTCATTGTACTGACCTACATACCAGAGTACAGTAGAACCCCTCATATCCGGCCTTGGTTTTACCGGTCCTCTGTTTATCCGGCCCCTTCCAGGAAGCCAATATCAAAATTTTTTTCTCACAGCTTACAGACGTTTAGATGCAAGCACTAGTATAGTGACTGCTCAAGTCATAAAATAAATTGTTCTCATTATTTATCTGTTTGTTTATACATTTATATGCTGAGTCACTATACTCAGTTGAGCTAGTAGGCCTGACCTCTGATCAGTTGGTTGATTATTTCCAAAGTGGGGTTAGTACAGTACAGTACGAGTACATTAATTTAATTTTTATATTTCACAAATATTTATTTTTCTTTTTACAAACAAGTTTATTTTTCTAAAAATGGTCCCAGAACAGAATTAAATGATACTTTTGATTGCATATATTGATTACCTATTATTATTAGATATGAATTGTCATTTTCATAGTAGGTTGGTTTATCCGGCCAAATCGTTATCCGGCCAGGGACTTGGTCCCGTGGTGGCTGGATATGAGGGGTTCTACTGTAGAAATAGTTGTTATTCAACAATCCACATGGGAAGCTAGCTCACTCCCTTCTCAGACAGATGTTCTGCGACTAGGCAGAGAAAAACTAAGAATGATCACGGATCATGGCTTCCTGAGATTGCACCTACATTGCTTGGGGATCTACAATGGAGATATTGCATGTAGGAAATTTGGGCAGTCCGATGAGACTGCAGATAATCTATTCTATGACAGCTCTGAATGAGGTAAGGGAAAGCACTCTTGGAATCATGACAAGGGACAGAAACCTTTCTCAGGAGGAGCTCATTCATCAAGCAACTCTTGTTTTATGGGCCCATATTTGGCCTCCAGATTCAATCAATCAATCAATCCTAACGGGTTGATGGGTATTGACTTGTCAATTAAAGTTTAAATGGGAATAATTTGCACGGGTAAGACATTTCAGCTGTTAGGGTAGGCCTACAGTGTTAATCCTGAATCTAGCAATCAGACTGGGTTCCAACAGACAACACCACTGGCTATTTTATGGTTCTTATTTTAATCCAACTTTTTTTTTATCAATGGTCTAGTCTTAGGAAACACAAGTAAGGCTGACATCTCAAATCATTCAACACTCATCTACACATTAAAATACACCATGTAGAGTTGGTGTCGCAAAAAACTAATTTAATCACTTACTGAGCAGCTGTCTGGTGAGTTGACCACGGATGTCCACAGCAAGTATCTCTGTGTGACTCGCCTGACTCAGTGTGATGTGTGTGGTGTAGCCTCGCTTGGTCACAGTCAGAGTCATGTCAGGCAGTCCTAGCAGACTCAGCAGACGACCAGTGCACTGTGTCAGCGCCACGGGGTCGGACCACTTCACCTCTGTACATACACAAACACAGATGAGCTACAGTAACTGTCTGGTGAGTTGACCACGGATGTCCACAGCAAGTATCTCTGTGTGACTCGCCTGACTCAGTGTGATGTGTGTGGTGTAGCCTCGCTTGGTCACAGTCAGAGTCATGTCAGGCAGTCCTAGCAGACTCAACAGACGACCAGTGCACTGTGTCAGCACCACAGGGTCGGACCACTTCACCTCTGTACATACACAAACACAGATGAGCTACAGTAACTGTCTGGTGAGTTGACCACGGATGTCCACAGCAAGTATCTCTGTGTGACTCGCCTGACTCAGTGTGATGTGTGTGGTGTAGCCTCGCTTGGTCACAGTCAGAGTCATGTCAGGCAGTCCTAGCAGACTCAACAGACGACCAGTGCACTGTGTCAGCACCACAGGGTCGGACCACTTCACCTCTGTACATACACAAACACAGATGAGCTACAGTAACTGTCTGGTGAGTTGACCACGGATGTCCACAGCAAGTATCTCTGTGTGACTCGCCTGACTCAGTGTGATGTGTGTGGTGTAGCCTCGCTTGGTCACAGTCAGAGTCATGTCAGGCAGTCCTAGCAGACTCAGCAGACGACCAGTGCACTGTGTCAGCACCACGGGGTCAGACCACTTCACCTCTGTACATACACAAACACAGATGAGCTACAGTAACTGTCTGGTGAGTTGACCACGGATGTCCACAGCAAGTATCTCTGTGTGACTCGCCTGACTCAGTGTGATGTGTGTGGTGTAGCCTCGCTTGGTCACAGTCAGAGTCATGTCAGGCAGTCCTAGCAGACTCAACAGACGACCAGTGCACTGTGTCAGCACCACAGGGTCAGACCACTTCACCTCTGTACATACACAAACACAGATGAGCTACAGCAACTGTCTGGTGAGTTGACCACGGATGTCCACAGCAAGTATCTCTGTGTGACTCGCCTGACTCAGTGTGATGTGTGTGGTGTAGCCTCGCTTGGTCACAGTCAGAGTCATGTCAGGCAGTCCTAGCAGACTCAACAGACGACCAGTGCACTGTGTCAGCACCACAGGGTCAGACCACTTCACCTCTGTACATACACAAACACAGATGAGCTACAGTAACTGTCTGGTGAGTTGACCACGGATGTCCACAGCAAGTATCTCTGTGTGACTCGCCTGACTCAGTGTGATGTGTGTGGTGTAGCCTCGCTTGGTCACAGTCAGAGTCATGTCAGGCAGTCCTAGCAGACTCAGCAGACGACCAGTGCACTGTGTCAGCACCACAGGGTCGGACCACTTCACCTCTGTACATACACAAACACAGATGAGCTACAGTAACTGTCTGGTGAGTTGACCACGGATGTCCACAGCAAGTATCTCTGTGTGACTCGCCTGACTCAGTGTGATGTGTGTGGTGTAGCCTCGCTTAGTCACAGTCAGAGTCATGTCAGGCAGTCCTAGCAGACTCAGCAGACGACCAGTGCACTGTGTCAGCGCCACGGGGTCGGACCACTTCACCTCTGTACATACACAAACACAGATGAGCTACAGTAACTGTCTGGTGAGTTGACCACGGATGTCCACAGCAAGTATCTCTGTGTGACTCGCCTGACTCAGTGTGATGTGTGTGGTGTAGCCTCGCTTGGTCACAGTCAGAGTCATGTCAGGCAGTCCTAGCAGACTCAACAGACGACCAGTGCACTGTGTCAGCGCCACGGGGTCGGACCACTTCACCTCTGTACATACACAAACACAGATGAGCTACAGTAACTGTCTGGTGAGTTGACCACGGATGTCCACAGCAAGTATCTCTGTGTGACTCGCCTGACTCAGTGTGATGTGTGTGGTGTAGCCTCGCTTGGTCACAGTCAGAGTCATGTCAGGCAGTCCTAGCAGACTCAACAGACGACCAGTGCACTGTGTCAGCACCACAGGGTCAGACCACTTCACCTCTGTACATACACAAACACAGATGAGCTACAGTAACTGTCTGGTGAGTTGACCACGGATGTCCACAGCAAGTATCTCTGTGTGACTCGCCTGACTCAGTGTGATGTGTGTGGTGTAGCCTCGCTTGGTCACAGTCAGAGTCATGTCAGGCAGTCCTAGCAGACTCAGCAGACGACCAGTGCACTGTGTCAGCACCACAGGGTCGGACCACTTCACCTCTGTACATACACAAACACAGATGAGCTACAGTAACTGTCTGGTGAGTTGACCACGGATGTCCACAGCAAGTATCTCTGTGTGACTCGCCTGACTCAGTGTGATGTGTGTGGTGTAGCCTCGCTTGGTCACAGTCAGAGTCATGTCAGGCAGTCCTAGCAGACTCAACAGACGACCAGTGCACTGTGTCAGCACCACAGGGTCAGACCACTTCACCTCTGTACATACACAAACACAGATGAGCTACAGTAACTGTCTGGTGAGTTGACCACGGATGTCCACAGCAAGTATCTCTGTGTGACTCGCCTGACTCAGTGTGATGTGTGTGGTGTAGCCTCGCTTAGTCACAGTCAGAGTCATGTCAGGCAGTCCTAGCAGACTCAGCAGACGACCAGTGCACTGTGTCAGCACCACGGGGTCAGACCACTTCACCTCTGTACATACACAAACACAGATGAGCTACAGTAACTGTCTGGTGAGTTGACCACGGATGTCCACAGCAAGTATCTCTGTGTGACTCGCCTGACTCAGTGTGATGTGTGTGGTGTAGCCTCGCTTGGTCACAGTCAGAGTCATGTCAGGCAGTCCTAGCAGACTCAGCAGACGACCAGTGCACTGTGTCAGCGCCACGGGGTCGGACCACTTCACCTCTGTACATGTGATACATATATAATCTAGATGCTGAATTATGTTATAAAAAGAATGACGAAGCACCTGTACGCTAGGTGATTATAATCATGATTATAACTATGATTGTTATTAGAACAGTACAGTAATGCTAATGTTTCAAGAGACATTATTGGAGTTCAAGGTACCAATGAAGACACAAATAGCCACTTAAAACATTGTAGCAAACATTTACCAGTACAATAAGTAAATTAACGTTTTCACAACGTTGATCTGGAATCTGGCCCTGTCTAGAAGAGAATGTACCTAACACCTATCAAGATTAGTACATAAGCCCAGCCGAAGCTAAAAAATCAAATTACACCACAAAGAAAACTCCAAACCTCTCTGTGTCCTACATTTGCGACAACCAACATTCGTATGGAAAAATGCCCAGTTGGGCTTCAATCTGATTCGGTAATTATAAACAATCAGGTATTTGGTAAAACCGTCCCTCCTTAGAACTAAAACATTTCATCAACCGTTTGAAAGCACTACCACAATAGGCAAATCAAGCTTGAGACGTACCGTTGGTCTCGTTGGACACCACTGCGATGACGGCAGGGGGCAGAGAGGGGGGAAGCACAGTCTCAGGGCTGATTACGTTGTTGGGGAAGCTGTAATGAGCCGTTTCTCCCGCTGGAACTGACATCTGCCACTTGATGTGTTCACAGTCCGCCACGAACCCACCACCTGAGTACATAGAATTTATTCTTTATTCTGGGGTTCTAAGAATTTTTAAAAAGGGTTAGCTGTTAACATCGAATCAAGACGGCAATGCTGGGTAAACAAGCAAAAATTGTCAAACATATTAATAAAAAAAAATCATCCATACAATAGTGTGTAATTTTATTATACAATTAGTAACATCTGTTATGTCATATGTGCTGTTGAAGAACTTTGATTGGAACAGCTGATTTGAAAAATAAGTTTGTTTATATTTTTTGAGCTCAAAAACCATTATCAACTTCTTACAGTCCTAACTTACCGTTATCTGTTTTGGCTTTGGCAAATATCACATCACAGTGTGTGTGGTTGTGAAGGGTAAGCTGGGGATGAGGCTGATCCCACAGTAACAAATGTGTCTGCCCATCAACTTGCTCTACGGTCATCACCTGTCAAAGACAAAATTTGGTTACGGAATCATTGCAACAAATGAAATAAACATTTCTATTGGTAATGAACACACAAAAATTGTTGGAACAGAAGAGATGAGATTTTGTCACATTTATGATGACTTCAAGTACGAGACTGTAGATCATCTCATGTTTATTCTTACTGTAAGGAGCTCAATGGGGTAAGGTAGACAAGCTTGGGCAATTCCTTAACTGCTTGAGAATAAGTTGGTCGGCAGATTGCAGGCAATTATCAGATGCCTGGCCATAGATGTTCTCTGAGGACATAATTTAATTCTGGTGTGTAATAATCTAACCCAAAATGAAGCATCTAAGATCTGAGGTCAGTCTACTTCTAAACAAGGTCAGCTTCTTACCTACCAGGATTGAATCTCATATAATCTAGTGGACATCCCAAAATTCATAGGCAAGCTGAGAATAAGTATTATTCATTCAATAATAGTTGTTTGTATGATTGAAATTTTAAAAAGAGTTTGAAATACTCTACTCTATGAATTGAAACAATAGTTAATAAGGCGTACACTTTGACAGATAGGGTGGATTCAACGTGAGTAGTAACACAAATCGGAAATTTTGGTGATCAATCTTCAGTCTTTATAAGTTTGATAAATTACATTATCGACCTAAACTATAGTATTACTCTCAAATTATACAAAACAATCACCAGCATTTCCTGGACAGAGTCTTCTGTTGCGGCGGGGAATATTACGGGGACACTGTGTCTCTCAGGGCCCCCCGGCAGCCTTACGGGGCACGATACAGGCCCCCCACCCCCCACCTGTATCACCAAGTAGGGGACAAGCTCCACCTCTTCTTCATCACCTATCACCCTCCACTCGGTTAGTGGTTGACACCTAGACCCAACAATACAATGAGATAAAATAATCAGGGTGCGGCAAAAGTCAGTATACCGAAAAAGCAGTTAAACTGTAGCTAAACATAGCAACAGCATTAAACATAACTATAAAAGTATAATTTTAATGTACCTGTTAGAGAAGCTGCTCAAAGTGACCACCATCATTGTCTATACACTTGTAGCACCTTTTCAACACTGACTTACAGTCTTTGTTGCATAGTTGTGGTGTGAATAAAACATCAAATTGTTTTGTTATTAATTCTTTTAAATGTTCTAAACTTTGAGGTTTCTCCGAAAACACGTGTTCTTTTAACAAACCCCACATACTGAAATCGCACGGAGTTAGGTCTGGGGACCTAGCAGGCCACTCAATAGTTCCTCTACGTCCTATCCATTCATCGAAGTTATCATTTAAAAATGCTTGAACATTTAGGCCATAGTGTGGAGGTGCTCCGTCTTGCTGCCAAATAATCGAACGACGACGCAACTGTTCAAAAGTGGGATTGTTTTCCAACTCTAAGAACACATCTAACATCCGTATAATCACGATCAAATTTCCACCAATTTTTCAAAAGAAAAACTCGTTGCTCTAAAGTTAGTTTACGATTCATGATTAAAAACACCAATAATAGAAGTTAATAATACAAGCACTACACTCACCAACTTAACTTCACTGTCACTAGTGGCATACTAACAAAACAAACATTCATCGATAAAGAATAAACAAAGACAAAATCAACCACGACTAGACATCAGATTAGATAAGGAATAACACTGAGATAGCGCGAGAGATAAACAATGACGCTCACCAACCTGCAGCGGTATACTGACTTTTGCCGCACCCGGTATTTCAATGTCTTATGGAATTTCATAAGATATGTATTAAGTTGTAGTGTCATTCATATGCCTTTGCATTTAACATATGTTTTATAATTTAGTTTGTTGTTGTTGTGATGATGACTCTTGTTGAATAATAAACACATTCTTTACTTGCAGCATTTATTATTTCGTGGTCACTTTGCAAAATGTTGTCCAAACAAACCAAAGGAGGTAAAAGAGATTAACACGTTCGCTGCTACGGACGTTCCGGAACGTCAGCCGGGCCACGGCGCCAGGAGCTAAGAACGTTCCAGAACGTCACCGTTCATTGTTGTTTAACGTTGCTATGGATAAGCCAGCACGTCACAAGCGTTCTATATTTCTTTGCAGCTCGTGGGGACGTACTTTTCTGACAATAAAAAATATAGTTTCCCAAATCACCACCAGGGTTGTTTGGAACAGGGCTTTGTTTTACCTCTTTCCTGCTAGATAGCGACACTACTTTACCGACTGTAACCTGGGTAGTGCTGCTATCCATCAGAATCACTTAGTACTATATCAAATGCCAGTATTATTGCAGAACATTGCCATCCAGTATAACTACTGTTGTTTTTACTGTAATTCAGTGTATCGGTGGCAATGTCACGCAGCGGCCGAGCGTTAGTTCAGCAACTGGCGCCGTCCCGGCATCTAGCGCTCAGCAGCGAACGTGTTAAGGAAGTTGACTCAGACGATTTGATTGATTCAAAAAAAGGACATTTAGGTGAAGTAAACTTTAAGCAAGGTGAATGTCCGAGTGTAGTGGTAAAGGTAAATAGTCAACCAGTAGAGTTTAAGATGGACTCTGGGGCAGACGTTTCTGTTATGGGAAGTACACTTGCACTTGACCTCAAACTTGTAATCCGTCCTACCCATAAAGTTCTTTTTGGGCCGGGCCAGACTAAATTGACTGTTGTGGGTGTCTGTTCAGCTGAAATTATGTATGGCAATAAGCAAATATTAGAAGACATATATGTCTTGCCGTCCCAAAGTACACCTCTAATGAGTAGAAATGCATTGTTGAAACTGGAGTTACTTACGTTTAACGTTAATCTTGTAGATGGTGAATCACTCCAGAGTCAATATCCAAAAGTGTTTGAGGGCATGGGTAGAATGAATCATCCATACAAGATTAGGCTGCACGAAGATGCAAAACCTTATGCTGTTATGTCACCGAGGAGGGTGGCTTTCTCGCTCCACAAACAGGTTAAATATGAATTGGACAGGATGCTTGCTGATGGTGTAATAGAACCAGTAACTGAACCTACTGACTGGTGTTCTCCCGTAGTAGTGGTTCCAAGGAGTGATGGTAGAATTAGACTCTGTGTTGATTACACAAAATTGAACCAACATGTGAAAAGAGAATTGTTGCAGCTTCCATCAGTGGATGAGTCTCTAGCTAAGTTGGAAGGAGGTAAGCTTTTCACTAAGTTGGATGCTGCCAATGGAGTCTGGCAGGTTCCACTTCACAGTGATTCATTTAAACTCACCACGTTCATTACACCGTTCGGGCGATATTTCTTCAAGAGACTTCCGTTTGGAATCTGTTCTGGACCGGAGGTTTTCCAATTCCGACTGAGTCAAATGCTTTCAGATATCCCAGGCGTAGTGAATCAAGCGGATGATATCTTGATAATGGGGAAGACAGAAGCAGAACATGACAGCAGAGTCAAACTGGTACTAAAGAGACTCTCAGAAAATGGTATCACGTTAAACAAAAACAAATGTAAGTTTGGAGTAGAAAGTGTGATTTTCCTCGGACACGTTGTCTCATCGCAGGGAGTCAGTATTGACCCAGAGAAGACTAAAGCTATTCTGGCCATGAAAAGCCCCCAGAGTATAACGAAGGTTCGACAGTTTTTGGGAATGATAAACCAATTAATGAAGTTCGTTCCTCATCTAGCTGAAAAAAACAGCACCAATCAAAAGTCTCCTTAAAAAAGGAGTTGAATGGACTTGGGATGAGCCTCAAGAACAAGCTTTTAAGGAATTGAAGAAGGTTGTAGCTAATGATACTGTATTGGCCAACTACAACAGAGAAGCGAAAACCCGTGTAATGGCAGATTCGTCATCTTATGGTTTAGGGGCAGTGATCGAGCAGTTTGATGGAAAGGATTGGCGTCCATTAGCATTTGCATCGAGGACATTAACAGAAACAGAGTCAAGATATGCTACCATTGAAAAAGAAGCTCTCGGCTTAACTTGGGCTTGCGAAAGATTTTCTAGCTTTATTCTTGGTAAAAGGTTCCAGCTTTACACAGATCATAAGCCTCTGACTGAGATAATGGGTTCAAAGCCGATCTCTGATCTTTCTTCTCGGCTGCAACGTTTTCGTATGAGATTACAAAATTTTGACTACGAAGTTGTTCACATCCCGGGGAAAGAAAATGTAACTGCAGATTTACTATCAAGAAGCCCTGAAATTTCACCAATGGATCGGGAGAATGAGGTTATCGAGAATCTGGAGGAAGAAATGTTTGTAAGAAGCATAATTGATGCATTGCCTTGTTCTGATAAACGGCTGTTGGAAATTAAGAATGCCCAACATGAAGACCCGGAAGGACAGGAGCTCTTAAAATGCATCCAAGAGAATACATGGCGGAAAAATTTGGTATTCTGGAAGTATCGCAATGAACTCACTTTGGAAGATGGATTAATTGTTAAGGGAAGGAGGATGTTCATTCCAAAGGCCTTGAGAAAAGAAATCTTATCAAGATTACATGAGGGACATTTGGGTATAGTGAAATGTCGGCGGCGTGCTCAAGAATCTGTTTGGTGGCCAGGCTGTTCAACAGAAATTAGTACTACAGTGGAAAATTGTCCAACATGTATAGAACACAGACTACAGCGAAAGGAGCCTCTGATGTCTACACAGCTTCCTCAAGAGCCTTGGACCCATTTATGTGCAGATATTTTGAAATGTAACCAAAACTGGTATTTGGTAATACAAGATTATTTCTCACGATTTTTAGAGCTCATCGAACTCAATACTTTGACTTCAGCGGCAGTTATTGGAAGGATGAAAAACATTTTTGCACGACACGGGATCCCTCTAGAAATTCGTACAGATGGAGGTACTCAGTTTACTTCTGACGAGTTCAAAGGCTTCGCAAAAGAGTACGGATTTAGAGCTGTAACTAGTAGTCCACACTTTCCTCAATCGAATGGAGAAGCTGAAAACGCTGTATCTATAGCCAAGAGGATTCTACTAAAGTGTCCGGATCCCAATCTTGGTCTATTAGCTTACAGGACCACCAAATTGGAATCGGGGTTATCACCTGCAGAGCTGCTGTATGGTAGAAAACTAAGAACAACTTTACCTTCTCTCAACGACTTTCAAGTGGTTGGAAAAGATCAAATAGAATCCTTTCGAAACTGTGACAAGAGAATAAGAGACAGAGTCAAGAAAAACTTTGACAACAGAAGAGGCGTCAAAGAACTTCCACCTTTAGCAGTAGGAGAGAGAGTCTGGGTTAAAGATATTAGTGCGAAAGGAACCATAAGAACAACAACCAATCTACCTCGATCCTACATAGTATCATTGAGTAATGGGAATGATGTAAGACGAAACAGATGGCATCTCATTCCCCTACCAAGAAAAGAGAATGACGATTCTGACGATGTCTACCGTGGAAGGAGGGTGCAGCCAAACCACAATGATGGAATAAGAAGATCGAGCAGAACTATCAGACCACCAATAAGATATGAGTAAATATAATGAGGAAGGGGAGATGTAGTGTCATTCATATGCCTTTGCATTTAACATATGTTTTATAATTTAGTTTGTTGTTGTTGTGATGATGACTCTTGTTGAATAATAAACACATTCTTTACTTGCAGCATTTTGACGAACTCTACATGAGGGATTAGCAAGACATTCTGGACCTGAAGATGTGCTATTTTTTAAGCACGAAACAGCTGTAGTCATCATACTACTAAACTGATCGTTTTGACAGAAAACAGGTAATTTAAACCTATATTAGTTTATTCAGACGATCTAGAGGCCATTCCATCATGAAATTGCAGCATTTATTAGTATTTTATATTATCTTACATAAGTCTTATCAATTGTATTGGGCACTACTCCTGAGGCAGCGGTGGATAGAGAAGAGTGGAGAAGCATCGTTGGCGAGGCCAAAAACCTTCTGAGGTTTCAATGGCCAAGGAGGTAAGGTAAGGTAAGTCTTATCAATTGACAATTCATAGCATTTCGAAAAAGCTTGATGGTTTTACCAATGATGTGATCATGATTAATGGGGCCTTTCCTGAAAACAGTACATGTTCTTAATAATTTTAAGCTTTTATTTACTTTGTGAAGCATTTATAATTTAATGACAATATGAAAGATTGACCGAATAGATTCAAGGATGCTTAGATTTTAGGATGCTAGGATGCTTACTCTTATGGCAACAAACATGCTGATTTAAAATATTTCCAATTTCACATCTTTATCAATTTGTTAAGTTTAATCAAACCTGCCCTAAAACCTGTAAAAGGGAATTTACTTAAGATCAATGCACATTTTAATAACATTGGTTAGATCAGATCTTATATTTTCTGCTATGGGGGATACCGAACAATATGTGTTGCTAGCCTAAAGATTAGCATCTCAAACCTAGAAGCAGGAGGAGGGGTTCAATTCCTTGTATAACCGAAAACATTGTATGGATTAGGACAGCTTCCTCTTTAAAGCATTTGTAATTCCTGAACTTTAAAATACCACTGACGTAGAAACAAATTTGTGTCAATTGTTTAGTTGAAATTCCTCACATAGGTTTGGAAGACTTTGTGTGTGCTCGTAGAGACACAGGCTGTTTCAACATTTCCTCTGTCATGCTGTACTGACTGCTGGATGGTTTCACAGCGATGGCTGACACAAGTAAATCTCGATTGCTGAGACTAGCTATCACATACGAGGACCTCACGTGGATCAAACGTAGATTGCTCACTTCGGAGGAAGTGACGTTCATATAGCAAACCTGCAAGGAGAAATAATTTAAAATTTGAATCAATATTACGTAGATGTACCATAAAGATGGGCTCTTAACTGTTGCATTACATCAAAGCTTAATGCCTTATGTGATTGGTAGGATTTGAACCAAAGCCAACAATGTCTCACATTCTAATCACTAAAACCGGTTCCCCATGTCATTTGCTGTACATGTCAGGTTAGTCTGACTGTAATTTTGTTTGTCCTAAGTGATGTTCTGTACTTTGTTTTCAATATTGATGATGTCACAGAATTTCATGATCTACCTATGTGTGGCGCGAGCTGGCCTAGTGGTAGAGCACGGGCCTTCGTCCCTGAAATCCCGGGTTCAAATCTTGCCAATCACCAATAACTTTCAGCTATGTGGTAATGCCCACAACCCTCTTGGTCTAGCCTGAAATAATGTGTAAAAGAGTCCCAGGCTAGAGCCTGGCCTCCTAAAATGTAAAGGCAGGTAAAAAAAAAACTATTACCAAAGTAATAATACGCAAGTAATTTCATAGTAGAGTTGTCTTCTCAGTTGAGCACACAACACAAACAGATTTTAGCGATTTATGAGTTATACTTCCAAACTAAGCATGGAGGTATAATTACTCATGACGTTCATCATAATTTTCCAAGAATAGATTTGAGAACATCAATTAATTTGGCAATTACAACAACAAGGTGAAACGTAGTCACTTGCAGAAAGGGAACTCACGCAGCTTTGGCCAGTGACAGTAATGTTGATGAAGCCACAGAGAGGCAAGAGTCCGGGAATATGAGGCATTTCAAACCCCGGGCCACGCTTCAGTTGTATAGAGTCTGACAGCTGCACGGAGTTTTCAAGTTCCACACCGATTTGAAATGTACTCTGAAACATATAAACATTAATGATAAAAATCTTAAGCAATTTGAATATTGTCTGTCTGAATACCTAATATTGTCTTAGGAATAAGTTACGGCTTGTAACGTTGACTTACAAAATGATACTACCAGAGTGGTCTTTCCTGCATTAGAGACTTAATCGTCTGGAGACTCAGTCATCTATATGGAAAAGTTATAGCACTTTTTAGACACCACTGATTTTCCTTCAAGTTGAACCACCCTCTCAAAAAATAAGCTACTGTCAAAATACTATTCTCTTGACTCAACTATGAACAACGCTCCTAGTAAACTATGCAAACTTTGTCAACAGCAGGAATCTCAATTGATTGCAGACACTCTGCCATGCGCATCACATTCTGTCAACACTCAGTAACTCACTTTTAACAGATGATACTCTACCATAAACAGCAGCCTACGCCAATAGCAGAACACTATCAACAAAAGCAACCTCTATTTACAGAAGCACACTGTATTGATGGTGCTTTTTATCTGTATCTAATCTAAACCATCAGCCATTAGACCTAAAGTACTTGTCAATACTGCTGACCTCCAGTGGTGGTGGTGACAGCACAGCCCTGTGTGCCAGGGAGCACAGTGTTCTCTCTCTACCCTGCAGATACACATGACTACCCAGGGTGTTGATTAGCAGAGCCCAGGGCTGCACCTCCACCAGCAGAGTGTTACTGGCTACCACGTCCTCCGAGAACTTCACCTGCGGAAAAGGATTTACAATAATTTCCCATTGATTCCTTTAAAAGCACTCTAAAAGAAATTATTTGATGGACATTGATACAATTTCCACTAAAAATAAAATTGTGAAACCTCATTCCGTAACTTTTGCAAACGGTGTCATTAGAGTCGATAGTAGATTTTGGCGTCAACATCAGTATCGGCTTACTGTGCCTTTTCAAAGTAACAAAACTTCAGTAATCAATCTTCAACTAACGTCGTGTTTTACTAAAAAAGCTACTATATGATACCAAAATTTGGGGAGCTGGTCTAGTAGTAGTAGACCTTGGGTCCTTGAGGTCCCAGGTTCCAATGAAGCCTATCACCAATTAATTTATTCTGAGTGGTAACACTGCGACCCTCTGAGTCTATTCTGAAGTAATGTGTAAGAACGTTTCCAAGACACACAGCACTAGAATGTGGAGGAGAGAATAAAAAACATATTTTTAACTCCATGTACAGTTTTTAAATTTCACCAACCCTGACGTTTGTGACAGTGTCTGGTTGTGTAGTAGATATCCACTCCACCCCCGCCCACTCCTCCCCTAGGTAAGGCCAGGCAGAGGCGGGGGCTGGACACTGTAGACGGGGCAGCAATGATGCTATCTCTGTCTCTGGTGAAGGTGGGGCGGGGCTGCCGTCCAGCATGTTGTAGTGCAACGACACTGGAGGACTTGACGCAGGTACTTTGCAACTAAAACAGAAGACAATTGATATTTTTAAGTACAATCAGATGACTGATTGGAATTTTTTCGGAGTTTTTCGGAGCCACACTGATACTTCGTCCTAATATATGTCTTTTTCAGAGAATAGGTTACGAGAACTGTGTATACTGTAAAGTAGAAATGCTATTGAAATTGATCTTTTCTCTTGAATCTACTCTCAGGAGAAGTCATATACTTGGTTAAAATACCAATGTTTAGTTTTTTATGATATTTTTTATGTATCTATTTATTATCCCCTGGGTTATAATATTCTTCGGTAAGCTAGCTGAACTCTACCTTTAAAAAAAAAAACCTGAACCTCATTATGATGCTTAATCTTTTTTTTTTAATCAAGTCTTATTTTATTGCTTGTATTTTCAATAAAAAAATTATTACATGTTTATTGCATTTTTACTATATAGCAACAATGTTATAATTTAGAATACTCATTAAGTGTATAATTTACGAGAGCCAATACTCAACGACAGCTGGGTCCATTAACAGGATTTTGGACGTTCCTTACAAAAAAACATAATAAATGCCAAAGGCAAAGAAACACACAACAAGCAGTACATACTCAAGCTGGAATGTGATGTTGTGTTTCTCGCTGCTCAAGCCCGGAGTGTCCAGTTGTTGTATTGTCCCTTTACCAGTTATGGGGACTACTTGACTGGCAGAGAGAGCCGGTGTGTCTACCACCACGTTGGCCTGGCAGGGCAGCAGCGACTTGATGGTGTACAGGGGACTGAACACCACCTGAACAATCACAGAACCAGAGTTGTACATCCGACTCTGTCACATCACCAAATCGTTCAGGTGAGTCGAAAATTGAGTAAAATTGCATACAAGAACAATATTTTTGTTGAAACACGTAATAGCACAATTGTTTACAGTAAAAAATTAACTATGCAAAAAGGTCAACTTACCAATATTTGATGAATATCTTCAATCGTGTTGAAAATCACATTACACCAAACACTCCGAAACTGCCCTTTCTCTTCCATTGGCACTGAAAACAGAATAATATTGATCAATGCTTACAAATTTTTTGAACAGCTGTTGTTGTTTGTTTGAAATTTGATGTCCAACCCACACAATCTACGTTGTAGGCTCTGGCCTGGAACGTTTATTCCTTCAGGCTAGTCCTAAAGGATTTCTGCATTATCATATGACTGATTGTAGGGCCTACAATCAGGCCACCTATTCTCAGGCAATAAGCCCTTCCTCTCCAAACCTAACCTCATATGACTGATTGGTGATTCGTGAGATTTGAACACAGGACCTTAGGCCCTGACTTTCTACAACTAGACCAACTCACTCCCCAATGTAATTTACCACTCCATCCCTAGGTTTGTTGGCTTCATCGTGGGTGTTTTACTGTTTTTCCCACCTTGTGTGCTTCAGGGCCCGACAAACTTCAAGTATCTGACAAACTGCTAAATACAGCCTATAAACTAGATATGTGTAGTCAAATTGCATCTACACTTCCAATGTACATAAAACTATCCTGCAGTTGCATTCTTTCTACACAACAATCTTGAAAGAGAACCAAAAGAACCCCACTAATGAAGATGCTTGGCAATAGGCAACTACACACAATTCACCAACTATTTATTCCTGGTCATCAAGATTCACCTACAATTCACAGTTTACCCGTGTTCTCAGTTGCCTAGACACCCTGGTTGGTATTTCTGAACAAAATAGCTTAAATTACATTTAACACAGTAATCTTCAATATGTTTTTTCCAGCAAGTATGACAGATTAGCAGGGTTCATATGGATAGGGTTCGGATTGGCAGGGTTCAGATAAGCAAGGTTTGATTCAGCAGGGTTAGAATTAATGGGAAGCAAACATTCATTACCCACATTGGTTAACTTACGCTTGACTTCCCACTGCTTGCTCAGCTTGGCCTGAGGGCGGAGAGGGATATCTCCAGACCACGGGGCGGGGCCTTTGCTGAACCTCACCTTGAGACTGAGGTTGAGGCGGGGGTCGAGCACCACTGACGGGGACGTGGCTCCAGGCGCCACTAGTAGAGAGCTCGGCTGTCCATCACCATCAGGTACCATAAACACATCTACTGGCAGGGACAGCTGGTTGTACAGGGACAGTTGTCCATCGATTACCACCTGAGGGCAGACACTTCAGTATAAGACGGGGGTCGAGCACTACTGACGGGGACATTGCTCCAGGCGCCACCAGTAGAGAGCTTGGCTGTCCATCACCATCAGGTACCATAAACACATCTACTGGCAGGGACAGCTGGTTGTACAAGGATAGTTGTCCATCGATTACCACCTAGGGCAGACACTAGTATAAGACGTGGATCAAGCACCACTGAAGGGGACATTGCTCCAGGCGCCAGCCACAGAGAGCACGGCTGTCCATCACCATCAGGTACCATAAACACATCTACTGGCAGGGACAGCTGGTTGTACAAGGATAGTTGTCCATCGATTACTACCTGAGGGCAGACACTAGTATAAGACGTGGATCAAGCACCACTGAAGGGGACATTGCTCCAGGCGCCAGCCACAGAGAGCACGGCTGTCCATCACCATCAGGTACCATAAACACATCTACTGGCAGGGACAGCTGGTTGTACAGGGACAGTTGTCCATCGATTACCACCTAGGGCAGACACTAGTATAAGACGTGGATCAAGCACCACTGAAGGGGACATTGCTCCAGGCGCCAGCCACAGAGAGCACGGCTGTCCATCACCATCAGGTACCATAAACACATCTACTGGCAGGGACAGCTGGTTGTACAAGGATAGTTGTCCATCGATTACTACCTGAGGGCAGACACTTCAGTATAAGACGTGGATCAAGCACCACTGAAGGGGACATTGCTCCAGGCGCCAGCCACAGAGAGCACGGCTGTCCATCACCATCAGGTACCATAAACACATCTACTGGCAGGGACAGCTGGTTGTACAGGGACAGTTGTCCATCGATTACCACCTAGGGCAGACACTAGTATAAGACGTGGATCAAGCACCACTGAAGGGGACATTGCTCCAGGCGCCAGCCACAGAGAGCACGGCTGTCCATCACCATCAGGTACCATAAACACATCTACTGGCAGGGACAGCTGGTTGTACAAGGATAGTTGTCCATCGATTACTACCTGAGGGCAGACACTTCAGTATAAGACGGGGGTCGAGCACCACTGACGGGGACATTGCTCCAGGCGCCACCAGTAGAGAGCTTGGCTGTCCATCACCATCAGGTACCATAAACACATCTACTGGCAGGGACAGCTGGTTGTACAAGGATAGTTGTCCATCGATTACCACCTAGGGCAGACACTAGTATAAGACGTGGATCAAGCACCACTGAAGGGGACATTGCTCCAGGCGCCAGCCACAGAGAGCACGGCTGTCCATCACCATCAGGTACCATAAACACATCTACTGGCAGGGACAGCTGGTTGTACAGGGACAGTTGTCCATCGATTACTACCTGAGGGCAGACACTTCAGTATAAGACGGGGGTCGAGCACCACTGACGGGGACGTGGCTCCAGGCCCCACCAGTAGAGAGCTCGCCATCACCAGGCGGCCTACTGCAGGGCAAACAAAGAGTTTGTTGATGTTGCCATCTATGTTGCAGCCATTTGCCGGAAGGAGGTGTGATCTTATGCTCGCTTAAGCCACCATCTTGAGCCAATGTCCATTGTGTTCCCTTACCCTCCATTTTGTTCATATTTAATTACGTACAATTAAGTTTTTCCGCATGCTATACAGTTTTTTATGTGGGGTTTCTTTTAAGATCCAGCTTTGGATGTGCTTTTTGACTAATCCTTTTATGTTAGGCACTTTTTCATCAGAAGGATTAGATTTTAGATCTCGAACATTGTAAAAACCTTTTTACTAATCCTGATGGAAAATGTCTGCAATATGCCCTTGAATAGCATGAAGAAGACAGTGAAGAAAAGCCCATTTTCCTCACTAGTGCAGAAAAGACAATTTTTCTCATTAGTGCAATAAAACCGTTTTCCTCACTTGTGCAGTAAAGACCATTCAATCTATAGTTTGATTATAAAAGTAGCTGCATTGAGCTTGATTAACTAGTTAAATGTTTTGATATTTTCCATACCTGACATACAGTAGGAGTCAGCTGTTTCACTGTCACGATGAAAGCAGCCTCTTGCTTAGAAGTTGAAAGTTTTACAACACTGCTACTGCCTGGCCTAAGATATAGGCTCTTGCTCCAAGCATTGTTTCTGGAAATTTAAATTAAGAAAATAGATTTTCATTAGTTTCAACACCAGTGGCGTTTGTAATGGGTCATATTAAACTGTCATGGGAAAGTAGTCCATACCGAATTGTAGTAGATAAGACGTGGTATTGAACCCTGTCACACATAAATCTGAGACCGAAAGATCAGCTCGCCAATTATTTTTAACAAGAAAATTGATGGCTACAGTTTTTTGGGTTGGCTAGGTTCTCAGGCGGCAGAACTTTTTAAGGAGAGAATTTCAAAATCTGTTTTGTGGAAAAGTAGAAAAGAGCTGTAGTTTCCAAAGCCATTATTACAATTCTTGTATCTTAACTAGTTTAGTTCTTATTTTGAACTGGGGGTTACTTTGTGGGTGATCCTCGTACAAAAAAAAAAAATAAACAGTTATGGCCCAAAAGGTATTGCCCTGGAACACACCGTAGTCACAGGTATTCTTTCACTAAATATACCACAGAATGAAACAAACTGGACTACAATGTCACATGTAATCTCACGTTTTTAAGTTGGCTACAAAAATTAAATACATTTCTTTAAATACAAAAGTTGTAAAACTACACTTACTCAAAGGGGCCGAACCACATGAGACCAAATTCCATCTTCATCGGATGTTTCGTTGTTCTCCACGAGTAGAGATGGCAACTAAACACTTGTAGCAAAATGTACTCATCGGATCCTGCTTGTCTGAATCTATGAGACAAAAATTACTTTCAGTTATTACTTAAATAAAAACTATAAAACAACCTTCACCATCAGTACTAATGATAACAGTATAAACTTTCAAATTACACCACCATTTGACTGATCAGGAGGATCAGGAGGCCAGAAAATTATTTGCTTAGATAATTGAGATGAATCAATCAGCTGTTCAGCCTCAATTAGCATTACAGAACCAATAAACTGTAGTTAAAAATAGAAAAGACTCATTATATTGGTTTAGGCTACTGTTGTCCTGGTTTAAATATCTATGAAGATTTAAAATGCCAGTTGATTAAATTCAGTAACTTCCATGACTGCAGCATGCATTGGCTGGGACTCCAGTCGGTTAAGTAGTGTTAGTGTTTACTCGGATCAAACAAATAACACAGACAAAACTTCCTCAATAATATTACACGACTGAACTTTTATACCCTTATATTCACACATTACCTCAGAGGGAAGCAGGTGTTGTTGCACACCACATAAGGCGTGTACAGCACCTGTGTGCGAGGCTCGTGCCACGTCGCCAGGGACGCTGCGAGGCTATGACTCAACGCTGGGCCTAGCCTCACGTTACAGTGTCCTGTGACGAAGCTATACTGACGACAGTCAGCTGTGGTGTAACACGAGGCTACCACAGGACAAGGCGACATACAGCACTGGCTACTGAGCGTGTGGTAGTTGAGGACATTCACTCTCACTCGGCCCTTCACACACAGCTGGCGGCTTACTGCGGATAGAGAATGTTGTATTAAAATCAAAGGTGAAAAGAGGTGTCTTTAAACCCAAATATGGGTGAAAAAAGAGTGTAAAATGACTGAAATTTATTGTTGTTACTGGCTACCAGCTGTTTCTTAACCAGGGAAGAGTAGTTAAAAAAACACATGAGAAATTGATAACGCAAGTTTGGAATATAGAGGTAAACTATGAACTTGTTTTGTTTAAAGACACGAGATTTTTATGAGAGCTAAGAAAGAGTGTTCTAGACTTAACAAACACAATTTCATTGTTTATCATTGTTTATTCTAGTCTATAAAAAAACTCTAGGACTCCTTTAAATCCTTTAAACATTTCCTCAGATAAATTTTTATCTGCATGGCAGTTTTCAAAAGTATTTTACTTTACATTGCACTAGTTATTTACCTTTAGGCCAGACAGAGTAGGCAATGTTTGCCTGTTCTAGCACAGCTGTGAAGAAGTCATGTTCCTCCGGGAACCTTCTGTCCAGGTAGTATCTGTTTAAAGGTTCTGGCAGAGGTAGGCACCGGTCTGTCTGGGTCCACAGCGACAGCTGAAGAGTATTGAAAGAACTTTGATCATGGAAGAAGATATGCATGACTACAGCTACTACGTTAGATCAAAATAGGACTTCAACTTATTGCATTTACACCAAATTTTGCTTTTCTTAATGGTTGTATTATACAAGAAAATATAAAAACTAAATAAATACACTACCTAAAATTTTGTTTCTGAAATTTAACAATTTAACACATTTGCTGCGGTCCATCAATGGAGAAACCCGATTGCCGGGCGATTAGCTTTCAAATATTTCGGTCTGTGCAGTACAACGAATAGCAAATAACATGCGGTGATGTGCTGCAACGAGAGTTTACGTTAAAACACCCACAGATAGCAGCACTGCTTGGAACGTAGCCGACCCATTGTATTACCAATTGGAGGGAGAAGATGAGATGACAAGTTGATTTCTAAGCTTGCAAGACGGGGATTTTACAAGGAAATTTACTACCAACCCAGCCCATAATTATAGACTGGTATTAGAGACACAATACTAACGCGTACCAACCGTTCTCGGCGAGAGCCTGAGCCACGCTGACTCGGCAAACAATGCATGCCTTTGTCGGTAACACGCCTTGTGTCACCAGGGACCTAGCCACAGCGACTGTGTTAACGCATGAAATCTGCATTGGACCGTTTGACTAAGCCTTATGGTTTTTAAGTGCATTGATCCATGGCCAATCAACAGCCACCAATTAACTGATATCCTCTTTTTGGTAGGCTCGGAATGCGTTTCCATTCCTTTGCTTAGGGAAAAATCAGCTTCTTGGATTTTAAAATCCCTGGGTTAGTCTTACACACTTAATTTTTCTTTGCCCAGATTAAGAATGATACAAACATTACATACAACAATAGGAACATGAAATAATAAAATATACGGTTTTCACCTGAACAGCTGTTAACCCAATCGAGACCTGCACAGCTGGTATGAGCGCCGGGGAGAAGTAAGAGTCTACCCTGACGGAGGCTGCTAGAGCCTGGACTGGCACGACGGCGCCACCTCGGTTGATCACAACTCTCCACGTGGTCGCCACCACTCTCGGCGGGAACTGCGCCAGCTCCACGGTCTGCGCGGAGGTCTGCGACAGGCTGAAGGTCGCATAGTCCTGATAGCTAGCCTGCGTGTCACTGTAGTACTGCAAGGTACAAGAGGGATCTACAACTTTGCCTGCGCTGTCATCGGACTCCTGAAAAGAGCAAAGTTATGCTAAGAGATTTGAATGTTCCTCAATTTATGGACAAATTAGTAGCTTTATTGGGGGAAGAGGTCTTGTGCTAGTCGTGGATTCAGTCTCTGAAGTTCTATTTACATCATGCCAATAACTATTGTGATTTTGCAGCAACCCATTAAGTCCATAGGAAGGAGGGTGTACAACGGTTCTGTGCTAGAACCCAGCATCCTAGGATTTGAAAGAAGGATATTTTAAAAGTAGTTTTATCTTTTGCAACACAGTACATTCTATTCTTGTTAATTCAAACTATCGATAAATCAAAATATTCAATAATTCAAAATAAAAGCTCAGTATCTAGAAAATCGCTTAATATTTTGAAGTTTTAATGGAGGCATTTGATAGGATTGTTATTTCAAAGTCCAAGCAGACCAAGCACAACCAGCAGGCCGATTTGGAACACACAGTAATTCAAAGTTTCGTTAGAAAACCACTCTATAACTCAAAGGGAGGAATTCCTTCCTGTCATAACAGGACACTAGAACACTATACATTCTATTAGCACAGTAGTTTATCTTAATGTCATTGATAAACAATAATCAATAGCAAAATGCAAATAAAAATAAGAATTTTTATGTAACAAATTAAAAATAATCCTGTTGTTTGTTTGTAAAGTAACTGAAATAGCTGTTTGATTGTAAAGTTTTTTACCTTACACAGTGTAGTATATGGTAACAAAAATAAACTTTTTGTAACTCAAGTGGTTTATTTTTATTTTGATAAATCAAAACTCTCCCATAAAGAGTCTATTGTATATGGTTTTTTTTAAAAAGTCTTTTATAGCTGTTAAAAAAAGATTCTGGTTAAAAAATACTAGGGATGGACGGGTCCCGAAATTTCGGGAAATTTTCGGGAAAAAAATATTCCCGATTATCGGGACGGGATTACATTTGACACGGGAATTTTTCGGGACGGGATTTGGTCCGATCGTCGGCGATTTTTCCGCTTCGCGAGTGCCGATAACGCCGTTATTGCGAGCGATAGGTCCGCGAACGCAGGAGACGAAGTCATTTCGACGATTACGCCGTGACCGCGGAGTCATTACGACGATCGTGCCGTGGCCGCGAAGTTTTACCGACGATCGCGCCGTGACCGCGGAGTCCTACCGACGATCGCGCCGTGACCGCGGAGTCCTACCGACGATCGCGCCGTGACCGCGGAGTCATACTGACGATCATGCCGTGATGGCGGAGTCATGCTGATGATCGAGCCGTGATCGCGAGTCATACCGACGACCATGCCGTGACTACGAGTCATACCGACGATAACCCCGTGACCGCGGAGTCATACCGACGATCGCGCCGTGACCGCAAGTCATACCGACGATCGCGCCGTGACCGCGAGTCATACCGACGATTGCGCCGTGACCGCGAGTCATGACGACGATCGCGCCGTGACCGTGGAGTCATACCGACGATAACCCCGTGACCGCGAGTCATGACGACGATCGCGCCGTGACCGCGAGTCATGACGACGATCGCGCCGTGACCGCGAGTCATGCTGACGATCGCGCCGTGACCGCGAGTCATACCGACGATCGCGCCGTGACCGCGAGTCATGAAGACGATAACCCCGTGACCGCGGAGTCATACCGACGATCGCGCCGTGACCGCGAGTCATACCGACGATCGCGCCGTGACCGCGAGTCATGACGACGATCGCGCCGTGACCGTGGAGTCATACCGACGATAACCCCGTGACCGCGGAGTCGTACCGACGATCGCGCCGTGACCGCGAGTCATGCTGACGATCGCGCCGTGACCGCGAGTCATACCGACGATCGCGCCGTGACCGCGAGTCATGAAGACGATAACCCCGTGACCGCGAGTCATACCGACGATCGCGCCGTGACCGCGAGTCATGACGACGATCGCGCCGTGACCGTGGAGTCATACCGACGATAACCCCGTGACCGCGGAGTCATACCGACGATCGCGCCGTGACCGCGAGTCATGACGACGATCGCGCCGTGACCGTGAGTCATACAGACGATCACCCCGTGACCCGCGAGTCACAAGTTTCTATAGGTACCTGTAAATTGTTACCCATTTTTTGGCTTTTATAGATCAGTGCCACAAATGGTAAAAATTCATTTCGTATGTCTTTTTTGGTAACTGCAATACAGTACTTTCTTTTTATGCACAGAAAAAAATCCCGTCCCGTCCCGTCCCGAAAATCGGGAAGGAAATAAAAATCCCGTCCCGTCCCGTCCCGAACTAAAAATTCAATCCCGTCCATCCCTAAAAAATACTGTAATATTCGGTGAACCTCTTCCCTTATAATTCAAACTTTATCCAAGGTTGGACCATCAGGTAACATAACCTTCATTTGTAAAATAACCAGAAACATCATAACCGACGAATGAAACCCTTGTGAGTTTCAGACCTGAACCCTCCATCTACCAAGCAATCTCCTGATAAACTACTCTGGTTTGACAACAATGAAACTCAAATTTACACAACGGATTAATCCCTACACTGACCATGAATGGTATCGGCATGACGCAGAACTTGGTGATAGCGCGAGGCTGAGGATATCGCCAGGCCATCGCAGGAGGCAGTGACTGCCAAAACACAACCTGGTACGTCAGGGGAGGCTCCTCTCGTCCTCTCTCATTGGCTGCGTCCACAAACTGGAAAGCTCCGGCCTGCAGGTCGTCGTGGTAGTATTGTTCCTCACCCGCAGAATCCCCTGTACTGTCTGCAAAACGTTTGAAATATTTAAAAATCAAGACAAGTTGTTAGGTTAGAGCTTTATGACAGCAACGTCGTCAAAATACCATGGTGCGTATTTTAAGACAGATGTGAAGGACGATTGTTGAATGAATGAGATTATAGTTTTGACTAAGATTATCTTATTCTTCATCCAGGATCATTTATCCCCCTAAAGGACAGTTGGGTCCAGTTTTGAGACATTAAAAAGGTTTTGACTTTTCTCAGGATCAAACTGGCAACCTTACGTGTCTTTCAACTGAGGTTAATTACAACCTGTTCCAGTTTGTGCTGTGACTAGAATTGAATTTTTAAACCGATTTCTAAGACGACAACAATGAAAAAATAAATACAATAAAAAAAATCTTCACCTTTTCTCAATAACCTGATTACTTACAAATCAACATTGACAAGTTAGAAATATGTACAGCTGGTATCCTCAACCAAGCAGCTGATTATTTTTCAACCTAGGGAGAAAACAAGCTATTTTAGACCATGTAATGTGGGCAACCATTTTGTTGTTGTGTGACAAAAATACTTTTTTACCATACCTAAATAATACTAATGTTGCAATACAAAATTTATTTGAATGTTTCTACAAACAATAATCACTATACTCACTCGCTCTGGACAAGGTTTGTTTTTCACCAGCCTCACCACGCTGGCTAAGCAGAGGGTAGTAATCTTTCACAATGGCCTGAAGACAAGTCAGCTGTTCAGGTGACAAATGGAGCGAGAGGATGTCAGAATCAGCTGATATGCTGACTTGAGGTGGATCAGCTGATGACACCCAGCTGTCCCAACACAGGCTGGTGTGAACAATCAACTGCCACGGACTCAGAAGCAGGCCGGCTTTTGGAGATGTAACCTAAAGGGAAAACAAATAATTATGAGTGTATACTTTAATTTTTAAATCTTAAATATTCTCAATGATTTCACGTCAATATAATATCATAAAAAAATAGTTCATATGGAGAAAAAACAGTTGTCAGACAAGAATGTTTTAATATTTGAGAACATATCCTGCAAAAAAGTTTCCAGCTTTTTAATTCGCATTGATCAGCAGGTTAAGTGTAAATCCTCTTACGTCTTCTGCGGCTCATTACCACCGCTGTCACCATGTGAGACTGCGAACGACAAGATCGAGACAGAGAAAGTCTTCAGATAACTACTTCTTCAAAATTAAGTTACTTTCAAGGCTGTTTGCGCAAATTAGATCTACAACTACAAGATGTGAATATGGTGATGTTACCTTGTGTGTAGAGATGGTGACGGTGTCTAAATGGAGCACACCATTGGCCGCGTGTTGAAGAGAGAGAATGCTTGTCATGTGTCCTTCACAACCTCCGACACTCACACACAGCTCAGCACAGCTGTTGATTTCTGCTGTCAAACAACAGCTGTGAACTACTTAGAAGTAGGTTTTGGAGGGATGTCTTGTTATTTGGAGGGAAATAATGTTACTGAATCATTAGAACCCCAGGGATGAAATTTTGACATTTTTTATGAAATCCACCCCATGTATTGTAAATGGAAAATCCAATTTCTTATCAAACAAGTGTTTGGTCACACAATAAAGATTTATGAGGAAGAACAATTCATAAAGAGTTTGGAAGGATAACAAATTTACGACTACCCAGTCACAGGTTGTCATAGATTAACCATAGTGCTTGCCTTCAAACCAAGAAAGATTGTTGGTTCTGTTCCAAATAGAATCCATTCTGCACCGGATGGCATTTTGGGACGTTGGATAGTAACAAGATTGATCACTTATAAAAAAAAATATCAATACTGTTAAAGTTAAAACATAAAATGCAAATCTGCCGATTTCATCAACCACCACAGACAAGTGACACTTAAGTTGAAAATAAAATGAACTACTCTAGGATTACCTGACTAAACTTTACTAGAAGAAAGCAACACATTAAGGGAAACTTTCAGTCACAAGCTATTTTCACAGATACATAAAATAAAAAGTCAAGTTATACATTGGAACCTCGATAACAAGACCCTTGAGAACAAGACCCTTGATAACAAGTGTTCTTTTTTAAACCCCCTACAATTTATTTTACCTCTAATCAAATGTCATTAAAAACCTTGATATGAAGTCAACCTTGATAACAAGCCTTATTTAATTATCTACGAGAAAGTCTTGTTATCGAGGTGCTACTGTATCACTCTTGAACCGATAAATTGGCATTTGATGCTTAAAGGCAGTGTTGGGGAAGCTACTTTTAAAATGTAGCTAGCTACAACTACTGCTACATTTCCAAAAAAGTAGCTTAGCTACAGCTACAGCTACAGTTCCGAGAAAGTAGCTAGCTACAACTACAGCTACAATGAAATGTAGCTATAGCTACAATTTTAGCTACTTTTCCTGTAAAATTAATTGCAACTATGTAAACCTAACATTACAACAACAGAACCAAAATAAGTTAGTTGGGTGTTCCATCATATTTAGTGCTTGTTTTTAAATATGGCATTATTTTTAAGCATATTATATGTAAATTTCATTAGCCTAAGTTCAAAGGACATACAAACAAACTATATTTTAAAAGCCCATTTCATTTCTTTAATCTACATTCATTTATAGATTCTTTTATCAACTATTAAAACAATAAAACTGTAAAACGATTATTCAAAAATACTTTTTTGTGTTACAGAGCCTAGCCTACTGAAATTGGAGTTAATTGCCTTTCCTTATTTTTAATGTTAAAAACTACATTTCTATAACTTTTACCCATAGTAATATGTTACTTGTTCTATGAATAACACTTTTCAATGTCAAGAAATCGTCCTTTGTCAAATTATGCATAGGTCAAATTGTGCTTCAACAAACGTTGGTGCAGAAAACAGTATTCAGCAGCTTATCCTGAAATCGGCTTTTAATTTAAACATGTTGAAAATTGTTAAGTAAAAATAACATTTAGGCGTAGCCTACTTGGCTTTGTACAACAAATTGGCTATAGTAGGCTTGTTCTTACAAGGACTAAACATACATATTCCTATTAATTGAACTTTATATTCGTATTAATCCAATAGCATAGCCTAGGAATAGTCCTTGACAAGAGCTGTTAGCAGGAGCAAACTACTGTATGCTACTTTTTTAATGCAAGTTTCATGTTATATGGAGATTTTTTGTTACAATTATTATGTATTCTAGGCCTAGGCATATCTTAAATCTCATCAGGAAATTTACTCTTCGTTCATTAAGTAAACCTTTGAAAAATCTTTGTAATCTAACCAAGGAAGGGCTTGTGATGGTGAACCACAATCAACAGATGAAGCAAAGGTTGATAGACCAGCTTTCTCATTATTTTAAGGTTTAGTGTTGGTTTCCATTAAAACCCAAGTTTAAACTAAATTTATACAATAAAAAAACTAAATTGATTACTAATTTCCCTTCCCTGACAATCACTTGAAAGCATTCAATAGCTTCTCTTGTCACCGGTACGGTAACGTTTAAACGTCGTCTGCAGCTAGCAATTTTATTTTATCTGACAGTAATCATAGAGTAGCAAATGAAGGAAATGAGAGCCAAACATGTGGATAACACTCAGATAATAGCCTCCATGTCCACGCAACGTTTTAATAGGTAATGACACGACTGTGACCAGCTGTATGAAGCCAAGAAAGTAGGCCTAATTTTCTTGAAAATCTCAGTTTGAAAAAGGTTGTTTCACGTAAGGTTGTGATAAAAATCACTATCTCAATCAATGTTAATGTAGCGAGAAAAGTAGCTAAAATTCCGCTACAACTACTTTAAAAATGTAGCTAGCTACAGCTAAAGCTACAAAATCTTAAAAGTAGCGTAGCTACAGCTAACGCTACAAAAAAAGTAGCGCGCTACTGTAGCGTCGCTACTTGTAGCGCGCTACTTCCCAACACTGCTTTAAGGGTATGTTATCCTTTTACCAAACAAAATACTATGTACAAATTTATACAAAATAAACTCTAGTGTTTAGTTTAGTTGACTAAGAATACTGAGATTGTTTGATACAACATGTAAAATCTTACCTTGAGTTGAAGACTTGACCACTAACACGATCTGTTGTGTCTTGACGGCAACCTTGCTAAACTTCCTCAACAACTTACGCAGATAATGGTCAGTAGACTCACCAACCGGAATTTCACTGACTTGAATCCCCACACCCTCGCTTGTATTCGGGCATCTAAAATAGATCAACAATTAGTACCTGGGAACACCTTGTAGACAATTTTCAGAATTCTTCTAAACAAGAATATAAGACACATGCTATACACAGTTCATTTCACGCAATGGAAGGCAATTATTGAATTATTCTAAAGAATCTCATTCTGGAAAACTTACTTTTTTAAGGGCTCAAAAATAGACGAATATATCATAGTTTGCAATCTCTTCAAATATTCAATGATTTCCAAAGTGCAAACAATTCTTATAGGACGCCCCATGTCAAAGTCAATCTGTAAAAGAGAAGTAAAATTGTATTCACACACAAATTTTAAAATACACACTGAATGCTCGGTATTCTGGTGAGAGCCACATGAGGTCGGTATTCACACCATATACAAAACTAGATGTCTCATAAAGCTGAGATTGTCTCAGCTTTTCATTGATGACGCCTCATTATAGAATGGACAAAACACCTGGTTTTGTACATAAAGTAAATACCGATTTGACACGGCTCACACTGGAAGACCAAGAATTTCATGATGACCACCATCTCAAGGAATTTCATGATGCCTGCTGCTTAAGCCTATGAATCAAGATTTAACACAGTTGAACATAGCCCAATTAAAGTTTTTCCAAACCCTCTCAAAAGGACATGTTGAAACTCTTCATCACAATTAACACAAAACCATGAATAACAAATTCCACTGCAGCCGATTGATGTAGAATTTTTCAAAACAATTTTATTACAAGACCCTCATAAAAACAAGATTTGACAATTTAGTGAATTTAGAATATAAAGGGGTACTCACATTACTAACACATTACAAACATTCAAATATTCCACACACATTACACAGACCTTTGGTGGTTTGTCGTTGTCCCAAACAACCTTGACTGTCACAGCGGAGGGGGGGATGCCAGTCAATGGGTGCGGTTCTCCACTTCGACTCTCCAGCAACGGCTGCAGGAACACCTTGCTCCCCCACCCACTGAAATCCCAGTGGCCCACAGTGTGACCAGCCACACCACACTTCACACCGACGTCAAACGCCGACATCTAGACAAGTCGTGATAAATATTTCAATGTCTCATATTTTGAAGACTAGGTAAAAATTTTGTTTTAAAATGACTTCAGAGGAAAATTAGAGTCCAGGGGCTAATAAACACAATAAAGGATTTAAAAATAAAGAACTTCTTCAGGGTAGGTTAAAGACGAATGGCAGTTGAAGTTCAAAACTGGAGGGATTTTCAGAGTTGCCAACTGTAGCCACCAAAAAGATTGATACCTGATACCACAACATAAACACAAAAAAAGCTTCTGTATAGCCTCTGTTTGCAAAGGCCAAGGCTTTTTTAAGCTGATTGTTGAACTATTGTTTGCTTTCATAATCAGAACTGATTATTTTATTTTGGAGGTGTGTTTTTTTGGGTGGCAGCTGATAATGTGAAGATATTGTGGTTTATATTATGGTGCAAACTGTGAACAGAGGTAGAAGCAGTAATGTTTCCCTTCAAAAGTTCCAAATAAATTTAGTGGCAAAGATGGCAACTCTGGAGATCACTCCAGAACATTTAACAGCTGTTTCTCTTCAACCTGCTCTCTGAAGAAATCCTATGTCAGCAAAATTACAAAGAATTGTCATGGAATAGCCTCTGGATCGTTTGAAACTCTTTAGTGGCTTACATTACCTTGTTACTGTCAAAACGATCCTTTGTAGTTTGCTACAAGCACAGCTGTTTCATGCTTTAGATGGAAAACATCATCAGGTCGTAAGAATGTAATGGCCAATGAAGACTACTTGACATTCTTCTGATGATGTACTCCATCCGAAGCATGATACAGCTGTAGTCCTAGCAAACTACAAAGGATCGTTTTGACAGTAACAAGGTAATATTAACCACTATATATAGTTAAAATCATTTAACTATCAATAGATGATAAATAACTCCATTTTTGGAACAATTTGCAGGTACGTCTGATCTTAATATCAACAACTCAAATTAAAGCTGGTATTTCGCTGAAGACTCTTAGATCAACTTTATAGCACTCTACTGTGCTAAAGCTTCTTGTAGATATAGATAGGGAAACATTGTCTAACTATTACATAAATAACTAATACCTGTACAGTTAGGATGTTGTCTGTATTTCTGCAGATAAAGGTATGAGGCTGGGATATGAGTGTGAAGCAAAGTGGTTCATAGGTATTTTGTTTCTCACGAACTACAGACATCAAGGACACCTTTATGGAACTGCCGGTGATGAGAACTTCACACGGGACAATTGATCTGGAAATAAAAAGGTAAACAATACATTTATCTACTTTGGCAAGGTTAAAAATAGTATTTTCACGTCTTAATATAAGCAAAACCAAATGAGTAGGGTTGAATGGAACCTGCAAATTTACTTCTGAAAAATATATTCTACATCTTCAGCCGTAAATAAATCTAATTGAGGATTTTCTTGGTTCGCGATTTTTTTCAACTGTCAGAAGATGGGCAATGTCCACGATTTCGTAGTTAATGACGATGTTATCTCCACTATCACAGGTGTTCACAAATTCAACCAGTAAGGCAGGTGACAATGGTGATGTCTCCGCGATTGCGGATGATGTTCTTCACGAATTTGCCAGTATTGTAGGTGATGATGGTGATGTTTCTACAATTTCAGGAGATTTTCATGATTTTATAGCTATTACGGGAGAAGATGACGATGTTGTCTTAGTGGTCAAAGGAGGTGTTCACGATTTTGCCCCTACATCGAGTGCTAATGATGTCCCTGCACTGCAGAAGATGAAAGCAATAGTGCTGTAATCACAGATCACAGTCATGATGACATAGTGTCGTGAAATTTTGTTTGTCATTATTGTCATAATGATTAACAAAATCGGTACTACAGGTTTCCATGTTGCATGAGAAGAAAAGTCCTGTCCTAATTTTCCCTTCAAATAAGGATAATTTTCAGTTTACGAGCATTCACTACTATTTGTGGTACACGATGCAACCATAAAACGCAACTATTTTGAGCTCCAGTAAAAACTTCAAAATAACCAAAGTTATTTCTGTAAACAATTTATGAATGTCCATGATACTGTTTCCATAGTGTTGCCTACTTACCGTTTGCCGGGCCACACCAGTGGTGTCGGGGTTGGGTAGATAGAGGATGGCAGAGGTGAGTGAACTAAGCCACTTGCTTGTGAGTAGCCGGAGGGAGAAACAGCATGCACGGCCGGCAAGTTGGGATCTGCTGTAAAAATAGAGCGAGTGAAAGTCTCGGTATTTCACAACATAAGTACGGTAGAGTCATCATTACACCCTCTCTGCAGATGATCAAGTAGCAGAATTCATGAGCTAATGGTATCACTCTAGACTGTACCCCTTTTCCCGCCCCTGTCTGTAATCGGTTAGCCATGGGTTTTTAGGGAACTGGGCTTGAAAGTATCTAAATATATTTATAATTTATAGAAAGGTTTTTTTAATATTATTCTGTATGATTTTATTGGGGACGGTTTAGGTAGAATAGTAGGATGGTTAAGACTGTATTGACTTATCTCTACTTAATACATAGGTTTTGAGTTTACGCACTAAAATTAAAAGCGGATGTATTAGCTAAAATTAGAGACGAACAGATCCTGAAATTTCTTGAAATTTTCAGGGAAAATATATTTTAGATCTTGAAGCCGGACTACATTGAAATCGGGATATTTTAGGGAAGGAATTTTTCACACAACAGTCAGAAGCTTGGCTAAAATGAGAGGTAACTGGGATGATGTCTCTGTGATCACAGGTGATAACCAGGATTTTCACCCTTATGCAGTGGACGATGGTGATGTTTCTGCGATCACAGGATATGGTCATGACTACTATTTCTGGAGATAAGGAAGTTCTTCCGATCGCAGGTCAATTTGTGGGAATCTGTACCTTGTCTGATATGAGAGAAGGAGCTCTCTGTGTCGATGCCACTGTCATGCTCAGCCAAGGTGAGGTGTAGTCTGGTAGTGGAGGAGGTGACTGAGGGGGGAGAGTGGCTGTGAGACAGTCTTTGTGTCTCTAGACACAACACTGACATCATCTCTGACGCCAGCACAACACACAGCTCCAGCTGATCAAGTGTTACAAAAACTGTGATGTCGGACACTGCGTTGATCTGTAACAGAAACTATCACGGTTACTACTGAAGAAGAATAGTAGGAAAAGGAGCTTACTTATAACTTTGACATACAAACATACAAATATTTTACACTTCACTTACATGTAAAAACTCTTTTATCTAAGGATAAATTGTGTGTGAATGCACTATTTTTAGTTTTATAGATTTAACACTTACGTCATGGGGTACAATAATAATTGCAGTGAAATGTAGGATTGTGGTTTTGATGAAAGTCTGTGTCACAATTATTTCCATTGTGACACCTTTCAGGCCTACTTACTGAATGACATCGTCAGGGGATCTGTACTCCACACAGATAAGAAACACTGTAGATACCAATCTTCATTCAGGCTCGCCGTTGTTGACAGTGAACATACTTTTGTGACTTGGTATTTACTACAAAATTACTATCAAAAAGTTTTTAATTTTTTAGCTTGTACATACAAATTTATTTAAGAACCTTACCAGTCCTGGAAATAGGTTTTGAAGAAATGGAGGGAAGTAGGAAATTTCAGAATTAAGTATAAGTGCAAATTATGATAGTAAATATCAAAGTACTATCATCACTTGATCATTTGTGATCACCTAGAATTGATTCAAAGACTCACCAATATTATCTGTAGTTAATATAAGATAAGAAGTGTACTCCAGAACTCAAAATGCATACTTCTGACAGTATAGATAATAGAATAGTCTACCACACTTAAAATAATAGCTTCTTAGAGGAAGAAACAAATTTGCATCCAGATCCAGTATCAAAAGTCATGAGTAAGTGTACTTATTTTTAATGTCCTGAATCGTACCACACTCTAACATTTTGTTACGTTAAAGTGGTTACGTTGTAGTGTTAAAGAGCTGACAAAAACTCACCTCAACCGCATGACCGCACACTATGTCCTTGTCCATGTAGATCATCGCAGGTGCCACGACCACGTTGAGGCTGAAACAACGGACGAGAGGGGCCGTCAGTTCATCAGGCTGCACCTGTTGAAGAAAAAAGTTAAATTAATATTTTGAGATGCTTCGTTTCAGTAAACTGACTTGAAACAAATAATTTTGTCACAAGGTGTCCGAACAGATAGTCCATTATACCCTTTAACCTCACAGACAGATAAGTAATCAGGCCTCCAGAACACAACTCGCTTGCTATAACAGCTTGAGCAGCCGTGCCCCATCCCAAGTCATCTAACATTTTGGTAATGGTTGCTTACAGCTTTTCTTGTTATCTTTATTCATCGATACAACATATGATTTGTGATACCTGAAACATCGGGCTCCGACCCTCATTCCAGTCCAATGCAGGGTTCTGATGCTGCGATGACACTGCTTCTTCTCTCACAAACAACTCTTTCAAGTCCGACCACAAACCTGCAACGTTAGTTGATATTGTATTACTTAGGAAATAAATTATTCGACTAACACAGTGCAAGAAACATTTTAGGTACTTTTACCCAGATTGGGTTATTGGGAATATATTTTCCCCAAAGATTTTCCAACATATCAAGACCCGCCCATCCCCACATAGTGCAAAAATGATTGATCACACAACATAACCTTTTTTCATCTACAAAAGATAATTTGAAATAACGTGGTATTCATTATTCTTGCCTGTCTCCACACATAGACGATATATGCTGAACTGGTACTGCCGGTCCTCTAGTTCCGAGCCTGGGATGTTCAGTGTCCTCTGCTTTTCCCCCTTGTGGTAGATGTCCGGCCGCAGCGGGGAACGGCACAACGGGTTCTCTGGATGTGGGTTGGCTGTCAAGCTGTGAAACTGAGAAAAAAACACTTGGTTTTGTTGATTGTTTACACTTATTGTCACATCATTATCACTTAGTCAATATTATATAGTGTCAACAAGGTAGTAGGTTGTATCACAGAACACTGCTATGTTAGGAAACACATACACAGAATGGGTCTTTTTGTGTTTGACAAAAAACTTTTACACTATACACAAAAGTTGGGAAAAGACTCAATCTGTTATAGGATGAAAATACTGACTGTGACAGTAAAATATTCCAAATGTTGTGTTAAGTGTAAATTTTGTTGTGCTTCTTGAGCTGGAGAGTACTCTTGCTCAGGTAAAACAGGTAAAACTGATATTCGAATGCCCCCAGTACACTCTTGCAGAGACGCTGGCCGAGGAGCTTATGCGAGGTAACCATGTACACTCTCGCTTTGTCTCGCAGTCGAAATGGAGGCAAACTTCGATGTGGAAGTATCGCTTGCCACTCGTGCAGTCTCGGGTCCCTTGACTCGTGTCAAAAAACTGACTCCAGACGGAGCGCCGACGAGCACGAGCACGAGGCGAGGCGAGGCGACCCGAGTCAAGGCGAGAGAAGACGAGCGCACCGAGTACACTCTCGCATTCGCCAACACTCTCGCCTTGCCTCGGCGAGAGTGAACTGGCGCATGACAAATTTATAAAAACCCAAGCCCTTGTGTTCTACGTCCTCAAACATTCAGTTAGTAAGAGCTAATTACAAAACAAGATTGCTTATTGCTGCTGTCTTAGAGATGCAATTGAACACCTAATATATTCCCAATTACTGTTGAACCAAATCTAGTATCAAGTAAGCAGCTCCATCAGCTGGTTTGTAATCACCTGTATAAGAAGTACATCAGGCTGACCAGACGACAGCTGGTCTCTTGACATGGGCAGCACCACTCTGATACTATTCAGATCAAGGTACAGCAGGGGGAGGGAGGAAGAATGCAGCGGAGGCGATGGTTTATGACCCCCGCCACCAGACGGGGCTTGTAGCAGACATAGCAGCGGGTCCAACACCTGAAACCATAGAAAAATCGACATATTAGACTGTTTTCCAGTGATGTTTCTCACGAGGCACGACTCGTGTCAGTCTACAAATAAAAAAAAATTATAACAGGTTACGTACCTTGACGTCCACAATTCCTCAGTCGAACTTCTATTGACGAGTTTCGACTACTGAGTTAGTCATTTTTGAAACAGAACGTTAAAATATTTCATTCATTGAATGTCGTCAAATCTTCTTAAATACATTGAACACAAACACAACACGAACACGGTAGACATTTAACATAGTTGGCCGGCCGGCACAAGTCAGACGTCACTAATGTGTTCGAAGTTTGACTGAGGAATTGTGGACATCAAGGTAGGTAACCTGTTATAATTGATTACCAATTCCGGAAGGCTTCAACATGAATAAAAAAATAATAATACAAATCTGAGCAATGACCAATCAAAATTATAACAATATCAAACCAAAACTATTACACTGTAATGACCCAAAATCTGCCAAGGGGTAAAAACCCGATTTCTAAAGAGTTTCATCTTAAGTATTATAATTTGCTACATTCGGGGTAAGCCGCGCCCGCGTTGTCAGCGGCATCGTAGGCGCAAGGGTCCTACGTCATCGTAGAGGGGATAGTTAGTTACCTACCCCTCCGCCAGGGGCGATGGCGAAGAAGGACCAGAAGAGCAGACCTCATCGTCAGTTGTCCACCCGCTACCGAACCGTCAGTACGCCAGCTGTTTGGAGATAAATCCAACAGTCCTAACTTACGAAATTCTGGTCAATTAAAGATTTCCCCCGTTCCTGGTATAATTCTAAGGCATCAGGTTAGTGGGCTACCGAATTTATTTTGTTTAATCTCATTTTAGATTAGTTTTTTAGATTTTAGATTTTTTTTAGATTAGATTTTTAGTCGCGCGCACCCCGCACACTTTTTGACGTACGAGCACACTACCTTTTGTCTTAAACCAGCTTCAGAAATCATTTAAGTTGCCAAAACGGTTTACGTACGACTTATTCCGTTACCCCGAACCGTCCTACGTAAATTTGATTCAAGAAACCACGAATCGACTCTGGTGATCGACCGAGTCTAATTTTCCCGACACGTTTACTTTGGTGATTACCAAGTATAACGACCGAATCGCGTTTTAGTTAAGTTTCCAATTAATTAGGCTTATTCGCATTCACAATAGGTTATTCAAAATTATAAATTTAACTTCACATATTTTTCGAGTGGCTATGATGAGCACTTGTTAAAGGTAAGCTAAACATTGTTAGCAGTATTGTAATTAATATTCTGAGCCAATAAACTCGAAACGATAATTAATTAACGAACACGTTAGAGTCCTGGACTATCTCATAGTAGGCTAAGCTATCTGGACAAATTTAAGGTGTGACAGAATTTCAGGTGAGACGACAATTACGTACTATAAAATCTAATTTTGTCCCTCAACCTGAAATTTCGTCCAAACACAAACACTACAAAAGATTTCACTATACTTTTTATACAATTATTTCATGTGACGCTTATGAGTATATGCATATTTATTACAGATAATGAGTGAAGAAGTTGGGAGTGAGAAGCTTTGAGTAGTAACATTTTATTTAAAGTCTTAAGATCAAGCTTTAATTATGTAGTTGGGATTACACCTACAAACTTTTTTAAGTTGACCTGACGACCTTCTGATATTGCAAGAGCACTGTAAACAGCTGTGTGGGGCGGGAACTGTAGTCATTATGCCTAAGAAACTCGCTCAGGGTCTGTGTGGATCAAGAAATACTGTTCAACGTAAACACATGAACTAACCTGGACAAACACGCCGATTGTTGTCGGAGACAGCACAAAGTCCAGCGGTTGCATCTTAATTTCAATTTCGGTTATGAATTTTTCACTCTTCAAAGTTTTCTGTAAAGTTAAAGAACATGAAATATATAAAACATAAAACATGTTAACTATATTGCATCAAATCAGGAGAACTAAATATACAAGTATTGCTTTATTTAAACTTAAAATTACATTGTATTGTATTCATACCTAGTGGAATGCTGCTGACCTATGCATTTTTGGACATTGGAATGGACACGGTTGTTATCTAGTTAGCTGCAGTCTTGTAGGGCTTTTGCAGCTTTTTGGAAATCATGATTTTTAAAACTTAGTTTTTGTACTTGAATGAAGAAAAAATTTATATATATTGGAGAGAAATATAAACTTTTGGTCATGTATTGCAGGTACCAAAACATTTATTCATTTATATAACACCTTTAGTGTTTTAGCATGAACTATTTACCAATCCGAGATACTGAGGTGAGAAGAAAATCAAAATTGATAAACCATAATATTTTTGCAACTCGAAAGCTCATTTGGGTAAAAGGTTAGATTAGATTAGAGTTAGACATAGTTACGTTTGGTTAGGTTAGGTTACCTTGCTCAGTGCCGGGTGTTTGGTCGGGCTGCCGAGGCGAGAGTGGAAGTTGTTGCACTTGGCTCGGGTGACGGTAGCCATGAGGAACCCCGAGTCACCCGAGTGATTAGTCACAATGTCATCAGGGTCGTAACCTCTCATCACCAGACCGTGAAACACGCCTCGTTTCCATCTTTCTGACGTTGGAGGTCTGAAATCGAGGAGAAATTTGAGCGGATTTCCTCAATTTTAACATTGGATTCACACTAGTGACTATTACAACTTAACAGCATTACTTCTGACCTATACCTTGTGTAATGATAAACAGACGCAGTTGCAACCTTCAGCTTGACTTTGTGATAGACTCTCTCCACGTCTAGAGACAGTATGATGTCTTCTACGTCCAGAGCCAGCTTGAGTTGGTCAGGGGAAGGTTTGCTGTACATACTCAACGTCGTCCTGACCAACGTCCACTGTAGCCAACCCGTCAACTTAACCTTCACAGGGCCTCCGCCTGCGAAAAAACAATACCAAATTATTATCTCAAACAACAATACAGGTATTTATGAAAAAAGCCTTAAGCTATGGTTCTAAAGACTGCGGAAATTTCTGTGTAAGGTGAACAATTTTCCGCTGCATAATTACGACACTGGTTCAATTGAGTTCCCTGGGTCCGGTTCTACTGACTTGCGTTTACACAACCGAAATTTATAATTCCGCACGACGGACAAATCATACTGATGTGAGAGCAGTGGCAGTTCGGAATCCGCCAGCTCAGATGATCCATTATTTATTGTTATTGTCACCGTGCAGTTAGTTGAACTCCACAGTCTATGGAACCATAGCTTTAGAATTTGTCAGGAGATGGACAACTTTCCACGATCATAATCGGGCATATTTGAAGATAATACTATCATTTATGGGTCCTCCCAGGCACTTGAGGGGTAGCAATAGCAAGAGTAGGGGTAAAGAGAGCAGGTAGAGTGTGAGAGAGAGGGGAGAGAAATTAGCCATGTTAAGAGAGCGAGATTAGAAGGAATGTGTGACATCAACCATTACATGGTAAGCTTCTGCACAGAGAAGTAAAACACAGAGGAAGTAAGGCACAGAGGAAACATTTAATCGCCTAAGTGGTGTCTACTAGTGCAAGTGTCTAGAACAAAGTCCCGCACAGTGGAGGAAGACCTGTGCCCTGTGCGATAGGAATTTCCGCACAGTGCTCGCTGTTAGAGCTCTTCCTTGCTTGTCACAAGTATATTTTCAGCACAACATACCAGAGCTGAAAGCACACGGTTGTCCCATAAGTGTGTTTCTTTGTATCTTATTTCTCTGTGGTTTCTGTGATTTTGCTTATCTGGAAGAAGCCCCATAGCTTAATGTCCATAAGGAAAGATTGTAGGAATTGATGATTGTACAGGAAGTTTGTGATATTTGCTAATTGAGCTTTTACAACCATGTTCATCTATCTAGCCTACATTAACTCAAAATCAACAAAATGCTTACCTCTGCCAAGCTCATCAGACTGGGTGACGTTGGAGGATTCGTCGCTGCTGATGAGTTTCATGGACGATTCAGTAGGAGGAGAATCAACAGAGAGTGAGGGCATCAGAACATTCACTACCTTCCACTGAGCCATGATCAGACTGACTATCAACACTACCTGCAAAATAATGATCATATCATCACACATTAAAACAAGTACCTAGAATATTTAATTAGTAAATATGTCAACAACAAAAATTTCTTTGTAAACAGTTAAACACTGAATTTCTATAAACAGTTTCAAAAGCATAAAACGGTGGAGTCTGATCTAGTGGTAGCAAAGGAATTTTGAGATGGAGATTTGGTTTCAAATTCTATGAATCATCAAAATGAATAATTACCTCCACAAAAGTCTTATACTTATTTAAAAAATATATAGCATCAAGATACCTGTTCTTCCGAGATATTAACACTGACAGGGGTCGTGTCCAGATGCACACACAGCGCCAGTGAAATCATGGTGTTGGGATCGGAAAATTTCGGCGACGTGCCAATAGTGCAGTTGAATGAGACCGGTTTCAACAACGGTAGAGTCGTCGCACCGTGCATCGTGTAACAGTGTAGATCAACTATGGCCACAGTCCAGGGAAAATTGTCTTTTTCTGGAAAAATAGTGTGATATAAATAAGTGATATTGCATAAAATATATAAATAGCTAACAAAACCACACAGATCATTCACTCCATACACCCATATTGCAATCATGTTCAGCTTAATATACGCACATGTTTATGTTTATAGAAAGGCCTTAATGTCTTGAAACTACGATGATGATGTTAAGATATCACAATGTTTCTTCAAACTCACCAGCGCTCCACAGGTTGGGTGGAAGCCGCACAGGGAGTTGTTCGGTGAACTGTTCCAGACCCTGCTTGTGGTTGGAACACCTGAGGGACACTGATGGCAGCTTGACTACGAGCACCTGAACCACAAACAAAACTCATGAAGTAACCTCCAGAAGACAGGGTTAGATTTTGAATCCCATTGAAAAATCTTCTGTGAAATTCTGTTTTGCTAATCAGCCATAGATAATCTGCATTGGATTTTTCTTTATAGAACATAAACTCAACATAGCAAACAATGAACTGTAAAAAACCATCATATGATGACTTTAAAATAATTGTAAGTGTGTTATAAATATATTATCATAATTTGTTACACAACTATTTATTAGAGGATCTTATAGTCTACAGTACCTGCAAGGCAGTGTTTGTCTGACACAAGGCAGCCTGTAGTCCCTCCTCCATGGTGAGAGGACAAGGAGATGCTAGACTACTATTGGGTAGATATATGGACACCTGACTAATGTCCCCATACACTATCATCGTCTTCCATTGAGGATACAGAGAAGCTACCTTGTCTGGTAGAGGCTGTGGAAAAGTATTTTCATTAGAACATGGATGTAACAGTCATGGTATTTTATCAAACTATTATGAGCCATACATTTTGAATAGTTAAAACAAGTTTGTTTTGATAATGTTTTGAGGGCATTATCTGATTATTTATATTAATATCTGTCGGCAAAACTCTGAAGCTTAACAATCTCTTTTGAAAAAGAACTGTCATGTCATGGTACTACAGTTGCTCACCACCAAGGGAACAGTGTCCACCAGCGGCTGTGAAGGGAGGGTCTCTCTCTCGGAGGAGCTAGGGGCGCTCTCATGTGGTGTGGGCGCGCGACGCATATAACTGCTCAGACTACTCTCCGAGATCTTGCGAGACTTGAGCGACCTAAAACATGTCATCAAAAACTCTTTTACCTAGGCCTATACCTAAAATGAACTTCACAAATCTGATTTGAGATAGCAATCTCAACAGGATAACAAATGAAGTAGTAAATGAAAATTGAATTCATCGCCTACTTGTGTGCTGATGTTGTTTTTCAAAATAAAAATTCCAGATTCCATTTTAGTTACGTAACCAACTCATGTAAAAAAGGAGTTTTATACAGTTTGAACATAAAAATCCTACAGTTTTGTATTTGACATACTGAAGGGCGAGCGAGCTGGTCTATTGGTACAGCAAGGGGCTTTGATCCTCAAAGTCCCACCAATTGATAATGGCTTCTACCTTGTGATAATGCCGCAACCCTCTAGGTCTAGCCTGATGTAATGTGTAACCGAGGAAGAGCCTAGCGTCCTTGGTTGTGAAGGTGAACATAAAAAAACTACCTCCTACAGCAACACCCCTTTGACATACATCAGGCGTAACGTGTTAACTTTTTGTGTGCAATCAACTTCCTTGAACTCTCAAAAGTTAGTCTTTCTGTTCTTTCTTTCCTAATGAATTACCCAGTGTTTTTCCTCTTACAAACTATTCATTTAGTAACTGTTAAAGTCTTACTCTGTGGACTTGTGGGACATAAGAGTACTTTGGTGTGCCGGAAAGGAGACACTGGGAGTATAGAGAAGCCAGGAGTACAACAGAGGATCTGTACTAAGTCTGACCTCTTTGAGATTGAATGTCAGTATAGGAGGGAACTGGTTGACACCTACTGGCTGCTGGTACAAGACTGCAATCATACAAAACAATTGTAAACAAATATATTCACAAAGAAATTGGCAAGGTAATCAATCCTAACCTAAAAGGTCAGTTGAACTACCACCTAAAGCTGGGGTTTCCTGGTGAAGATTTGAGCCCCTTCTCCTCTTATTTAGGTAATTTAAAGGTACAGTTTGCCTAGAAGCGAAGTGGAATGCCACTAGAGGAGCGGAAAATCGCTTCTCTCTTTGCACTACGCTGTCCGTGTTATGATTCCGCGCCTAAGAAAACTCAGCTTAAGGTAGCTAAAGACACCTGTAACCACGTAAACATATAGTATACTTGAAAAAAATTACAACAGAACATTTTCCTTTTTCTTAACTGACTTTGGATTGAGGCTCCACTATGTCTAGACTCATGGAGTACTGGAATTCACTTTAGGGTTGCATTTAGGAAATAAGGTTCTCTATCACAACTATTTCTCTCTTCTCCCTCCTCAAACTTGGCTATCTAACAAACGTTGGAGGTACAGTGCCACATCTCACCATCTAGCAGTGGGTTGTCGACAGGAGAGTCTGTATCAGGTGCGGAAACTATCATAGTTTCCCACTCGTCTCCCTTGTCCGGCATCTTGACTGCGAACAGCTGACACGCAGCCACACTGACACACGTGGACGTACATAGTGCTGTCACCACACGGCGCAGCTTGACATGCTCCACCACCAGCTTCAGGAAGATCGTGTCTGTTACAACAATAGTGGAGTCACATTAGTATTACACTTGGTGGCGACAGATTACAAAATTGCTCTGAATTAAGGATAGACCAGTCCTAAAATATTGAAACATTTTTATAAAAAAAAAACATGATTTTCAGATGGGATTACGTTTTATTGTTTAGGATGAGTTTGATAGAATTTTCAATGATTTTACCTCCGTAGGTAGTGCCATGAAACCTCCATGATTGTAATTAATTGGCGATTATGATGTCCCCACAATGGCGGGAGATGTCCACGATTTTATTGCTGTTGCAGGTGATATAGTTATTTTTTTAGAATTTTAGAAGTGAGCTCAAAAGTCAAAAGTAATGCTTCTTTTCTGGTATGAAGAGTTATGATGAGTAGTTAAGGTCATAGGTTAGGAGTTAATTAGGATTTTAGGTTAGGTCAAAACCTTCTTAATCTCTTATCATTCTTTGGACACCTACCGCAGTTTGTACCTTCCTTTCCTTTTGTACCTTGCTTTCCATGGTGTTTGCCAATTAATAGGCTTATTCAAACCCTACCCTATTTTACTAGAAGTCTGAGTTAAATTTACGATAATTATTAGCATTTAAGTTAAAGAATCAAACACACTTTATGGCAAAGCAGTCAAACCCCTTTAAATGTTATTTGATATTCCGGAGATTTAAGCCCTCACCCTTCCTCCCCTCAGCACAAAAGTCAGAGAGTCCAACCAGCAACACATTTAATCAATTTCCAGTATATAACTACAGCACACTTTCAAATGACATTTGTTTTACAAAAAACAACCAAAAACTCTATACTGAAGCATGATAACGACTATCTAGTAATTCTAGAATTAACCAAAAACTAGCTGTTACCCACGGGCTTCAACCCGTTTGACTTCACAAGTATTCATAAAACTATTGATTGATTAAGTTAAGCTGAAATAAACAAAACAGAATACAGCATTACAAACAAATAATCACACCAGGTATTAAAGCCGGGTTTTCCTAGGCGTGGAAGCGGAGAGCGGAGAGAGGAACGCGGAGAGCGGACTCCACTTGTCTTAGGTAATTTAATGTTACTGTTTTCCTAGATGCGGAGCGGAACACCATGTTAATCTCTTTTCCGCTCTCCACGTTCCTCTCTCCGCTCTCCACTTCCGCGCAATAAATAAGAACAGCTGAGGTATTTTTAACATTAAGTATATGAAAAGTTCCCTTTGGAAAGCAATTATGACCTTCTCTACATCAAGGCCAAAACCTTAAAGAATAGAGGTGTTTCATTGATTTTGATACATACATCACCCAAAGGTCATGAATTTAAAATATGCGGCTGTTAAATTACTAAGGAACTATGTAGTCAGCTGATTACCTGTGGTAGTCGCTGCATCTTGCAACAAAGATGTGTTGTAGATGGTCTTCTGCGCCGCTATGTATCTCTGGCGATTGTTTGTGGCAATCAACGAGCTCACAATCTCACACAGCAGAATCAACTTCGCTTTTGAGGATGTAGTCGTTACGTTTTCTAAAAGAAATTAATATCATTTATTTATAGGCTACTAATGGTTATCTCTCTTCCCAACTCAACCCGTCATTGGTTGAAAATGCGGTTGACGGTGAGATAATTTAATTTCTATGTATAGTGTTAATTGTTTCTCATAACAGATTTGGGGACTATTTTCGTTCAAAGGAAAATGGCAATCCTAAAAATCCCAAAAATCTAGGCCCTTTTGTGGTACATCCATACCTACTTAAAAAATTGTAAATGAATATAAAATAAAATAATTACGATAAAACTGTCTCATTTTTCAAAAAATTTACCCAAAGTAACGGGGGTTGTTTTTTTTTCAACCTCCGATAGGCTATGAACAAAAGACAAGTTCATATAAAACATTAAATTTATTACCAAAAGTTTGGTCCATTTATGGTTACTTTTTGACATAATCACAAAAAAGATTGAGACATTTGCTATATCTGTGCACCAGCTTTTTAATACCCTCTTCAAGAAAAGTGGCCGCCAGTACATTCAAAAAACAAAAAAATTCAAAAAAACAAAAAATGTCAAAAAATAAAAAAAATCAAGAAAAAATAAAAAAAGGACTTTAAAATTTCTAGAAATTCAGTAAACAAAGCAATAATGGTGAATCTGTGGTTTATTTAACCATCCTGTCAAACTGTTGAACCAAGTCATCTGAAACGACAGTAATGAGCTGGTTCAACAAGTTGGCAGAATGGTTAAATAAACCACAAATTCACCATTATTGATTTGTTTACTGAATTTCTAGACATTTTAAAGTCCTGTTTTATTTTTTCTTGATTTTTTTATTTTTTTGACATTTTTTTGTTTTTTGAATTTTTTTTGTTTTTTGGAATGTACTGGCGGCCACTTTTCTTGAAGAGGGTATTAAAAAGCTGGTGCACAGATATAGCAAATGTCTCAATCTCTTTGGTGATTATATCAAAAAGTAACCATAAATGGACCAAACTTTTGGTAATAAATTTAATGTTTTATATGAACTTGTCTTTTGTTCATAGCCTATCGGAGGTTGAAAAAAAAACAACCCTCGTAATATAGCCTTGATTGCTTCCAAGTTAGGTTTAGTTGACCAAGACATATTTCTATTTCCAAATAAAGCAGACATTTTAAATTTGTATTGTAAAAAGTGTATTCCAAGGAGAACTACAAGGTAGACGTCCACTTGGCAGGCCAAGGATAAGATGAAAGACCAATAATAAGCATTAACATGTTGATGACAACAGGAAAGGCATTAGTTAAAATATTATTTTTTTTGGATGATTTAAATGACGTCTCAAATCAAAAACAAGACTTACCAATATGTAGACCAACGTCCGAACTAACTGTGTCTTCTAGAGGTGTGATGAGAGAGTGCCAACTTTGCTCACTGGACACACTCGACATTTCAACCACCTTCATGGCCTGAAGAAACGGCAGACGCAAACTGCTACCCACCCCAACAGCCTGAACAACAATCATGGAGTAGGAACATTGAAAATGAGTCAATAGTTGGATTAAGCTAACTTAAAAGTTAGATTTTGCTACTTTTTAATGTTCTTTAGGAATAGTAAAAAGAAACCTGTTTATACTTCAGTTGGTAAGGTAGAGATACTTTTTTTAGTGACTGCAATAGGAGACCCTGATCAAGCTGAACAAAAGTAATCTCAGGATTGTTATAGGAATTTAACTGGTCATCGTAGACTAAGGGACAACTGCTATGATTAAGATTACAGATTCTGATGATCGCCTACTGTCAGAGTGTGACGGACTTGTCAAACAGAAAACATAGTTTCAGAAATCTTGTAAGTGAACATTACCTTGAAAGCTAGCTTAGTGAGAGACGTGTTCATAATTTCAGGGGGAAGACGATCTTTGTGGAACTTGGAGGCCATCAGCAGTATCTTGTCAGGGTAGAGAGGTCTGGTGAGAGTAGCGTAGACACACTGACACTCCAGTATGACACAGGGTGGTGGTGACAGACTACAACATCTACGTTGTGTCCTTGACAGCTTCTGTAAACATGTGATGTGATGTATACAGTACCATCAGCAGTATCTTGTCAGGGTAGAGAGGTCTGGTGAGAGTAGCGTAGACACACTGACACTCCAGTATGACACAGGGTGGTGGTGACAGACTACAACCTCTACGTTGGGTCCTTGACAGCTTCTGTAAACATGTGATGTGATGTATACAGTACCATCAGCAGTATCTTGTCAGGGTAGAGAGGTCTGGTGAGAGTAGCGTAGACACACTGACACTCCAGTATGACACAGGGTGGTGGTGACAGACTACAACCTCTACGTTGTGTCCTTGACAGCTTCTGTAAACATGTGATGTGATGTATACCATCAGTAGTATCTTGTCAGGGTAGAGAGGTCTGGTGAGAGTAGCATAGACACACTGACACTCCATTATGACACAGGGTGGTGGTGACAGACTACAACCTCTACGTTGTGTCCTTGACAGCTTCTGTAAACATGTGATGTGATGTATACCATCAGCAGTATCTTGTCAGGGTAGAGAGGTCTGGTGAGAGTAGCATAGACACACTGACACTCCAGTATGACACAGGGTGGTGGTGACAGACTACAACCTCTACGTTGTGTCCTTGACAGCTTCTGCAAACATATGATGTGATGTATGTCATCAGCAGTATCTTGTCAGGGTAGAGAGGTCTGGTGAGAGTAGCGTAGACACACTGACACTCCAGTATGACACAGGGTGGTGGTGACAGACTACAACCTCTACGTTGTGTCCTTGACAGCTTCTGCAAACATATGATGTGATGTATGTCATCAGCAGTATCTTGTCAGGGTAGAGAGGTCTGGTGAGAGTAGCATAGACACACTGACACTACAGTATGACACAGGGTGGTGGTGACAGACTACAGCCTCTACGTTGTGTCCTTGACAGCTTCTGCAAACATATGATGTGATGTATGTCATCAGCAGTATCTTGTCAGGGTAGAGAGGTCTGGTGAGAGTAGCATAGACACACTGACACTCCAGTATGACACAGGGTGGTGGTGACAGACTACAGCCTCTACGTTGTGTCCTTGACAGCTTCTGCAAACATATGATGTGATTTATACCATCAGCAGTATCTTGTCAGGGTAGAGAGGTCTGGTGAGAGTAGCATAGACACACTGACACTCCAGTATGACACAGGGTGGTGGTGACAGACTACAGCCTCTACGTTGTGTCCTTGACAGCTTCTGCAAACATATGATGTGATGTATGTCATCAGCAGTATCTTGTCAGGGTAGAGAGGTCTGGTGAGAGTAGCGTAGACACACTGACACTCCAGTATGACACAGGGTGGTGGTGACAGACTACAACCTCTACGTTGTGTCCTTGACAGCTTCTGTAAACATGTGATGTGATGTATACCATCAGCAGTATCTTGTCAGGGTAGAGAGGTCTGGTGAGAGTAGCATAGACACACTGACACTCCAGTATGACACAGGGTGGTGGTGACAGACTACAGCCTCTACGTTGTGTCCTTGACAGCTTCTGCAAACATATGATGTGATGTATGTCATCAGCAGTATCTTGTCAGGGTAGAGAGGTCTGGTGAGAGTAGCATAGACACACTGACACTCCAGTATGACACAGGGTGGTGGTGACAGACTACAGCCTCTACGTTGTGTCCTTGACAGCTTCTGCAAACATATGATGTGATGTATGTCATCAGCAGTATCTTGTCAGGGTAGAGAGGTCTGGTGAGAGTAGGGTAGACACACTGACACTCCAGTATGACACAGGGTGGTGGTGACAGGCAGCCTCTACGTTGTGTCCTTGACAGCTTCTGTAAACATGTGATGTGATGTATATCATCAGCAGTATCTTGGCAGGGTAGAGAGGCCTGGTGAGAGTAGCATAGACACACTGACACTCCAGTATGACACAGGGTGGTGGTGACAGACTACAACATCTACGTTGTGTCCTTGACAGCTTCTGTAAACATGTGATGTGATGTATACCATGAGCAGTATCTTGTCAGGGTAGAGAGGCCTGGTGAGAGTAGCATAGACACACTGACACTCCAGTATGACACAGGGTGGTGGTGACAGACTACAACATCTACGTTGTGTCCTTGACAGCTTCTGTAAACATGTGATGTGATGTATACCATGAGCAGTATCTTGTCAGGTTAGAGAGGCCTAGTGAGAGTAGCATAGACACACTGACACTCCAGTATGACACAGGGTGGTGGTGACAGACTACAACATCTACGTTGTGTCCTTGACAGCTTCTGTAAACATGTGATGTGATGTATACCATGAGCAGTATCTTGCCAGGGTAGAGAGGCCTGGTGAGAGTAGCATAGACACACTGACACTCCAGTATGACACAGGGTGGTGGTGACAGACTACAACCTCTACGTTGTGTCCTTGACAGCTTCTGTAAACATGTGATGTGATGTATACCATGAGCAGTATCTTGTCAGGGTAGAGAGGCCTGGTGAGAGTAGCGTAGACACACTGACACTCCAGTATGTCACAGGGTGGTGGTGACAGACTACAACATCTACGTTGTGTCCTTGACAGCTTCTGTAAACATGTGATGTGATGTATACCATCAGCAGTATCTTGTCAGGGTAGAGAGGCCTAGTGAGAGTAGCATAGACACACTGACACTCCAGTATGACACAGGGTGGTGGTGACAGACTACAACATCTACGTTGTGTCCTTGACAGCTTCTGTAAACATGTGATGTGATGTATACCATGAGCAGTATCTTGTCAGGGTAGAGAGGCCTGGTGAGAGTAGCGTAGACACACTGACACTCCAGTATGACACAGGGTGGTGGTGACAGACTACAACCTCTACGTTGTGTCCTTGACAGCTTCTGTAAACATGTGATGTGATGTATACCATGAGCAGTATCTTGTCAGGGTAGAGAGGCCTAGTGAGAGTAGCATAGACACACTGACACTCCAGTATGACACAGGGTGGTGGTGACAGACTACAACATCTACGTTGTGTCCTTGACAGCTTCTGTAAACATGTGATGTGATGTATACCATCAGCAGTATCTTGTCAGGGTAGAGAGGCCTGGTGAGAGTAGCATAGACACACTAACACTCCAGTATGACACAGGGTGGTGGTGACAGACTACAACCTCTACGTTGTGTCCTTGACAGCTTCTGTAAACATGTGATGTGATGTATACCATGAGCAGTATCTTGTCAGGGTAGAGAGGCCTGGTGAGAGTAGCATATACACACTAACACTCCAGTATGACACAGGGTGGTGGTGACAGACTACAACATCTACGTTGTGTCCTTGACAGCTTCTGTAAACATGTGATGTGATGTATACCATGAGCAGTATCTTGTTAGGGTAGAGAGGCCTGGTGAGAGTAGCATAGACACACTGACACTCCAGTATGACACAGGGTGGTGGTGACAGACTACAACATCTACGTTGTGTCCTTGACAGCTTCTGTAAACATGTGATGTGATGTATACCATGAGCAGTATTTTGTCAGGGTAGAGAGGCCTGGTGAGAGTAGCATAGACACACTAACACTCCAGTATGACACAGGGTGGTGGTGACAGACTACAACATCTACGTTGTGTCCTTGACAGCTTCTGTAAACATGTGATGTGATGTATACCATCAGCAGTATCATGTCAGGGTAGAGAGGCCTGGTGAGAGTAGCGTAAACACACTGACACTCCAGTATGACACAGGGTGGTGGTGACAGACTACAACATCTACGTTGTGTCCTTGACAGCTTCTGTAAACATGTGATGTGATGTATACCATGAGCAGTATCTTGTCAGGGTAGAGAGGCCTGGTGAGAGTAGCATAGGCACACTGACACTCCAGTATGACACAGGGTGGTGGTGACAGACTACAACATCTACGTTGTGTCCTTGACAGCTTCTGTAAACATGTGATGTGATGTATACCATCAGCAGTATCATGTCAGGGTAGAGAGGTCTGGTGAGAGTAGCATAGACACACTGACACTCCAGTATGACACAGGGTGGTGGTGACAGACTACAACCTCTACGTTGGGTCCTTGACAGCTTCTGTAAACATGTGATGTGATGTATATCATCAGCAGTATCTTGTCAGGGTAGAGAGGCCTGGTGAGAGTAGTGTAGACACACTGACACTCCAGTATGACACATGGTGGTGGTGACAGACTACAACATCTACGTTGTGTCCTTGACAGCTTCTGTAAACATATGATGTGATGTATACCATCAGCAGTATCATGTCAGGGTAGAGAGGCCTGGTGAGAGTAGCGTAAACACACTGACACTCCAGTATGACACAGGGTGGTGGTGACAGACTACAACCTCTACGTTGGGTCCTTGACAGCTTCTGCAAACCATTTTATTATAATCCATTAAATCTCATGATAAGATAGCCATCTCATGATAAGAGGCCTTCAACCTTTGGCCTGTGGGCCGGACAGATTTCTTCAGGCCCATAGAAAGCAACCAGAAAACCAAGAGCTCTGTCATTGAATGGATATAGGCTATTGACAATCACTTCCGGAATCGCTTGTCCATAACATATTCAAGTACAATTCATGGATTTTTCCCAGGCCATCAAATAGCTGTAGTACCTTGTAGTTACTAGGACTACAGCGGTTTTACTAAAAAGAAATACATCGTTAGGACTAAAAAAGGTAAACTAGCCCCTCGAAGTTGAGATTGTAACTATATGCACTAGGACTATTCTGAGATTATGGAACATTTCAATCTGAATCCGACATGCGGTTGACTAACATGTACAGCTGTTTTTGCCTCCTCAGTGACTGTCCAGCCGTCAGCAGGAATTCTATCAAAGGAATAGTGTATTTCATTCTAAAAATATGCAAGCTGTTTAATGCAACTGAAAACCCTGCTAGTTGAAGTGTGGTCTGGAATACAGTTTTTGTTTGAAAAAAATTTAAAAACAATAGAAATATGTTGTAAAGTGTACAGAAACAATACAATAAATAAACGTTCTATCCACAAATAACGTAACGTTCATGACAAAGACAACAGTTAAAGCCCGAGCACTATCACTGATAGACTGGTTGATAAAGTGATTTAGAAGATTTTTGAAAATTGCAGTTAGTAAATTTGTTGTGTACAATGAAAATCTCTTACCCTGCCGAGTGTGGAGTAGTGTACAGGCAGGTGGTTGGCAGGGTACAGCTCCACGATGGTGTTGAACACCGTGAACTGCGCCGTGTGGACAGGCAAGTAGCGACTGTACAGATCCTCATCCATCTCTACTCGCTTCTCTGACAACCTGTGTACCAGATCCAGTACCTGGTTATCTGCGAACACACCGGCCGAAATTGTAGAATGTTCAATAATTGTTAAATAAAGGTAAGAAGCTAAATATCATACTTAAGTTTTTAATTTTCACCTAATCTGTCTTACAGCTCCCAAATATTTAAGGGGATACGCCACTATCTGTAGGCCATATTTTAAATTTTTTTTACATTTTCCAAAAGTTGCATTTTTAGATAGGTCATTTAAATGTGAACATTTAGCTAAAATTGTTTGCCAATCTGACAACTCCTTCTAGTATAAAAAAAATAAAATATAAAACGCCGCAACCAGCAATTTAACAAAATTTTGAACTATTTTTTTTTGTTCCTGATATGTACACTTTTAATTGTGTATCATAATTATGTATTATGAAGGTATAAAGTAGGGTACATTTATGTAAAACAAAATAAGTACTTTGCTATTTTTATATATAATATAAAATAATAAATTAGTGTAGTTATGGGAATTTTTCTCCTGCCAACCACCTGTTACATCACCTGCGATTATCTCAATACCGTGTTTTTTAGGTTATTATTGTACAAAAGTTTGAATAACTCCGTTAGTACTATACTTATAGTATTCAAATTTTCACCAGACCTTCTTTATATAGTAATAAAGGATTGTGTGTATAGTAAGCCCTATAGCATTACATTTACTAAAAATATTTATGTTTACGCAAAAATTTTAAATATTTTTTTCAGCTTTTTTATATTTTGAATAAAAGGTGTCCTAAAAATTTGGTTTTTTTAGTTACCATAACGATTATACACAGAATTACTCATTATTTCATCCTGAATCAGGAAATAAATAGAATATGTCATTCTGATCAGTAGTTGAAAAGTTATTCTCAATAACGAATTCTTAAAAATTTTGGTGAAAAAAACTAAAAACGCATATAAATTTAGTAAATAAGTTATAAATTCAATATTTTTGTACCTAAATCTTCTAACTAAGTCTAGTATAAACAAAATATACTAACTAGGTTGACAAAAATAAAATAATTAAAAAAAAGTTGGAGATAGTGGCGTATCCCCTTAAAGCAAAAATACCAAAGCCATATTTTATAAATGTAATTTTAATTTATAAGAACATCAATGCAAAATGAGATGGAATCAGAAAAAAATAGAAACAACTACCTCACCTTGTGCTGCTGGCAGAGTCGTGTTGGTGGTGTAAGGTACGTAGTCGTAATTGGCACAAGCCTTCATCAACATCTGTAGTCGATGGATCAGCCCGGAGCAGACTCTGATTACAACTGGACCGGCTACATAGCGAATCACAACCTTTTCCTTGGCCGGTAGCCTGGAATGTGAAATTAAGGATCAGTGTGAATTTTGCAAACATGATCAATTATGGCCCTAGCTAAAAAAAACAGCTGATTTTAGTCTGTAGAGTAACAAAGCTCCACGGATCATCTCACTATATTCTACCCTGATTCTTCTACGTTCAGTGTAAATTTGTGTGATACGATTGTCTCAAAAGTTACCTTTCAGAGTCTTCATCATCGGAATCCTCTTCGGAATCTTCGTACTTATCCTGGTTACAGGACAGATAATCGACGGCAAACGCTGGAGTTTTCTCCAACATAATTGCTTCTGTAATGTAAAATGTATTGATGCTATTAGGATTTTATTTTTAAAGTTAACACTATCAATTTGTGCCACACTATTTTAATAATGCTAGTGGTTTACAGTTTGTTGTCGATTAACATTACAGAAACATCAACTTAGTTGTTATAAAGATGGGTATTTGAAATATGGAGACTACTCAGGTGAGGTAATGCTGAGTAAGGATTGTATTTTCTAAAGATAGGATTGGCGTTTCTGAAAGTTACAATATATAATTATATTTTTAAACGTCGCCACCGTGGTTGTGTTTAATAAAATATTTTAAGCGTTAAATTACAATAGATATATTTTTTTAGCTTTTGCTCCAAACTGAAATGAGAGCCAACTATTCAAACAACTTATTTTACCTGATACAGACTCCAAGTGATACTTCCATGAATGACAGAGTCGTTCTTGCAGCTTGGACGGTTGTTTGTCAAACAGTGAACCCGACAGGAACTCTTCTTGCATCGACCCGCTGCTGAGATACACCATCTGCGCACAGTCAACTTGTCAGTCGTGGTAAAAACAAATACCCAATGAGAATGATGAAAACCTTTTTGGACTAACTATACACAAAAAAATAGTCCCAACAGGGAATTCGGATCTCTGTTGGGGAAAAAATGGGAAAAATCCAATCATAAAGGGAACAGACACGCATTAATGCTCTAAAACAATTGGAAATCCTAAATGTTAAGAAACCGAACCACAGTGGCTGAGTTATGACAAAGCACGAGAAGGGAAGGACGAAAATAATTTTTGTTGCAAAAAGTATCGGGCAAAGCATGTGGTCAGAGGATGAGATCAAAATTATATCCAAATAGTAGAAACGTGCTTCTATGGAGAAAGGGTTTTAGCAGACTGATGCCATGATGTGATGGGCCGCGGAAATGTCCTTTTGATTGTGGTGGGGGGAGAGATGTTTCCAAGGAAGTACTTAAATCTTGACATCTTGACTTCCTAGTGCGAAAATAAACAGAAATTATGTCTCCGGTAAGGGATCCCTTCATGAAGGAAGTTGCTCAGCACCACTCAATTGCTTACCTGTTTTTGTTCTTCTCCTATCACATTGTATAACGCTAGACTCCGCTTTGGAACCATTTCACACATTAACGCTAGGCCTTATAGCACTATCACAGCTAGTCATTGGTGGCTGGCAGGATTCGAACCCAGAACCTCAGGGACTGACCTGTAAAGCTTCTGACACTCCACAGCAACACTCTCCGTCAGGCTTAACTGTGGCTTGACAGATTCCCATCTGTACATTGGTCCAGTCTGCATTGTGAGAGAGCAGGTCCATCTTGCAGCCGTTGAGTAGTAGATGCATGAACGCCTGAGATTGAGTCTTCATACCTCCATTGGTGTCCGCTTCACACAACTACAACAAAGTCTAAAAATACAAACTGTTCATAAAATGATCATGAGTGAATCGATTAAACTATTAGTTAAAACTTGTGCCAACTTATTTCCCAAACACAGGATACGAAATGGATCTCAAATTTGTGAACTTCTAGAAATCATAGTCAGCATTGATCGTATCTACAATACCTTGTCTAAAAAGTTCTTGCAATTTTTATTGATTCAATTTCTGTTTAAGACTAATTTTCGGTTTTTGTTATTTTTGATTTGTAATTAACCCCCACTTATATTTTAGCCCAAGTCACACTAATTTTTCATACTAATCACCATAATTTTGCATAAGGTTTAATAATAATGTTGGTAATTTAGGATTGTTCTTACAGGGATTATAGTCCAAAAACATTTTTCAATAACTGATAGAAGATTTGTGCATTAATACTTCAAACAGCAATAGAAATTAATTAAAAATAGGTATTTACCTTCGTCTACAGCTCAATCTGTTGTAACTTGGGTTACGGCCGTTTCGGCATTATAATGCCATCGTCAGACGTTGAACATTCAGCTGAAGTAGCGTCGTCATAGTTGAAACACATAACACGGACACGAATAACATTTTACAATTACTAACGAAGACACAACGAACAGGCCTGTCGCACACACGGTACCGGTTGACATTGCCACGATCTGAACTGGATGCCGACTGGAGGTTAATCCTGCATCGTTCTTTGCGTAGTGGTGTTATCAGCTGACCTTTGTACTCCTGCCTTTTGTCTCTTGTCCTGGTCTAAAATACTATTGAAAATGATGTGTGATTTATATTGTAGTTTGTCAATAAAGCGCCTGATGGTTACCAACCCCACCGCACCAGTGTTGCGAGGATTGCCTAAAGTGCACTAGGAAGGCGTCCCAATAAGACCGTTGGTGGACCACACCTCTGCACCAACTTACTCACTCGCTAAAAAGCTAGAACAAATTTTAAGAAACCAAATCCAATTCCAGAATAATTTTAGTCTAAAAAACATCTATGATTTTATTGAAAAAACTAAAGATTTAAACATAAGGATGCATGATTTATTGGTTTCATTTGACATCGTTAATTTGTACACCAATGTACCGGTGGAGAAAACTTTGGAATTAGTCCAAGGTCACCTGACTTCCAGTTCAAATATGTTGCCAGAAGCAGTCGATGAATTTTTAGCCCTTCTGAAAGAAGTACTTCAACAGAATTATTTTAAGTTTGAAGGAAAATTCTACTCACAATCTGAGGGCCTAGCAATGGGCTCCCCTCTATCTTGCATACTCGCCGACATTTATTTGAATTATATCGAAAATGAATTTATACTATCAGATCGTAACAAACAGAAACAGAAAATACTGCAGTACCACCGATATGTAGATGACACTATTCTTTTGTTTAACGGTAACGTCCGACAACTGGAATTATTACACAAATATCTAAACAATATTGCCCCAAATTTGAAATTCACGATGGAAATTGAGGAGTCAAACAAAATGAATTTTCTAGACCTGACAATAGAAAAATTGGACAATAAATTGGATTTCAGCATTTACCGTAAGCCAACCACGTCAAACCAAACCATCCATAACACGTCATACCATCCACCATCACAGAAATATGCCGCTTATAATAGTATGTTATATAGATTGTTAAATGTTCCAATGTCAGACAACAATTTTAATAAAGAACTCAATTTGATAAAACACATAGCGCTATCTAATGGGTACAACAGCAATATGATTGACAGGTTATTAAGTAAGATGAAAAACAAAAAGTCTGGAGACGTCCAACCACAAAAGAAGAAGTATGTGTGTGTAGAGTACTCACATTCAATTCAGTACTCACTTACGAAAGAACTGAAAAAACATGGTATCGAATTGGCGTTCAAGACCAACAACAAGACAATTAATAAATTAAACGTTTCTGATCGTGTAATCGACAAAAGTGAGAAGTCAGGTGTATACAAAATTAAATGTGCTAGTTGCCCGAGCTTTTATATAGGAAAAACTGGACGGACATTCGGAACCAGGTACAAAGAACATCACCCATGTCCAAGGGCCGACAAACAAAAATCATCCTTTGCTCAACACCTGGTTGACAAAAACCATGACATGTATGATCTGAACACTGGCCTCGATATACTCCACACAAGCAAGAAAGGAAATAAATTGGACACATTAGAAGAATACGAAATTTACAGAGCCTATACAGAAAATAATTTTGATGACACAATATTAAATGACAAACTACAATATAAATCACACATCATTTTCAATAGTATTTTAGACCAGGACAAGAGACAAAAGGCAGGAGTACAAATGAAACCCCCGTAGCCTCGTTGCCGAAAACAATCGCCACTTCGAAACTCGCGTTGACCGAGAAACTTGGGAGCTTATTAAAATTATACACGCATTTGGAAACAATGAGATTTATTGATTAATCGACTTACTAAATTATACAGTTATGGTTGAGAGCAAACGAATTTAGAAATTTAAGTTAGAACAAAAGACATAAAATTTAGGTTAAAGGGAGCGCGGAGTCGCGTCTGTTTTAATTAAGATTTCAACGCGGACTGCCTTGTTCCTTCGTTGTCGGCAGTGCTGATGCGCCTCGTGGACCAATCAGCGTTCAGCGTAGTCGCTGAGCGGCACCCTGCGCAAGGCTCGACCTCTTTGCCCGACAAATACACTCCCCAACGGAGGCTAGCTCCGTCAGCAGAAAGCCCGAGTTAGCACCGGATATGCGCATATTCCAGCTTCATAACTTTTGCTACTAGAATAATGTTATAATTTAGACGAGGTTGGAGATAGTTTGGCGATGCTGGGATATTAATATGGAGACTCAATAATCTTCGAATAATTACTGAAATAAATATTTATCAAGTTCCTGACCACTGGTTTGGACGATGATCATATTGATGTATTTACTAATGTATTGACAAAGGTGTTATAGTTGATGTTAACACCAAACCAGGCCATTTATACAAATGTGGCAGTTACTCCTACCCTGCCAATTCCTTATTTAATTATCATATTTCCTGAGCAGTCGATTAAAATGAATTATCAAGAGTATAAACGGCTAGGCCGTTACACTCCCCCACCCTCTAGTTCGTGCTGGCCTCAGCACGAGGGTCTCTGAAGAAATCCTCACACCACAAGGGGTGTGTGTGCCCACTGTAGATGAGTCTCATATCTCTCCTCCTAACTATCCCGCCATCACTTCAACCATCACCAACCATAGGGTTAATTTGGTATCTTTCAGTTAATTAATATTCTTGAGGGGCGCGACAGAGAGAAAATAAAAAAAATAAAACGGAAAATATATCTTCGGCTTGAATAGCGCTCCCTTTTACCTTTACACTTGGTTGCCGACAATAATACAAATCACAACAAATTACAAGGCAACTGGCCAATTCATTTACAAAAAAAGAAATTAAGAGTTCACAACAACTGAAGAGAATAGACATATACTCTACTAATTCATACAACAGGTATAGAACAAACCCTACTAATTCATCCCGAGGCTAGGATCTAACAGGATTACCATAAATTTCGCCCAAATAACAAGGCTATCAACTAATTAAAAAGACCATATAAAACGAAACATCTGTTAAGCTAACGATAACAACTAACGACGCGGAAACAACAACAAAAGCAATAAACGATTTCAACTTCCTTTCTTTAATTCTAAAGTATCATAGAAGAGAACATCGATGATTCTTAAGAACTCTACAGACATAGGGGTCGATTCCCCTTTACAGATAGCACAGGTCCAAGAATCACCCATCCAAGAAACTTGCTGCTCATGTACTTTAAGTGGGAGGATATTTTTAATAATATGTTCAGCACTGAATATATGAGACTAATAGATTGGTCCGCAAAATGAAATGACTCTATTCAGGCAGGTCTCTAATTTTGAACGCTATTCGTCCGCTGTGAGAAGCAGAACGGAGTTTCACTCGGGACCGGCAACCGGAGCTCAGTCACCCCTGTTTATGCAGCAAGTATTCCTGACTCGCTATACTATACATAACCTTATAATTAACAAAATGACACAGTATTAATCAAAATTACCACCGAAATTAACATTCCCATACAATTGACGCAATACAAAAATACAACAAATTGAAAATTATCATTAACATATCAGTCACACCGTCATAAATACAACCAAGGTGAATTGAACCACAATTTATGCCAACGGTCCGGCTGAGGTACTGCTATCCCTAACTAACCTATTACAGTACTACGATAGGTCCCCTAAATTAATATACTTAGGTACGAGCAAAACTTTTGGTACCGGAAGCAGTCAATCTTGCGCTTCCGCCTCATACTTAACTAAACACATTCCACATTTTCCAGTACCTCAGTCGACGTTTGAGTGGGAGGTCTGGTACGGTAACCTTGCGGAGGGGGTTCCGGACAGTTCCCCTCAGCAAGTAGCTTCACTTATCTTGAGTTTAATAATTGTAATAAAAGATTTTCTATGCAAGTCGTACTAGGTGGCCATAAGAGAGGGGCACGGCCGTTGCACCTCCCTCCGTACACCCGGCTCGACTTGGTGTTGGTTCTTGCCCAACATCTCAACATCTAGGTCTTTGTCGATTTGTTTATTTATTTATCTTATTATTTTCAACAAAACAAAACACCTTTACCAGCCTCCACCCTAGGCAAAACAACTTACAACTGAAACTTTAAACAATAAAACACAATGGAATACAACACAACACAGAATAAAGTTATGACAAAATGGAACTAACACAAGAAAATAAAATATTAAAATAAAGTTAACAAACCATGGGTACCCATTAAATAAGGAAGAAAAGTCCACACTGCCTCTCCGAAGACAGTAGTGTTCAGTAGAGCACGTAATGTTCGAGTTTCGTTGATGAACCGGTTACCGCGTTTACACAACGTTCCGCTCCAGGAAGCAGTATTGTCCTTTAGTCATTCCAGAGCTTCCAACCGTGTTGTCAAAATATGACATTTCAACGCACAACA